GCTAGTTAATGAAGGGGTTCACTTAATTAATTATATTTTATTAGTTCTAAACAACTATTACGGACGGTTGTAGTGTTTAGTTGTATTTTGTTGTAGCTTTTTTTACTTTTTATACTGTGATAGTTATTGAAAAAAAATATTAGAGGAGTTAATAATAATATTGAAATGAAATGAAATTGTTTATTTTGCGAAGAATGTAGTGCGCACAGTTTCCATAAAATCCGCCTTATTTGAAGACATGCAAAATTTTATATTGGTTATGCTTCTGTATAAATTATAATTACATAATTGAAGATATAAAATAAATTAGGAGAACAAATACTAAATTTGTTATACGGTTTTTTTTATTTTTGGAGGGTATGAGTTTTGTGTCTAATTATTTTTGGATCTGTTTTTGTGTTAGAGATTTAAAGTTTAATTCGTGGATATTATTTGTTATTCATTAGAATTGTATTTATCTTACAAGTTTTATTGTGTTTAAATCTTTCTGGATCAAGGTTCTGTTATATGTCTAAATTCTTTGTTATTATTTCCAGAAATACATTTCTTCGACTATCCATACTGTTATGAAAGCGAAAGTATGTCTGTCTGTTAATTTGTTACTTTTTTACAACTAAACGGCTATATTATATTTGTCACGAGTATCGGTACGTAGGATGCCTTTAGTCTCAAAAATAGCAAGTGTAGCCGCGGGCAACTACTAGTTGTAAATGAACAAAAGACTAAGGGAGCTTTTAAAAAATAATTTATACACATTTTGTATTTATTTGATGATTGTTTTATACGATTAGTTAGTACTTGTAATTTATTTACATAGAAAATACATACTCAATTACATACATAGAATACCGATACACACAATCATAATCATGAATACATATATTTGTACCGTTCGAGGAATCGAACACGCGACCATCGCCAGTAAAACTGTGTGGTAAACTGCTAGACCACTGAGGTCGTTTCATCACATCGTTCGCAATGAGACCATTAGTCCCTAATCCACACCTTAGCAACCGTGTGTTGTTTTGTTTCAATGACGGAAAACTACTGCAGTCACTGAAGAAAACGCGGAATTATACCCTAATTGTCAGGTCTAGTAACGCATTATAAGAATATATTAAATACATTCCAAGTCATATAAAAATCTATGAAGGTAATGTTAAACCATCATCGCCTAGTTCAATATTAGTTTTTCAACTAACACTAACGAATTAAAAATATTCTAAAGCTAAGTAAAGTGAAACCCTATTTTACGCTGTAACCACTTCACGATCCAGGTCAGTTGACTTGCAAAAAGAAAATCAACGCGCTCCAAAGGTTTTCTATATATAGGCCATACTGCCCCGTCTATGGTTGATTAGCCTTCACGCAATATATTGATTAGGTTTATCTGCTACAAGCCTCATGGAAAAATGTTAGTCTAAGATAATATTTATTGCACAATGGCCGGTTTTCTGCCGTTTTTGCCTGTTTAAATAGAATCAGTGACTGTATTGTTATGCCCATCATTCTCTAAGAAGGTCCTGTCAGTGGTATTTCAAGTGTTAGGATGTTTTCGCAGATTGAGCACCCGATTTTATTAGAGTCTATTGATGGAAAGTTTGGTTCTGTTACTGCATTAGTTGGTATGAACAATGTTGAAAAAGTTGTAGTTGAAAAAAAGTTATTGTTAGTAGAAACAAATTCCGCGGATTCGATCACGTGTAAACCAATATCTGCAATTCCTAAATACCAAATTTGTAATATTTAGTTTCGATGTCTATGTCATTTTCTATGTATCATTTTTAATTTCAAGACTCATAAACTTACACTGTGCTTTGATTTAAGAACAAGAGCTAGAATTTAGTGACAATTTACGAAATTTCGAATTGAGATTTGTATATGCGGTGTCTTCTAACTCATTAGTTATTCCATTAGACAAAATGTGACAGATATATAGTTTTTAGTTTCAATTTTAATCACAATTCTATGTTAGTTATTATTCTAAGGCCTTGAGTCTTTCTCTTCAATGAATTATTATCTCGTTTGTTATCATTTATCAAAGTATAGATTTGACGTCATAACTATCGATTTCATTGTATTCGTAAGCTTTTTGTTAACTTCAGGACATGTCCGGTTAGAAACAAAAAAACTATTATTTTACTAGCTTTTCGTTCTATACGCTTATTTGTTAAATAGTTTTTAGCAACATTTCCTTTTGGTTTCTTATTAATTAAATGATTTTCAATTAATAATATAATAGCAACATCTTTGTCATCACAGGCTCTTAACTTTTTTGTATTTTTCTACTCTACTTGACTCCCCATCCCATTCGATTACAACATCCGGAACAGATTTTCGAATCAGTTCCCTCAGACTAAAGACTGTATTCATCTGGCATGAGTTGGCTTTCAACCGCTTCATAAGTTCTTCCGCTTGTTTGGAGTCCCTTTTGCACACGCCCCCATTTTTGTCCGGTGAAGCTGTAAGGTGGGATGTGTATTAGAATAGTTAAAAAAAAGTGGACTACAGAAGTTGTACACAAATGCTAAAATTATAACTCTTTTAAGTTTTAATAATACATTCTTTTTCTTTTTGTTTGTATAATATTTAGTTTTTTCTTATCAGATAGCATAAGATTCTTCAACAGCTTCTCAATTACATTAAGTATATGAGTTACTCGTTAATAGATATATAATTTTTCATATATATGATAAGTCGACGAACTTTTTTATTCATCTTTTTCATTCAGTTAAACATTTCTTTACATTGTCTCTTAATTAAGTTTTAATTTGTATCATTAAATCCACTGTTGTTAAAGGTCTTTACGTCATTTATCTGCTATATATCTATTTCAACATATATGATGAGTTGGAGTTACTATCCTCAAAGCCCTTGGGCTTTTAAACAGAAATATCTAATTCCGGGTCACTGACTTTCCGTGGGACTAGATACATTGGGTAAAATGTAATGACCTATGTATGTATTACGTCTACTGATTTGGACCTTAGATAAAACTGGGTTATGATTGGACTAACAATGTACGTACAACTTTAAATCTTAGAATCAACATGATCAAGATACAAAATCACAAAACAGAAATCTAACTCGTTCACAAACGTATTCGAGAAGACTTCAGATGGTTATAAGTGAAAATCGCAAGATATTATGTTACTCGGCCGTTTTCCTCGTGGTGTTAGTTTTCAGTTACTACTTTATTGATGTGAGGAGGTTCTGGTATAAACTAGTTTTGCACTTGTTTTACTTTGTGTGCGACATGTTGAAGTTGTTGATGAAGTTAGTAGAACTGTACTGAACATGTTTGAAATGAAAGATGAGCGGTATCGTTAACAAGGGTGAGTATAGCCAACAGTGTAATTTAATTATCAAATTCCTTTTCTATCATTAATTCATCTCTATTTACAATCTTGGCTTCCAGTATCTTGACATCTACTGCTTTTTTCGTCATATCATCTTGAAAATACTTCCATCTATCTCTTTTTAGATTTTCATCTACTTTACAACCATTCATACCTCGACCTATATATATATTATGTAATTGTAATGTTAATATGAAACGTGCTTAAATTTTTCATATAACTATAATAATTATTGTTGGGGTTTCATGTTATTTAGTTAGTGTAATATATAATATATGCAACGATATTTAAAGAAACTCAGACAAAAAAAAGCAATGCTGATGAGCTCTCCGAGTGGCCTACCTTTTTATTTTGTTCAAATACTCAAAGTAACTTTACAATTTGGAAATGTCGAAACGCCGGCCAGTTCCTATAACTCGATCATAAACATATATATTTTCCAGACCATCATCAAGATCATTTTGGCAACTCTGTCATCCTGAAATTCACGAGTGTCTTTTTGATCAAGGTGAATAGAATAGTAAGGATTTATGAAAAACTCTTAGAAAATTGATCATCACAAGCCGTATATGTACTTCTAAATTGCTACCCTGAATTAGCCGAATTAATGTTGTCTTATAAAATATATTTTGGTAATGACCGATTTAAAATAAGTTATATTTATATTACAAAGAAACGTTCTAATTAGTGTTAATACAACTCACAAGTTAGGGGGAGATGGTAATGTTAGTAATGGAGAGTAGTGAACTCATTGCTAACAGTGGAATCCTCACGTTGGTAAACTGACCTGACTTTAGGCTAGTGCCCAGTGGAGTATAATAATAATGATCCTGGACAATTTACACAGCACCATCTGCTCCCAAGTTAAGCAGTGTTTGTGCTATGGATGCTAGACAGCTGATAGAAATATTTAAATGCATTTGTTTTTGTAAATAAATAGAACATACCCCCCTACCAATATAAAAAATCGTATTCATGAACAAACAAATGCTTTTACTGTGCGAGGAATAGAATTCGCGACCATTGGAAGAAAACTAAACCATAGATCACGGAGGCTTTTTTTGTGAAGCCCAGGGTAATAGCATGGAGCTACCTTGTACCATTAGTGCAGAATGGTACACCATTCCATTATCATCCATAAAAAATAACAAGTTACGTAAATTAGCCTTCATTCAGGTGGTCTGGGATTTCGACTGCGGTCTTATCAGCCACTGACATTAGTCGATAAATTGCTTTTGGAGTTCTGGGATTACAGTCAAGAGTATATTATTTTTTAATATTGTAATCACAATGAAGTGTCCCTTCACTCACAATATTGTTATCAACGCGCTTATCACGCATAGTTTGTCCTGTTTATTATCTGAATATTGGATGACATATAACTCTAATTATTAATATTATGCTGCTAAACCTGTATATAGGTTTGACGACTGTCGTTGTTTTCTATTTAAATTTGAAACTAATTCCGGCTAATTCTAAACTCACTCGTGTATATCCACGCCAAAACGGTTTACCCAAGTCTAAAGGTGACCTACATTAGACATTATAATACTTTCATATTTACTTAAAACTTATGTGTAATACATATTTTTTTTGTCTGCAGGTGTTGTTGCATGGTGGGGGTAAAGGAGGAGTGCCAACATGGGAGACAGCTTCCTACATTTGGGAGATATCGTCTCCCTATACGCAGAGGGCAGCGTCTCAGGCTTTCTCAGTACTTTAGGGTGAGTTAATGCACAGAGTTATGTTTAACAGAGACACACTTTGTACAAAGTGACACAGATGAGTTTTTCTCCAAGTACTGTCGATATAAATGAAGATAACTAACTATGCGTAGAAAAGCTTAGTTCCTTAGTTTCTTAGTTAGGTGGAAATAAGATAAAATAATAATATCCAGGAGAATTCGCATACCGCCATCTAGTCCAAAGTTATGCAGAGCTTGTATTATGGGTACTGGACGACTGTTATAAATACATTTTTTTAAACTACATATAAGATGTTTACTACTTAAATCCTTTTTTAAATACTCATAGAACGGAATAAATATAAATTTACTTGTAAAATCTTGGTGTATGTTTGTTACTCTCATGCAAAAAATACTGCACGGATTTTGATGAAACTTTACAGTAATATAGCATAAACATCAGAATAACTCATAAGCTATAGATTCCATGTGGGTGTAACCGTGGGCACAGTTAGTTTCTTATATAGCACGGAAGTCTATATGCATTCCGTGCATGGGAAATGGGAATGAATATAATTTGGTAGCGCTTTAAGCATAAATATTACCCACCTTACTAAACCATAACAAGCATGTTCTCTTTGTTGTAAATTATGACAGTGTAGGTAATTGGTTTGTTTTCGCTTACGCAATTAACATAAGCACACAATTACATACATTTATGTATGTTACATACATGTGCGAGATAGAGTAATGTTTATATTTGCACTATATTATTCTTATAATATACAAACTACCAATTTACCAAAAGTCCTAGGTATCTTTGTCAAAAAACTATAAGAAGAAACTATAAGGAATAGATATAATAAATGTTTATTCAAATAAACTTCATTTAAACACTTTTATTATTCTCCACTTTTGATTTATATGTTTAAATAGCAATATTTTTATTCTACTTGCTACATTTAAAACACTGATTTTGTCTAGATGAACTGGCAGCAAAATGGATGATTGTTTTTTCAGAAAACGTAAAAGAATATATATGTAATTACATATAAAGTTGTGTGGCAATACGAACTAAATACTAATAGTAGACTAAACAAAAGATAGAATAAATTAAAAAGGACTGATTGAATATTATTTTTTATTTATAATTTTTATTGCACCAACATTAAAAGCAAATACATTGAAAAATATAACAATAGATCAAAGAAAGATTATTATTTCATTCTTATTATAAAAAAAACCTTTAGAACGCAAGAACAGTAATTGTATCAGTAGTTTTTTAGTTAGTTTATTTGAATGTAATTTCTGAGTGCAATAAAGAATATATAGTACACTTAATACTAAATTACATTAAGTCATAAATTGATCATTCCAAAATTTTTATTTAAAGTTTTTTTTTTACAAAATATGTAAATTTTCAGTTACGTGGTTTATTTGCCTTGAAAAGAACAGAGGTTAATAAGTGATTATCTTCGGCAGGTTGGTAGATGACAGATGCGTTGTCTGCCCTGAGGCAGGCGACTTGAATGATCCACCCAAAAAGTTTCGTGGTAAGTTCTTTTAACTTTATATTAGTAGGTTCATAAGTTGTTTCGCATTTATTTTTAGAATTTATAATTGACCTGGAATTCATTAATTTCTTTGAAGTAGTAATACACCGTATTAATAATAAACCTTGGTATATTTTATATAATTTAATTTATGTTTCTCGGTTTCATATTTATAATATCATGTCCAGCCGAAACCATTTTCGCTCTGATTTGGGCGAAACCGAAATCGATACGGTCGGAAAGTAGAGTGATAATGACAACGCATAAGATTACAGAGATCTCAAGTAATTTGATTTCACTCGTAGTTTTCTGGAGATTTAATGTCAAAACCGAAGTTTTAATTAACGCTAGCCTGAGACCGAAACCGAATATTCGATAGGACACTACTGACAATACGTCATATAACGTAACTATTCAATGGAATCAAAAGAAAACCTAATAAATTAATGTTTGGTTTCTGAAATTCTGGGCCGGGTCATTGTTCTCCTTCTAATATGGTTGACTGCATTGATGGCTGGCTCATTCATTATACCCGTGAACTTGTGAGGACTGCTCTGTTCGGGTTATGGTTTTCCTAATGACAATAATAGCGTATGCTTTTGGTTAAATGAATCTGTTTTTCGGAATCATATACAAATTCATTAAAAGAATAAGCGTTGGGTTTCTTATGTTAGATTTAACATATCATAAGAGAGAAAGTGTAATAGGCCTACATGAAAAAACATATTTTGTTTTTGTATTCTGATTTTGAATATTTTAGTGTAATTTACAAATGAGATTTATTGAGAATAAACAGATGACAAGAGATGAGATTAAATGGAAAAATAACTTGAATATTAATTGCAGATTGCCTGTTTAAAATATGCCCTATGAACCGGTACTCCGCTCAAAAGCAGTTCTGGAATACTGCCAAGCAGTCGGCCAACTCTAACACCGACACCGGGCTACTGAAGAGGTTACACGTGAGTATATTAACATACTAGTTCTGCCCGTTACTTTGTTCACGTGTATAGATAAAATAACTATAGGTATAAATGGTTTATCATTTCACATCCCATTTTCTGGTGCTGCTTGTAAGAGAATATAATTAGTATAACTCGACGGCCTCGGTGGTCTAGCAGTTTAGCACACCACTTTACTTCCGGTGGTCACCGGTTCGATTCCACGCACGGTGCAAACATTTGTATTCATGAGTGTGATTTTTGTATCGGTCTGGATGTATTCTATGTATATTATGTATGTATTTACAAAACAATATATATCTAAGTATTTATATAAGTTGTCTAGTACCCATAACACAAGCTCTGATTACCGTGAGACTAGATGGCACTGTGCTAATTGTCCAAGGTTATTTATTTAACTATAGGCTGAAAAAATATAATTTCGCGAAGGAGTAAAACTAGTAATTTTTACTCCATGTATTATTGAGTGGAGTGACAATTTTGTTTACAGGAGTCTATTTAAAAGAATTGGAATATTTTGTTTATTGTAGAAAAATATGACATAAACTTTGATACGCAAAAAATTTCTTTTAACTTCGCTTATTCGGCGGAAGGCTATTTCAATATAGAAACAGTTCTTAGAATTAGTTTTTAAATTAATCTGTATTTTCTGATATAATTGTCATTAAATTGTTACATTTGTCACCTATCTGTCGATTTTAATTTGTTTTATCCTGTTCGCCACAGTTTCACTAAGTATCATAAAAAATTACTCACTCCTTTACCAAAAAAATATAAGTGTTTAACCTCTATAATTTTGTTCACGAGAAAAAGTAGCATAACCGTCTTCAGTCGTCTTCTATTGGTACACCAAAATTCATCATAATCGAATTAACAGTTTAGGCATGAAAGGATAACAAACAATCTTTATTACTAACTAGCTGGCCCCGCGAAATCTGTTCCGCCTCAAAATTAAATATATCAAAGGTTTTTTGATGTTTAGTTACGCAATACATTTTTGAACGCACCCTGTTTGACAGGTATCAGCAATATGTTTGTATGGGAAAATATAATTGTTGTTTTTACTAGTCTCCATGCAATTTGTTCATTTTATCACCGTTTAAACGTTCCCTGGACATCCACGAATATTTTAAGACTAAAATCAGCCAAATCGGTTCAGCCGTTCTCGAATTATAGCCAAACTTACGAACAGCAATCCATTTTATATATAGAATATTTAGCATTTATAATATTAGTTACACTTACATGCATATCGCAGTGATATATCAGTTAATTTAATTGTGCTGGGGGTCAAACGTAAGGCCAGGGATAAGCCCTACGTGACCTCTACAATAGGGAGCGGTTTACTGGATTACGTTTTTGTAATTGTATTGTACATTTGTACAATTACTGTATCGCAATAGCAAAATTAACAAATAAATTATTGATTTTAAATTGGTCGTTTGAGGTGGACACATCGTTACTAATATTATAAATGTGAAGGTAGGCATGTTTGTTAGGCTTTCACGCAAAAACTACTGAACCGATCATCATGAAATTTTGTACACATGTTATTAGAATGAACATAGATTGGACATTTTTATTAAAAAAAAGCAAAATTTTGCTACTTCAGCACCATCTATCAGCCAGTAATTAAGTTATACGAAGCCGCGGGTAAATGCTAGTATTAAATAGTTTTTTTTATGGATGATAGTGCATGCACCCGCCTGCGCTAACGGTTTACGCTGGCATCAGTGGAGGATGATAAGATGAGCATGAAGTCAAATCAGTTAGCACATCGCGGCATATTTACCTTTAATTAAACATAATAATATGGTTTAAATTTAATTAAACATAATAATGGTTTTCACGGGGAATTGCGTGAAGTCAACCTGACATGGTACATTGCTAGCAATGGGCTTCGTCACATTTTAATAGCAAAAATTCCTGTCTTAATACTAAAATTGAAATGTGATATGACGAAATCTAAGACCCTCGAAGACCTTCGAAGACTTATTTGCAAGCGGGTTTAAAAAGGATGAGATACACAATTTCATAGTCTGATTACTTTTTTTGTATCTGTCTGTAACATGATTGTTTTCGCTCATTTTGAACGTATTAAAATATAACTCAGTTGTGAGACTATATTCTTAGCATTTCAATCATTCACCGTGTGGGTGCCAAATTCATTGTGTGGCGGAGAGGGAAACTCCGAGCAGTTCCCGGGACTTGTGACCCGGGTGTAAGTTTAAGACCCCTTAGTCGATGTACTACACTTACCTTTACCACTCGTGTTTCTTACAAAAACTCCCAGCCAAATCTTGTAGGAACCTGTTAAGCAGCTTTAGATACACGTTTTAGTGTACAACACATTTATTCCGAATTCTTCCTAATTGTCGTGATACAGTAACATCACAATTGGGACGAATTCGAAATATTATTTGCTAAAAATATACAGTTTGCTTTTTATGTGTGAAATTTTTAATGTGAACCTATTTTTTGAGTTTATCTATTGCAAAATAAAGTCGAAACTTTCCTATTAGTAAAATTACCTCACAGAATCAGTATACAATAATGTCACATTACAAAATTAAATTAAGAACATTCATTTTGAAGTCGGTGAATTATACTAGTACGTTGACAGCGGATTTATTTTAATTTTATAATATGCATCCTGTAATGAATCAATGCCATCATTTTAATAGTTCATCGCACCCGACATCTGTTTGTGTTATTTTTCCCAAAAGATCTATGCACGTGATGCCTACACATTGGGTTCTATGAACGAAAACTGTATTTATTTATTTAATGTATCACCAACATCTTCTATATTGAGACTAAAGTATATATAACGTGGATGTATGAAAAGGAAGAGGACGACCGAAAAAAAGATGAATGGATTGAGTAATGGGGAACTGTATTTTTTTTATGAGATGATAATGAAATGGTACACCCTCCTGCGCTAACGGTTTACGCTGACGGGGTGAAGGATGATAAGATGAGCATGAGATCAGGTCAGTTAGCCCATCGTGATAAATTCACCAGTAATTTATCACGTTGGTTTCCAGGAGGATTCGTCAACCTGGTACATTGTTAACAATAGGATTAACTCCACATTACTAAATAAACAACTGTATAAAGACGCTCTACGTTAAAAATCTCTCACCTATCTGAAAGCAAGATGCATGTCTCAGTTTTATTCGATTGCTATAACAGCTTTGATCTCTCTGATGGAAATATAGAACCGGATCTAATATTAATAATAAGAATAATATAACGACTGCTATTTATTTTATGGGGCAAACAGTTTTAATATATCGCGAATTGTTTTAGTATTAATGAGAGTTTTTTTTTAATTGATAATAACATTATGCACCCTCCTGAGCTAACGGTTTACGGGGCTCCAGTGGAGTATTAGATGACATGAAGTCAGGTCAGTTACTGATCGCGTAAATCCACGAAGTAACCCCATTGCTAGGGGGAAAGGGATTGTTAGTAATGTGAATTAATTCTTCCATTGCTAGCAATGTACCAAGTCAGATTGACCTCCACGCGGTACCCCTGGAAACCATCGTGATAAATTCCTGGTCAATTTGTCACAATGGGCTCATTGACCTGACCTCATGTTTATCTTTTCATCCTCCACTGGTCACCGTCAGCGTAAAATGTCAGCGCAGGCGGTCATATAATCATTCTTTAAAAAAAACCCATTGCTAGCAATATCCCACTCTAAGTTGGCCTCAATCCTTTTCCCCCTGGAAAGCAGCAGGAATTTATAAAAATATTTTAACTGACCTGAATTAATGGTCAATTTATCATCATGGTGCCCTGCAAGCGTATAGAGCAGCCGGGTGCACTCCTTCATTATTCATATAAAAATTCTTCATGAATACATATTTATGGATTACGTTCGTACTTATGTAGATTACGTTCGTCTACATGCTAAATATATTAGTATTTGGCATGTAGACGAACGTAATCTACAGTACAGGTTAATCACACGGTCGTAGTCGTGGGCTGAAACTAGTTTCAGCCCAATTTAATAATTGAATTAAATTTCTTTCGCAATCACCCATATAATATATTGTTCTTCAACGAAAGCTGAATCATCATTATATTTTATCTTTTTACAACGGTAATGGTCCATTATTTTTATAAATGTTCCCATTATATCACAGCGCCGTTTATAAATTATCCTATTCCCTTTGCAGTAAGAGTAATTATTCTTTGTCAACATGACAGACGCAGGTTGCCTAATGTATTAATTGGCGATATTTTTATGACATTAAATGTGTGTCGCCACATTTAAAAAATTACACAGATTTAATGATTGAGGGCGGCTATTGTTAGGAAGTGTTGGGACATTTTTATCCAGGATTGTTCTGATTTTATTTCTGCAAGATTACTTTCGTCCAAGCTTAAATAAAATGAATATGAAGAAGGTTTGAATTTTTGTTTGTAATAATTAAAATAATAAATAGATAAATTAAAAAATATTTATTTATAATATCTTTGGTTATACCTCGACATTACCTCGGCATTACTCGACCATACCTCTTCTATTGTTATACCTCGATCAGACACAGTCTAATGACTCCTCTCCATCCTAAGGTTGCCTGGAAGAAATCGCTATTTAGCGATAAGGCCGCCCATTGTTACCTCTATATTATAATTACGTTTTTTTTTCTTGTTATATTTGATGTACATATTAATTTATGTAATTATTCTTTCTGTGAGAGGAACAATAAAGTGTTTTTCATTCATTTTCATTCATTCATTCATTCTTTTTTTATTATTATTAACTTTCACATATATACATATAAGAAACATTAACAGTCATGGTCTGAATTTGATTTTTAAAAAATTAGATCAGTATAATTCTTGCTAGTGATCGCTAGTTTGGTGTAATATTGTATAGAGGAGATATTTATATTTTGGTATATTTATAATGACTACACTTTTTTTAGTTTGTTTCTTCTACTACTATGATTTTAAAACTTCTTTCACTTGTGTCGTGCAGTGTATTTGACTTTAAAAATTATGGTAACTGTAGTGAAAGTTTGTAAGTGCTACTCTACCCTAATATATATAAAATTCTTTCACCATTATTATATAAGACACATTATCCTTGAGTAAAATAGCCTTTATAAAAACCGACCAAAGCGTAGAGGGGTCGCTATTTTATTATAAAGTTACATGGTGTTTCAAACAGCCACTAGTTGGGGGGAAGGGGATTGTTAGTAATGTGGATTGATAACCCCATTGCTAGCAATGTACCATGTCAGGTCGACCTCCACGCGGTTCCCCCTGGAAACCATCGTGTTAAATTCCTGGTGAATTTGCACGATGGGCTAACTGACCTGACCTCATGCTCATCCTATCATCCTCCACTGATGCCCCGCCAGCGTAAACCGTTAGCGCAGGCGGGTGCACCATTCCATTATCAACCCTAAAAAAAAAAAACAGCCACTAGTTACGTTTCATCCTGATTATTTAGCTGAGTCTGCATCTGAATCTATATATGTGTATGTTTGCGAATGTAGCGATAGAATCACAAAATTATTAAACTAGTGCACCTGCACCTGCACCGGCTATGCTCTAGTATTTAAATAATAATAATCTCAGGGCAATTCATACAGCGCAATATAGACACAAGTTAAGCTAGCTAAAGCTTGTGTTATGGGTATAACTGATCCAAATATATATATATTTTTTACGTAAATACACATTATACATAGAAAACAACCAGACCGATACAAACAATCATACTCGTGAATACAAATGTTTGTGCCGTGCGAGGAGTCAGATCCGCGACCATTAGAAGCAAGGCGGTGTGGTAAACCACTAGACCAGCAAGACTGTCAAAGTAAATAATTATTATTTGCTAATGTTTACTTAAACTTCCAATTATGTCTAATACCGTGGGTTGGGTAGATATAAAATGGACCACCGAGGCCGTAAAATTTTTTTCTGTATTATTTGCTGGTATATATGTTATTCACCATTAACATAACAAAATTCTTATTATTGTCCCATACTGATTACGGGTTTCTCCTCAAATGACGTGAGTGAAACCTATTATTGCTAGCTAGTGTAGGGTTTTATTCTACATTTTCCTTCTTTTTTTACTGGAATATTTGTGGTATAGTTGAGTGTGGTAACAAGTGTATTATTTATATTACTGTATATGCTATAGGACGAGGCCGGGAACCTACGTTTCATTCAAAGTTGTTCACATCCACCTACTAGTTGACTGAGGATTTGGGTCAGTTCTACCCACTATTTTATATTTTTATATAGTTTCACTAGCTGTCCCAGCAAACGTTGTTTTGCCTTAAAATAAAAAATAAAATTTAAGGGTGGACTACCCCTAACATTTAGGGCGATGAAAAATAGATGTTGGCCGATCCTCAGACCTACTCAATACGCTCACACAATTTCATGAGAATCGGTTAAGCCATTTCGGAGGAGTATGGGAACGAAAACTGTGACACGAGAATTTTATATATAAGATGTATACGTGCCTTGTAGCTTGTTTATTTTTTGTAAAGAATAAATTTGGATTGATGTTCTCGTCTTTGGTGACGGTATAAGCTGACGGGGCATCAGTGGAGGATGATAGGATGAGCATGAAATAAAGTCCAGAGAGATTTAACCCATCGTGGGCTATTTAAATTAACCACTGTGGTAAATATGAGTAGATCCCATGGACGTTAACTTAACATGCCTGCAATGAGGTTAGTAGTGCCAGCACCATTGTGTGTATCACAATTACGACACAGCTCTAGCTACAATCTTTCAAGCACACAGATATATTCAATAAAAAAAAATGTTGTGCCAGCAATTACTAACAATTATTTCTCCCTCGAACTTTCAGCTTAGTACACTTTACTCAATGAAAACATTTTAAATTAATTATCCATTTAAAATTATTAAGTTTCACCGTTTTCTTCACAGCATGCGGCGGAAATAGAGAAGAAGCAGAATGAGTTGGAGAATAAGAAATTGCTCGGGACAGTCGTGCAGTACGGCAGCGTCATACAACTGCTGCACGTCAAGTCTAACAAATATCTCACGGTGAGCTGTTTATGTAATTTAACCAACTGATGGTAAATGGTAGTCCATGATACAGAGAAAGCGCGACCGTGCCGACCGTGCACGTCCATGGTGCGTTAGGGTTCTTTTTGTACGTGTTTCTGTAATAAATGATCATACTCTGCAAAATGGCAGATTTTTTTAATAATGAATCATGTTTAGGCTTAATTGTACGCGATTGACTTTTACTTGACAGGTTTTTCATACTGAGACTTTAGAAAAAAACTTGAAGAATGGTTAGTTTCAAAGTGTTGTTTCTACTCAATTAAAGAGTTTATGGAAACCTAAAATTATAAATGATACCTGACGCCATTTAGATTTACATACAAATTGACATACAATAATAATTAATTTTATAAACAATCGTTAATTTAATACCTAAAGATTAATTAACTTTAAGATTTGTACGCTTGATATAAGCAAATAAAATCTGCATATATCAAGCAAGGGCCACGTTTTCAATAACATCATATATGTATTGTACACAAAATCTTTTACAAATAAAATTTATTATTACTGAATATAAAACACGGGAACAAATATCACATAAAAAAACAAAACAATTACACATAATGCACGATTGGTTCTACGTGTTCATGCGCGCTCTCTTGATCGCCCGCGACAGAACGTACGACACGTTCTGTCACGGGCGATCTGTGTGCTGTGTGTGATCTGTGTGCAGGAGCAGCTGTTGGTAGAGAAACGAAAAGGTTGATATAAACCACAGATAAGATAATCTTATTAATATTATAAACGGGAAAGTTTGTGAGTATGAGTATGTTTGTTACTCCTTCCCGCAAAAAATACTGAACTTTTTATTTTTTGAAATTTTTATGAAACTTTACAGTAATTTAGCTTATACATCACACACACACACAGCTCGGGCACAGCTAGTATTACATAATATAAACGTAACGATGTTTGTTCACAGGTAAACAAAAGACTACCAGCGTTGCTAGAAAAAAACGCGATGCGTGTTCATTTAGACGCTAACGGTAACGAAGGCTCGTGGTTCTATGTAATGCCGTTCTACAAACTTCGGTCAACAGGTAACTGTCGATTTTTTGTCTTAAGTATAACTAAACTAAATCTAATACTATTGGACACAGCTGCGCTTTTCAACATACGAAAATCTGTCTATTACAACTAGAGCTGCCAACCGTCCTGTTTTCCCAGGACATGTCAGTTTTTAAAGTGTCCTGGGAATTCCTGAAAGGTTATATGGCAGCGTCCTGGGCTTCTAAAATATGCACGCCTCTTAATTACTGATTTTCTGCAGTATAATTTTATCAAATTATTTTTTTTTAAATACCTGATTATATTAATTACTTGAATTTTAATATAACTATTGCAACACTATTATTGCGTTCTGTTTTTAAACTGGATAGTCTTGTTTTTTAGAACTTTCAATCCTGGTTTTTTTAAATTTGGGCTTGACAACCCTAATTACAACTTTACTGTTTGACAGCTCGCTCGTGACTAATCCCCTCTCTTTTTTTAACTATTCTAATGCTGTTGGTCGTACCTGGTCTCATATATATTTTACTACCATTCATTCGGTAAGCTGTGTCATCACAAGAACAACAATCAAAAACTTGCTTGTTGCTCGAAAGAGAGTGTAGATGGAGTAGAGTTTTAGATATGTTCTATTATTATTGATGTGTTCCAGGGGACAATGTGGTGGTCGGGGACAAAGTGATAATGAACCCCGTGAATGCGGGTCAACAAGTTCTGCACGTGTCACACAATCACGAGCTGCCTGACAACGCTGGCTGTATGGAGGTCAGTGACAAATTCTCTCAATTTCTTACAAAAAAACGCGTGTCCCGACTTCGCTCATAATTTTGTTAGTTTTGCATATTTAATAGAACAATATACAACCTATGTAACTCTGAAATAATATAGCTTTTAAACATTGACAACATTTCTCAAATGAGAGAGAGAGAGAGTTGACTGTTGGACTCAACAGTCACCTCTTTCTCTCATTTAATATGTATGCAAATAAATTAAAATGAAATGTCTGTTTGTAGTTTCAAATTAATCTTACTTCTTAATATAATATTATAAACGCGAATGTTGGTAAGTAAGGATGGATGTTTATTACTCTTTTACGCAAAAACTACAAATATTTGATTTTGAATGAACGAAATTTTTATGAAACTTTATACTATGTAAGTGTTGTTTCAATTTCATAACACAAGCCCTGCTAGTATTTAGGGATGGGAAGCTTGGGATTAGATGGAACTGTGAATTGTCTATGGTTATTATTATTATTGTATTTTTCAGGTGAACGTAGTGAACTCATCGACTTCATGGAAGGTGACCCTATTCCTCGAACACAAGGAGAATCAGGAGGAGATCCTGAAGGGTGGAGACGTTGTCCGACTGTTCCACGCGGAGCAGGAGAAGTTCCTCACCATGGACGAGTACAGGAAGAGGCACCACGTGTTTCTGAGGACCACGGGAAGGTCAAGCGCCACTGCGGCTACTAGTAGCAAAGCGCTCTGGGAGATAGAGGTAAGGTTTTCTGAGTTTTTAGAATTATATACCTAGGTGGAAAAAGTGCTTTAGGCGTCCATAGGCTACGGTAACAATTACCGTCAGACGGGCGGTATGCTTCATTACCACCTTCGTGAAAAAGTCTACGTACATTTCTATTGAGTTATATTCTAAGGGACAGTCCCTAAATTATGTCACAACAACTTTGAGAAGAATGGAGAGAGAGGTCAAAAAATCATTAACAAATTTAATGATGTTTTGACTTAAGACCGTGAGCGTCCTTATCACGGCTATTCTTTTTCTAGAAGTATAGAACATCGTTTTACTTCTGATGGTCGCGTGTTCGATTCCACGCAAGATGCAATCATTTTGTATTTATGAGTATGATTGTTTGTATTGGTCTTGGTAGTTTCTAAGTATATTATGTAAATATATTACAAAAAAATCTAAATATATGTACCAGATTTATAAAACCATAACACAAGCTCTGCTTAGATTGGGACTAGATAGCGCTGTGTGAATTGTCTAGTCCATATTATTATTAAAATATAAATCCAAAATTGTGTCTTTCTGTCTATCTCTTTATTAACTAAATGGCTGAAGGGATCGTACTTATGTTTTATGTGACATTGTGACACGAGGATGGGCACGTTAAAAAAATCATATGAAGTCGCGGGTAAATGGCTATTATTATATAATCATTCTATTTATAAGGTGGTACAACATGACCCGTGTCGTGGTGGAGCTGGTCACTGGAACTCCCTATTCCGATTCAAGCACTTAGCAACGGGGCATTATCTGGCAGCTGAAGCCTGCGTCAAAACACAGTGAGTTTTATTTATATGTATATGGCAATATTAGTAGTTTTTTTTTTCATAATACATTAGTGGTATTCAGTCCACTGTTTATTTTTCTTATCTTTACTTCCTATTCACCCAAAGGTAGTCTGGAAGAGATTGCTTAGCGATAAGACCGCCTTTTGCATCAGTTAATGTATATTATTTGTTCTCTATTTGTTACTCGTACTTGTAACTATAAATAAGTATTACCGCATGATCTTACTTTCAATGGTGGCGGGTTCGATTCCTCGCACGACGCAAACATTTGTATTCATGAGTATGTATTATAATCTAAAATCTAGTAGATGAATGAAATGTTTGTAAATAGGGACAATTTAATCAGAATTAAAGTAATCCTATTCAAAATCTTAAATTAGAATAATATATTGAATATACATTTGGTTAGGTTATATATAATATCACGTTGCCATCTATAGGTGCCGGATAAAAGGAAGTCAAGTGAAGGCGTAATAATGATTTAAACCATCGCCATTGTATATTTTGCTCTTAAAGTTTCTAAATACTTGTATGCCAAGCTATATTCATTATTACATGCCAAGTTATATACATTAAATCCTCGTGTGATCATCAGGGAGGCTCCTCTGGAACCCGGCGAGCCTGCATACCAGCTGGTCTCAGTGCCGCATTCATCAGAGATCGCTACCCTGTTCGAACTGGATCCCACCACCATGACGCACTCCGATGCACCCGTACCACAGAGCAGCTATGTTAGGTTTGTTACAGTTGACAATATTTTTTTTTATTTAATTAAAATGGCGAACTATGGGCGACGGTTACCACTTACCCGATGGTAATAGAAAATGATGAATGATATGGTAAAAAAAACGAGCTTTTTCCTTCTTAAAACGCACGGCCGGCAACGCACATGCTTTGCGGGTGCTCTTTGGCGGCGGTAATCATTTGCCATCTGGTGAGCCGCAAGCTCGTTTATGAATAAACTAGTTACTCGTCCCAGCTTCGCCCGGGTGTACATGAATTACACGTATAAACCTTCCTCTTGAATCACTCTATCTGTTAAATAAAACTGCGTAGTTTTAAAGATTTAAGCATACATAAAGACGGACAGACTGCGACAACGACTTTGTTTTATACTATGTAATGATAAGGCCAGAATAGTTGTCGTAAATAGTCTATACGAGGCTTTATAATTTGAAGTTGGAAAAAGTCATCAATGTACATAATTATAATTGTTAATTCTTATTATAGGTTACAACATTTATGCACACACACATGGGTGCACTCTACGGCGATACCCATAGATAAGGATGAAGAGAAGCCTGTCATGTCCAAGGTATATAAATCTTATTTTAAATTTCACTTTGAGATACAGTTTTTTTTTTGTTTTTTTTTTTGACAATTCACACAGCGCCATCTAGACCCGAGTTAAGCTATCTAAAGCTTGTGTTACGGGTACTAGATAACTGATACAAGTACATAGATATTTTTTTTTTCGTAAGTATAATACATACATAATACACATAGAAAACACCCAGACCGATACAAACAATCATATAGTAATACAAATGTTACAGTGACCATCTTAATTGTACACAATGGGAGCATAGCTTTACTCAAATGTCTAGAATTACCCAATACAGCGTGGCATAGGTATTAGTGAATGGATAAAACTTTTTTTATCATGTTGTAAAGTCCCCGTTCAAAAGACACGTCAAGAGTGGTGTTGGAGGGGTGTAGCACTGTTAATCACTAAAAAAAAATTGAAACGTCATCTCAATTAGACTACATTTGATTAATTTATACTATAAATATAAACCTTACATCATATAGTCTAAAAAACCTGTTGTGTAGTTCTTTACCGACATATACAGTCTGGCGGGGATTAGCTCACAGCTACTACCGATGGTCGCGAGTTTGATTCCTCGCACGCTACATACATTTGTATTCATGGGTATGATTGTTTTTATTCGTCTGTATATATTATGTATGTATCTATGTATATATAACAGTCGTCTAGGATACAGGCTCTGGCTTACCTTGGGACTAGATGATGTGTGAATTATCTAGAGGTTTTTTTTATACTAACTAATGTTCTGTATCTGCATCCAGGTGGGTTGCTCATTAGTGAAGGAAGATAAAGAGGCGTTCGCGCTAATATCCGTGTCGCCGAGCGAGGTGCGAGATTTGGACTTCGCCAATGACGCTTGCAAAGTGTTATCGGTCTTATCAACTAAGCTGCACCATGGGAATATAGAACATAATGAGAGGAAGTAAGTTTCAAATTCCTTACACTTAACTGTAATAATGTGGTCTACAACTCTGTGGTAATGATTCGAATTCCAAATACGTGTAATTTATCTTACGTATAATTAAAAATGAGGATGTTCAGTTCTCGTCGGCCATACGCGGGTGGTATGTAGATACATTTATTAGTATTAAAGACGAACTTGTATATATATACATATATAGTTTGTCTTTCTTATGTGTATTTGTCATACAATAAGTATGTCTACACTAGAAGGATTTCGATAATCCTTTTCGTAATCTGTACATTCCAGCATGTCTGCTTTTATTTATTAATTTCCTTTTTTCTTACTTATGTTGTGTAAGATGTGTTTATTTTTATTGTATTACGATACCCGAGTATCTATTAATAGAAATTTTAAATAGAAAATTTCAGTTATGACGATTCTTTTTGACGTTATTCCCACATCAGTTCTAATTTAAATTAGTAACTTTTGTAGAGCTTATTAACCTCATTTCACCATTAGTTTCATTTTCTTGTAATATTTTTTTAAGGGCGCTGACGTGTCTCCTTCAAGACATAGTGTATTTCATAGCGGGCTTCGAGAACGAGCCTAACAAGTCAGAAGCGCTGGAGCTGGTCGTCGAAAACCCTATCAGAGACCGGCAGAAGTTGCTACGCGAGCAGTATATATTGCGACAGCTTTTCAAAATATTACAGGTACAGCATCAGTATTAGCGTCTTCTATCAACCGCATCTCATCTCGCCATTCATCCAGATCAGGATGGTATTTTTGTTTATGGCGGGTAATACTAGGGTGAAATTCAGCGAACTGTTATTAAATGGTAGTAATGCGTACAATTTCTCAGAACACTCCGTGATATATGCTGTAGAAAATGCATAGACTTGCAATGTCTTGCCGCAAAGCCTGGATATGGATAATGAATCGAGTCTGTCACAAGCGCGTTGATTACAACGCGCAACTGGTGATGTAATCTTGATTTATGATGTAATGATCTGATCACCACTGCAAAATGTAAGAAGTATAGGCAACGGTTGCCATTTTCGATCAAGTAGTTTATTATTATCTTGGATTCGGTTCATAAGATATATTCTTAATGTATATTTTTCTCAGGGTCCATTTCAAGAAACTTCAGATGGGGAGCCGTTCCTGAAGATCGAAGAACTTTACGATCCCCGTTACGCCCCTTACAAATACATTTTCCGGCTGTGCTATAGAATTCTCCGACTTAGTCAGCAGGACTACAGGAAGAATCAAGTGAGTATACTAAAAATTGCTTCAATAAATTATAAATGTACACATTTACTCTGCGACAAAAAATAATACATGCATCATGACTAGGGCCTTACTGGCACTGCAAATTGAATAAACATATGGCAAAACGTAAGCCTTAGCTTAACGACAATGTGCAGATTTTGCCAAACAGAAGAGGAAACACCACACATGCAATGTGGTTGTAGCCCACTGCGTAACAAAATATCTCCTTTAAGTAAACACTATATCCTGAAGAGAAAAAATCATCGGTCCTAAGAATATATCCTTCAATTCTTGTCCCTGACGGGTCTAGGTAGCGAATTTTGAAAAAAAGGACGAGCACTATAGGTCTATACAGGTCGCAGTGCTACAGGTCAGCACCTGACAATAGCCTAAAACCCTCAATGATAAAAACATACTCTGACGCCCTGTATGGGATTTGGCGTAAAGATTTATAAAGGTCAGACTCCAGACTCTCACAAGGAATAACTTAAAAGTTTAAATCAAAATAAAGTTTCACAAGAGATTCCCTTGTGAATCATAAAATAAAGATTATTATTATTAGTTTGAAAATATAAATAAATAAATTGACGTATATTTTTCAGGAATACATAGCGAAGCATTTCGGTTTCATGCAGAAGCAAATCGGTTATGATATACTTGCTGAGGACACCATCACAGCTCTACTGCATAACAACAGGAAGTTACTGGAGAAGCATATCACCGCTTCTGAAATAGAAACGTTTGTTGGTTAGTACGCGCCTAAATACTACATGGATGGGAAGGGTCAATGGAAATCAATGTTTTACTTGAACTATTAATAATAATTCGAGAAAATTCCAAGCTGTTGTCAGATATATACTATGTAACCTGAGTATTTACACTTGTATTTTTTTCACACAGCGCCTTATACAAGATGTTTTGGTATCTTTAATGTTTGATAGCTTCGGTGGTGTAGCGGTTTAGTACACCGCTTTACTTCTGATGATCGCGAGTTCGATTCCTCGCACGGACAAACATTTATATTCATCACTATTGTTTGTATCGGTCTGGGTGTTTTCTATGTATATTATGTATTTATGTACAAACAAAAATTATCTAAGTATTTATATCAGTTCTTTAGTACCCATAACACAAGCTTTGCTTATCGTCATACTAGATGGCGCTGTGTTCATTGTCCAGTTATTTATTTTAAAATATTGACGCCAGGACTGGTCCGGAAGAATATGAAGACGTGGCAGTCCCGGTTCCTGGACTATCTGAGCGATTTGTGCATCTCCAACAAGAAGGCTATCGCTGTCACCCAGGAACTAATCTGCAAGAGCGTACTCTGCGCTAACAATTCAGACATACTCATTGAAACCAGGTATGCTATAAAACTGCTGTTTACTGTATGCAGGAAGTTATATAATGTAAACTGAGCATCATTACATAGGTTAAAATAAAGTCGCTGTCGCTCTCTGTCTGTCCCTATTAACCCTTAAAATTACTACGCAACGGATTTTGAAGCGCTATTTTTAGTAGATAGAGTGATTCAAGAGGAAGGTTTATATATTATATATAATACATGTATACCCGTGCGAAGCTGGGGCGAATAGCTAGCTATGTATGAATCAAAACAAATAAAATAAAAAATAATTTATTCATGTAGAATAAAGTGCTCTATCGCTTTTGAACGTCAAATATTTTCCCTACCATAATACCCTACGTCTCATAAGAATTACGTATTCCTGTTTCATGTAAATTAAACATTTAGTTACATTTAAAGAAACGGTATATTCTATTCCTCACTACTGTATAAAATTATATTCTTTATTTCTTTTTTCATGTATATCTAAATTATACTATACTTACTAGGTACAATATAGTTTAAATGATGTTAAAAATCGTTACATTATATTATGGTATATGTTGGGCAGGTATTGAGGACTGGGTTCTTTAATAGACTGTATTTTTGGTATTTTATATTAAGAGACACTAAGGTCGCTGATAGTAAAAGACATATATTTAAAAAATTACAGTAATAATCAAACAAACTAAAAAGGTGTTTAAAATGTATATATATAAAAAAGGTGCATTATGCACAGCAGGGGTTTCTCATTGTAGGAATTACATTTGATGTAGCTAGTCAAGTTGAATGGTTCATGGTTGTATTTAGAAGTTTCCTAAAATGTCTACTGCTGTATATTTACTTTGTACTGTGGCTACTGATCTCTTACGATGTCTTGGCTATAAATAGGAATAGTGACACTTCTTGATCTTATATATTAATTTAAATATTACCTTTTAGATTAGTCTCCACAAAATACGAGCAAGGAAAAATGTTAGAAGCGGATGATAGTAAATATACAATTGAAGATGAAGTCATATTACTGTGGAATAATAAAAAGGTAAGAAGTTTCTATTAACCTATCTTAATTATATTTAGTAAGAAGTCAAATCAAATCAAATCAGAAATCATTTATTCATGTAGGACATTTAACATTGAAGAAGTAAGTTTAGAGATACTAACGTAGATACAGCACACTTATACTTAACTAGTTGTACCACGCGGTTTCACATTTAGTTTCATTTAATTGAATTGGTCCTTGTAAAACCTGATCTAATCACATCGTCACACTTTGACTTTTAACTTAGTATTTCTTTTGACGTTTCTTTCTGCACCGACAATAAGAGTTGCAGCGTGATGTAAAATGTACTAAAACAATTGAGAATATGTCTGAGTGTCTTATCTGGGAATACAGTATAGTTTATTTCACAAATTATCTTGTATTTTTGATCAGAATTCGCGGCTTTTGTCGGAGCTGGCGGCGGAAGCCCGCGTGAATCCAAACAGCGAGGCGGCCGCTATACTGGACTACTACCGGCACCAGCTCGATTTGTTCTCCAACATGTGCCTCAACCGACAGTACCTCGCACTCAACAGCCTGTCACCTCAGCTGCATATACATCTAATACTCAAGTGAGAATATTGTTTATTACTGATCTATATTTTTGTCCGCGTTTATAATATTAGTTACACCAATTTTAGTAATTTTTATTATCAAGTCTTACAAAATGTATTAGAGATAGACTTTGTAAGAAGTTGTCTGTGTTTGTAAGAAACTTTTGTCTCTCCTATTAGAGTCTCTAAACATCTTGCTATATCAGCTTATTATATGTTTCACTTGGAGGGTTAGATATGCCTGTGAAATTACAGGACAAAGAAACTAGTTATTATGTTAGGAGATCCCACAGTCAAATGACGACGCGTTGCCATTGGTATTATATGCTATATTTCCATCCACACACACAAACTTCCGTGTTTATAATATTACTAAGGTAAATACAATATGTGTGTATGTGGCAGGTGCATGTCGCAGGCGCAGCTGTCGTACGAGCTGCGCGCGTCGTTCTGCCGGCTGATGCTGCACCTGCACGCAGACAGAGATCCGCAGGAGCCCGTCACGCCCGTCAAGTACGCGCGGCTCTGGACCGAGGTCGCCGACAACATACACATACGAGAGTGAGTCCTCTCAGTCCAGTTATAGTACAGTAACGTCGCAGGCGACCGTCACGCTCGTGTGGGCCGAAGTAGACTGTCTGAATGAGTCAGAACACTCTGGAACTAGCAAACATGTATGCGGCGAGGTATAAATGTCGTTAATCACTATTGTGTGGAAGAGTAAAAGTAATGGGATTCTGTGTCCTCTGCCTACCCGTCAACGGATGTAGTGTAAAGATATTTTTTTTTTTAAATAACAAAATATATGTTATCAGTTGAGTTTTTTGTCAGCTTTTCGTAACTATACTAGCTATTCGAACTATAGGGATACTGATAAGAAATTGTAACCTGGAAAAGTAGCCGAACACTAGGTTCGGCTACTCCTAGAACCGAAGTGTCCTATCATCATCAGCCCACTGCATTCCACTGCTGGACATAGGCCTTTCCTAAGGCACGCCACTGGGGCACGATCTTCAGCTCTTCTCTTCCAGTTACTACCAGTAACACTACGTATGTCGTTGCTCCACCTAACTGCGGGGCGTCATAAACGTGCTCTGTGACTAAATTATTTTTGCTTTGACTTTGTCTTTACATAATTCTAATTTGAACAGCTACCAATGCGTGAAAGGCGGCCCGGACGCGAACCGCGAGAAAGTAAAGGAACAATTTGCGTCCACCATACGCTTTGTGGAGAACTACTTGTGCAACGTGGTCACACGCACCTGGTACTTCAGCGACCACGACCAGAACAAGCTCACCTTCGAGGTCGTCAAACTTGCCAGGGAACTGATCTACTTCGGATTCTACAGGTACATTAGTATAAGATCTTGGTTTATCTAGATCGGCAGTATATTCTATATATAAGTCTGTTTTTTAAACCCAAAGACAAATTTGACATTATCTATGATGTCAGCTTGATGCAATTTTTAAATAGGTTTATAGCACAATCCGAAATTAGTAATTGTTACCCATTTTTATAGGTTACTCAGAAATAATGTGTAGTTGAGGTGAGTGTCCTAGATTAGCTCGAAGTGTCTGTCTCTGGCACATGATGGACCCGTCTCCCCCATTCGTTCGTCTCTACCACACTCCTCTCCCTCTCTCTCTCTAAAGGGTTTTTCTGCCATTATTATGATTATTTAATGTTTCTATTATTTCATCACATTCATAAAGCCGATTTAACCCTGGTCTGGGTAAGAAACTAATTCTGGTTATAGTTTATCTGTTGTTTAATATCACCTTTTCATTGATGTTCAACAGCTTCAGCGACCTGCTACGTCTGACGAAGACTCTACTAAGTATCCTGGACTGCGTCACAGCTATGGATCTACTGAACGAGACCAATGCCCTCTCAGGGGAGGTTGAATGTAAGTCAAAACTTTAAAGTATTTTTATATAGAATACCGAGAATTTTTTTTACAATATGTGTTATGTATTTGATAAATATACATATTGTTCGGATATATTTTCGAATAAACACTGTTGTCATAAATAATTTCTGTCTAAATTATTTCTTAACGACCAGCCTCACACTCTGTGGCACAACTTACTCGATAGTCTCGGGTTCTACTCGAAAAATAATAGTTAGACTATTGTGCCATATTGTAATGTGAACAATATTTTTATTATAAATGCTATTATTGACTTTTTCAACACATTTCAAGCTTCTCAAGAAAAGGAAATGACCAAACGTAAGTACATATATTATAGGAATCATTGTCTATGTGTTTTCTTTAAAATTCTAATTAATGTAGCGTAATAGTTTATTACTCAGTTGAAAATTATTAATAGCAGATATTTATAGGTATCTTCATAACACTACGTTTAGACATAGATGAAATATACCTGTTTATATACATGTAGAAATCCTGATGATTTCTACTTGAACTTTCAACTTATTTCCTGGAGAGTTTATTTTGTTTTCGTGATTATTATACATTTGTATAATCTTAATATTAAATACTAGATATCTGCCCCGGCTATGGCTATATGTGTCACACATACATCTGTTAAAATAGCTATACAATTCCAATTAAAATAATTCGTTATTGTTTTCTACCATTACAAATAAAAATCAAATCTTTTCTTCTTATAATATTAGTTTAGATTATGTTTGTAATATAAACATATATTTTTTTGTTCATAGCGGAAGGCGGCGTTTTACGCAGTATTGGTGACATGGGGGCTGTGATGACTTCAATAACTCTAGGATCCGTCCCAAGAAATGTGAGTGATCATAGAATGATAATATTACTATTTTTTTTTGCAGCTGCAAAGGCAAATATGCTGACAGTTTACCTGATAGTATGTGGTCTTATATACATGAGTAGCACCTGCGACATATTGTCATGTAACACCTCTGGTAGCCCTCAAAATATAATAACTGTATTTTCCTTGTACTTCACACCTTCCTTCCTTCACAGGCATGTCTAACCCTTCAACTGAAACTTATAGTAGGCTGTTACTACTAAAACAAGAACAATAATAAATGATAACGTCCATACTTTGTAATTTCACGGCCATAAACCGAGACTTAATCGTAAAACCGGAACATTACTTGTAAATTAATCTGATTTTTTAGCTGGTACTATTCACTCACATTCTTTTAAACCTATTAGATACTTCAGGTCCGATCTAGTTCCGGTGCTTTATGTTTTATTCCTCTTATTATCCACCTTTATGTCCACAGGTGGGCGGTAACACGAGTTCTGGCAACACTGGCATGCAGCGCAGCGCGTCAGCATTAGTGCTTGCCAGAGAGCACCCTCTCGTTATGGACACCAAGCTCAAAATTATAGAGATTCTACAGGTAATATTAATTTTAAATTTTAACTTAATTATTTATTTTGTTAAAATATAAACAATTTAATTTAATTACTAAAAATATTTTAAAAATAATTCAATTTATAAAATTCATTACATTAATAATTATATGGTAAATATACAATAAAAAAAAACAGAAAAAAAACCTAAAAGTTAATTGCCAAGATTGTCCCGTATCGTTTACTTAATTATGGGCAATTCTTAAATGTACTCCAAATTTTGTGATAGATGACCATAATTAGATATCTATGTTGATTTAATGCAAATAAAGAATTTTAACTACTCCAACCCTAAATTAATGGAATGAGGAAGAAACCGATGATGATGACGTCTATTGCATGTCAGAAATGATTAATGTGTAGAACTAATATATGTTAATTATGTTAAACCATCACTGTAAAACCACATTTAAGTAATAAATTTTATTTCATTTCATTTTATTTCATTTGATGATGAAAGCATTTGAATGTAATTAGATGAATGAGTGAAAATGAGAATTATATTTTTCGCCACAATTTCCACTTCAATTGCAAAACAGTAATATTATGATATTGTAAATTCTGTAACAGACTGGACTAAGTTTTTATGTAATTGAAATTCTTTTGAAGATTTTTCAAAAATGGCGAGACTAAGATAATCACGCTTATTTTGTTAATAAGACAGTCTGCCTCTTGTAAAATAGTTTATTGTATACAATTATACACGTATACAGTTCATTCTGGACGTGCGGCTGGACTACCGCATCAGTTGTTTGCTGTCGATCTTCAAGAAGGAGTTCGAGCAGGCCGGCGACCGCAGCGCGGACAACATCGCGCGGGCCGATGTCGAAGCGATAGGGCTTCAAGCAGAGGGCATATTTAGCTGCCGGTTGGTGATTATTTATATATACTCATATTATAAAGAGGAAAGTGTATAATATGAATGTGGATGGATGTAAAGGGAGGGGACGCCCTAAGAAAGGATGGATTGTGTGAAAGATGATATGAATAAAAGAAGAGTATGTTCAGATATGACGACCGATTGAGACCAGTGGAAGAGAATGACATACTGCGCCGACCACAAATAATGGGATAAAGGCAAGGCTATGAAGACTCATATTATAAAGAGGATGAATAGATTCTTGAAAATACTAAATAATGCTGGCAGTCAAAGAATGAATCTTTTGTACATTTTTATAGATCTTCAATTTTTCTAGTGTCAATAAATAATGTATTATCAAATTAATATATTTTAATGTTTTCTCTATTTCCAAAATAGATATAAAATAGTTTTATTTGCATTATGCAATAAAAAAGAAAAGTTACATTTAATCATTTATCTATACATATAAATAAAATTGGAGTGTCTGTTTGTAATATTGAAATAACCGTTTTTTACTACATGCATATGAATACGGGACATACACCAAAATATTTTTTATTACGATTTTTGTCTGTCTGTCTGTCTGTTTGTACCGGCTAATTTTTGAAATGGCTGGACGTATGTTGACGGGACTTTTTTTAGCAGGTAGCTGATGTAATATAGAGTAACTTAGGTTACTTTAATTTCATATATTGTATTTTAGAAAAATAAAGTTAAATTCCACGCGGACGAAGGCGCGGGAACAGCTAGTCAATACATATGTGTGTAATACATAGGACCGCGTTTTGTATTACTCAATATATATTTCTTATTTTAAATAACGACCGCCTTTTGTATCTGTTAATATACATTTATTAATTTAATTATTTTCTATATTTGGTGCAATACAGATTATAAATAAAATAAATAAATAATCAATACTATTTCAATAACATTTTTAATGTATAAATTTTATTTGTCTAGTATTTTTCTTAGTTGTGTAAATTAATTGTGGACCATAATATAACAAATCTGATAGTATAGATAAGTTATATAATACTGTAATTTTTAATATCTGATTCTCTGTAATTGATGTAGAAATCTTCATTAAAATGTAACCTCTTTAAATTATGTACTCTGTAGAGTTATGTATATTCTAGTAATACTACAGAGTACTTCAGAGTGGAAGCTTAAAGACCATCTCAATATGGAAAGTGGTATTTATTATACAGAACTATGAAAAAAGTCCTGAGAAATATTTTCTTTGTAGGTATAACAGCTTTTCAGAATGAGCACTGGCTGAAATCTTTCACTCTGAAATAGTAATTGTCTATGGTGAGGTAAATTCTTGTGTAGAAGGTAGTGACTAACGCATGTTGCTCCTTGGTGGCGGGACCACGTCAAAGTATCAATAATACAATATATTTATATATAAGAAACTAACCGAAACCGAAGGAAATCACTGTATTTATGTAACAAAATATTTGTGTACTTACTATTAGCACATTTTTGAGCAATACTGTAGCTTATTTACTGGTTTACTACTACGACTTATAGACTTTAACGGTCGTGAGTTATAGTCTAGGCAAAAACACTATGTTAATTTATATTTCTGACAAACTCTTCACTGATGGCTACATCGTTAACAAAGTAAGTTTATCCGTGATTGTCATAAGTTCGCCGTCTTCCTTGCTGAGTTCGCAGCTTACTTATATTGTACAGCTCAAAACATTGAGAGACTGTTTCAAATTCTTTTGTTAACAATGTATCAATCACTAAAGAGTAAATACATATATTTTTTACTCAAATATTAAACAAACTTTCTATATAAAAATGATATTTCCTTCGTGTTTGGCTAGTTGCATCGGATACTAATGTGAAAAAATTATTTCAGAGCTATACAGACTGTGCCCGACAGCTGTCTCCCAAAAAATGTAGATTTGTTAGTAAGAACTATAATACAGTGCATGTCGACTGCACTAACATTTGCACGGTGTGGCAGGTTTAACAAAAACATCCTGTATCTTTACAAGTTGTATTAAAAAAAGAAAACATCCTCTATCTTCGTGTACAATTAATTTTATTACAAAAAAATTAAGCTATATACACCTTATCTTAAATTTGCATAATAAACTTTGTTTATATTTTCCAACTCAGAGATACTACACTCAGGCATATTGTGTAATTTTTCAAACAATACTATAAATTGGTGCTCGATTTGCGCATATATTAAACGTGTAAAACAATAATTTACAAAATAAAATTCAACTATATATTTATATCAGTTGTCTAGTACCATAACACAATCTCTCCTTAGCCTGGGACATAAAAGAGTTCTGAGATGTAGAAAAAATACTTAATGAAACTAATTTTTAGTTATTTTTGTAACAAAACTATATAGTTAAAGAAACGATCGATTTTGTTAAACCTTTCATACGTAGAATTACAATCCAATAACGCAACTAACCCTCTCACTTTACTTTAGTCAAAAATAGTAATCCTTAACCTCTTTGGATTTCTGTATACTGAACGAAATGTGTTTGTATTATTTAAAAAGCACGTCAGTTTTGCATTCATACTAACCCAATAATTGAATGATGTTGTTATGTAGCTCGTCAAGCATTAAGAGATGTTTTTCTTGAAGTACATTTTATTAGAAAGAAAGAAACAAAAATATTTTATTCAGTGCAATGTAAAAAATACAATATAAACAACAAACGAAAAAAAAAAGAGCAAATAAAATGTACATATAATTAAACTTAATTTACCATAATTTATATTCATTTCAGTTCATTTTAATTATTCATAACAATTTATGTTTTTTTTAATAATTACATTGAATTTTATTACATACCGTAATTTATAACTAACTAATTAAATATCTATTATATATAGGAAAACGTTAATTTAATAATAAAAATTTATTGAAATTATTACGATTTTAATCAAGAATTGTAATGGTTGTTTGATATCAAATAAAGTAAATATTTTTTTAATGTATAATATAATTCTATTGTGTTCAGGACGATAATGATAGCATCCAAATAAGGCATAGGTATATGTTATTATTATTATTTAAATGCGACAGTTTGTGAGTGTGGATGGATGTTTGTTACTCTTTCACGCAAAAACAACTTAACGGATTTTGATGAAACTTTACAGTAATATAGCTTATGCATCAGAATAACATATAGGCTATAAATTTCACGCCTGTGAAACCTGGCATAGCTAGTATATATAAATAGCCTATTTATATAGTGTGTACAAATTTAGAAGTGACATAATGTCTTTAACGACCTCTCTTAATGCATGATGATGCACTACATACTATATTAAGTCTTCAGCTTCGTATGTTGCACTCCCTTAAGATTTAAGGTATTTTGTACACGGCCTCAGCGGTGTAGCGGTGTAGACACCGCCTTACTTCCGATTGTGGTTCTATTCCTCGCACAGTACAAACATTTGTATTTATAAGTATGTTTAGTGTTTGTTATTTATATTATGTATCTATTTAAAAAAAATTATATAGTATTTGTGTATTTATATCAGTTGTCTAGTACACAAAACACAAGATCTGCTTAACTTGGAGCTGGACGGCGCTGTGTCCACATAAAACCCAATATATATAAATAATTGAAATTAGATTTGATAATAAGGCATTAATAAAAGAAGAAATTAAATATCAAGTGTATTGACTCGAGTAATAATTGAAATAAAAATTTGCACTTATTTTCTTCTAATGTTCAAAGATGACAAGGAATATATGTTTTTAAAATATAATATTTCTATTTTATATGAACCAAAGCATTCTTATCAATAATGTTAATATACGAAGTTGATGACTATATAATATTACCACTACCATGCTTGGAAACCAAACTAACACTCGTGTATGATTAATATTTATATCAAATAAAAATATCCTATGTGCCTTAAAATATCACCTAATATTATCACAAACCTTGAAAATTTCCCTAATCGTTGCAATATGTGACTTTGTGATTTGAATTTCGAATTGTGTTTTCGATTACAAGAGCTTTCTTCAACAATATTTTTTTGTAAAAATATCATTTTCCTTTGTTATAAAAATCCATCTAATGTACGTATTTTAGCTGTTTAATATTTGGTCCTTGGTCTCATTTCATTTTTTTTTTTTGTTATATTTATCCTTAATGGAAAGGCAAAGAGTCTAAGACCATACAGCCGTTGTCTTTGGTATCATTTCTGTATTTTAATTTATTTTTTCCTTCTTCAGATATCTTCTACTGTGGAGACAATATATTCATCAGTCATTTCATTTCTTTGTTAAAACGTATGTTGAAAGAAGCTCTCATATTTGTTATAGTAACTATGACGTCACAAATATTTGCAGAAGTAGTTTGATTTACTATTTTTTATTTCTCTTCTTATTTGGCCTATGGCAGATTATGTTATCCTTAGCTATATAGCCCAACGATCGCGAATTATTAGATTAACTTCTGATCAACTTTTACCTATGTAACTTTGATGTTTTCGGAGTGGTTTAAAATAAAAAAGGTGACGTCATAGTTGCACAGAGTGATTACCGAAAAACTATAGCTTTTTGGTAACACATGTAAACACAAACAGGGATGGTTTGGACCTGGATGAGTGCGGTGGACGCATGGTGCTGCGCGTGCTGCTGCAGCTGTGCTCGCAGGGCGCCTCTGCCGCCCTCGTCTCCGGCGCCCTGGCGCTTCTCTTCAGGCACTTCAGTCAACGGCAGGAGGTGCTGGCGGCTTTTAAACAGGTATCCACCTCTTAGTATCTGAAAACCAGTTGAAACCGGAATATGTATGGTTTACTACCCTAAATTATAACCACGAGATCAAGAGATCAAATAGAAATAATCTTTATTAAAATTAACTTAATATAAGCACTTTTAAATAGTCACTTTTTTTATATTCTACCACTCATTCGGAACGCAGACTCATCACAAGAAAAATGCGGAAAAAACTCGTTTGTTGCTCTTTTCAATAAATGTTGTTTTAAGTAGATTTACATTAACAAGCATTAGGCATGCGACAATCAACATATTCGGCAGTTATTAGTTTAGGATTAAAATTTCCATGTACTCAATGTGTTAATGTTTTGCAAGGTACAACTGCTAGTATCGGATGCAGATGTGGAGTCGTACAAGCAGATAAAAGCAGATCTGGACCTGTTGCGGCAGAGCGTCGAGAAGTCCGAACTGTGGGTGTTCAACAAGGGTAGAGCAGGCCTCCTGGATGATCACTCCGGTATGTCTAATTTATGGGAATCGCTTTTAAATATTTTTATGAACTAATATTCTTCTTCGAGTGGTAGCTCTACTGAAAATCAGGTGGACTCGCTACAACGAAAGCATCGCTTGTCTAAAAAAATCATATACATGGTTGTAGTTCACGCCTTATAGTGGTTAATAATGTAAAATCTATGATATTTATAATTATTATTAATCATTTTAATTTCGCCGTTTCATATTTACAGTTTTGTGGCTTTATATTCTTTTTCTCCTACTCGAGTCATATTCGGACAAATAACAAGACCCGAAAACGTTCAGTAATAGTTATATTATTGCTGTATAGTTACTTATTTTTTCCAGGTTTATCAGGCACGGTGGGTCCAGGCGGTGCTGTACTAGAACGGAACGCTTCACTTGACAATGTTCTAGACACGTCTAGAACGACAAAGCACGACCATATGAATGAATATAGGAAAATTAAAGAAGTAAGTTGGAAAATGTTTCAGAGAATAGAACCTCGATTTTTGCTGTCGTAATTTGAAGCCACGTTCGTATTTATTAGCTAATTATACACATAACCTGAAGAGAATTAAAACTGTTTGCAGAAACGTCAAAACAAAACTGTTCTGGGCCCATAACCTTAAAATTATTACTAATTGAATGTTTATGACAAACTTTTGTTTCTAGATTCTACAACGAATGATAAAGTATTGCACACAAGGCAACAGCGGCGCGGGAGAGTCGAGCCGACCGCGGAGACACGAACAAAGACTGCTGAGGAATATAGGCGTTCATAACATTGTATTGGATTTGCTACAAGTAAGAATAATCGTCGTTTTCCGTCTAATGATGAAGTAATTACTCTATTACTATATTTTCATTTCTAAGATATCAATAGCTGTGTCTAAGAAAACAAAGTACAAATATATCGGTGTAAGAGAACAAAAACCAGAAATAAAACTTGTACTAAATCGCCTGGTTAAACTTTGTAATAGTAGGATCATCCACTGACGACAAAACACATTTGTATCCATGAATATGATTGTTTGTATCGCTCGGGGCATTTTCTTTGTATATTATGTATTCATTTACAAAAAAAGACCTAAGTATTTATATCAGTTGCCTAGTACTTATGACACAAGCTCTGCTTACCGTGGGACTAGATGGCGTTGTGTTAATTGTCCAGGGTTATTAATTTATTTTGTATCCCCAGGTGCCCCACGACGAGGATGACGCCGCTATGGACGAGTTGCTGGCGCTTGCACACGAGTTCCTGCAACACTTCTGTCACGGCAACCAACAGAACCAGGCCATACTCCACAAACACCTGGACCTCTTCCTCAACGCTGGGGTATGTCACTATATCATCATCATTATCATCATCTGCTTTTTCCTTACCCTATTTCACTGCATCATTGTTAATGTAGAATGGTAAATTTAATTGCATCTCAGTAAGAGAGTTTATGTGTACTCTCTGAACACTAGTACAATTATAGTAATATTATTAACTAGCTGTGCCCGCGACTTCGTCCGCGTGTCATAGTGACCTTGATCAAAAAAGAAGAAATATTTAATAATCTAACCCAAAATTCTTCTTTATTCTAAAAAAAAATTACATCGTTTTTCTTGTTTAAAAATTATACTAATATTATTAATTAATACATGTATCTAATCCAAAACTAAGCAGACTTTTGTTCTTATATAATGGTTTTATCTCCAAATCATGAACAAACAACCTTCATTCATCCATACTCATAAATTTCCGCCTTTATAATATTAGTAAGATAATAATAAATTGTATTCTACTCTATTCTATTCTATACTATCCTATATTGTTTACAGATTCGTGAAGCACGAACAGTGTGCGCAATCTTCAGTGACAACGCAGCGCTGTGCGCGCACGAGGGTAATGAGAAGGTGGTCGCGCACTTCGTGCACTGCATAGAGTCCCGCGGGCGACGGCCGGCGTACCTCCGCTTCCTGCAGACCATCGTCCACGCTGATGCTCAGTACATCCGCCGCAGTCAGGACCTCGTCATGCAGGAGGTCAGTGATATTTGATTTTGTTATACCTAATGTTTTTTTTAATTTATTACAATACCGTTACAGAAAATGGTAAAAGTTGAAAATATAAGACGGTAAGTTACTGCATTATAAATGCAAATCAATCTTGTACAATCTATATAAAAAAAATAACAGACTATTCAAAATGCATAAATTAAATTTATTTGAATAAAGGATTTTCTATTCTATCCTATAATGTGACAGCAAAGTATATATTATAGATATAATATAATCTCCTCCGCTGTCTGTTCGCTTATATCTTTTAAATTACGCAATGGATATTAATGCAGTTTCAGAAATATATAGAGCGATTCAAGAGGAAGATTTATATATATATAATACATGCGTGTTATACTTAAAAGAAGCCGAGAATATCAAACATTAATAATACATCCATGCGAATTCGGGAAAAATCGCTAGTAGTACATAAATTAGACATTTTTAACAATATGAGGTATTTTTGAGTTGCTTCTGTGATTTTGTCCGCAGATGGTAAACGCCGGTGAAGATGTCCTGATCTTCTACAATGACAAAGTGTCATTTAACTATTTTATTCAAATGATGCGACAGTACAAGCAGACCTATGAAATGCCAGAGGCTCTAACGTGAGTGTTAAGATTAATTTTAAAGTAAATTGTTATACTTAATGTAAGAAATTTTATTATAATTATAATAAAATAAATAAAAATTATAATTATATTGTTCTTTGGTCTGGTTATAAACCAGCGCCGCACAAGAACATCCTGTCGGTATACGCTGAACCGTATATTTTGTCGACTTTAATTAAGTATCAATTAAATGTATTTCTTTCATGTAATGATTGGCAACAATAAAATTATTCATATTCTGATTTGTATTCTTATCTGTCAAAATTATCATAGAGTCTGCGCACGTAAAACAAATATTTTAATTTGATTTCATAAAAAAATATTGTTATTATTACAGTTACCACGTCCAGTTGGTGAAGTTGCTGACATGCTGCACAATGGGCAAGAATGTATATACGGAGATCAAGTGTCACAGTCTACTGCCACTCGATGATATCGTCGCAATGATCACCCACACAGACTGCATACCAGAGGTATTCAATAGACATAATAGCTGCGTCACCCTCAATGTCAGGTTACATCTGGTCCGTATGTTGTCGACAATGTCCTGCTTCTTGGTGGCGTAGTGTAGGCGGGACTGGTACATTACCGTGGTGTAGCAATACGCAACATGAAGTTGGGGCCCAGTCGTGCAGTGCCACAATGGTTTTGATTGATGCTCTTTGTGTGCTTCTTCTGTACCCTGAAGAATCCATCATCATCACGGTCACCAGTAGGAACTATTTTTGTTGCCATCTTTTAGGCCTAATCACCAGTGGAGGATGATAGGATGAGCATGAGGTCAGGTCCGTTAAAACATATTGGCAAATACAACAGGAACTTTGCCAGGAATTTATCATACATTCTTAGCAATAGGATCATTAGTCTGCATTACTAATATTTACAATTATTGTTATGTTAAATATATTTTGTAGGTAAAAGAAGCTTACGTAGGGTTCCTGAACCACTGTTACATAGACACAGAAGTGGAGATGAAGGAGATCTACTCGAGCAACTACATGTGGGATCTGTTCGAGCGCTCCTTCCTGCAAGACATGCAGGCCATACTGGAGAATGATGCTGGTTAGAATATCAGGATATTTTTAAATGTCAATAGAATTAAAATTTTAAATATCAATATAGTAATATAACGAATTTGCTAACAGGTTATCAGCCCAAATCTGGTCGACGGTAAAAAAATATATTTCTGACTAACAGATGGAAATACCGATAACAAATTAATTAACTAAATTAACAACAAAAAAATAATTACACGTGATATCTTACTACCCCTCCCCTTGTGATATTTCGTGATTTTATCCGAACCTCTTCCCCCTCGAGCCTCACGCGATTATATATTATAAAACATATTCGATGTTTCCAGGGCCATCAGAAGGGGCGTCATCATCCAAAACTCAGCCCTCCGATACTAAGAAGGCGTGGGTGAATTACGTTACGGATGTACTAATGCACACCATATGTACATTCTTCAATTCGCCATTCAGCGATCAGAGTACGACTGTACAGGTGAGTACTAATTAAAAAAAACGTAGCAATTATATTTCACCCGTTAAACTTCTTACTATTTTATTCATGGGTATTATAAAAGTTTGTAAATGATAATAATGTTTTTGTATATCTGATGGCACTAGGAATGAGTACGTAGTGGTTTCTGTTCTGTAATATATGTTTTGTTTATGTGTATGCTTTCACTATGGTTTGGATATTAACATCAAGTGAGTATCAAAAATTTATTTCACTTAGTAAGTTATCTACAGTACAAATGATTTTTTAGTTATGGCTAAATGGCGCTGTGCAAATTATCAAAAGTTTGATGGCTCAGTGGTCTAGAGGATTAGCTGCTTTATTTCCGATGGCTGCAGGTTCGATTCTACGCACGGTACAAACATTTGTATCCTTGAGTATAATTGTTTGTACTGCTCTGAGTCTTTCCTATGTACAAAAAATAAAGTGTTTATATCAGTTGTCTAATATACCCTAACAACATATAACACAACTTCTACTTAACTTGGGACTAGATCGCTCTGTGTGAATCATCCAGGGATTTTATTTTTATATTTCTTTAATTCCTCCAGACCCGGCAGTCCATATTCGTGAAGCTACTGCAGACCACGTTCAGCATCTACCAGTGTCCGTGGCTCAGTCCGCCGCAGAAGCTCAACGTTGAAAAATGCATACGCACCCTCAGTGAAGTCGGTTAGTGTTTAAATATGCTTTACTATACTCAATACATAGATATGCGTATACGCATTTCTGCGAGGGAAATCTATACAAATAAATAAAATTGATATGTCTGTTTGTCTTTTCAATTTAACAACCCTGAGAAAGAGTATAGGCTACTTTTTATTACGAAAAAAGGATTGTATGAGGTTGAAGGGGGAGATGAACGGTTTTATGGAAGTCTCGTTATTTTTAAAGCTAGAGGCTTGAAACTTATTTTTAGGCAGTTGATAAAATATAAAGGGGTAAAACAAAGTAAAGTTTTTGAAGCTAGAATGATGAAATTTGATTTTGGCGTATTTGGGGATTCATTATTAAATATTTTTTCTTTATTTGGTCGTTGCCACATTTCCATACAGACAAAGTCGAGTCGAATTTAATGAGTTACACCATATATATGTACATAATTACTTTTGCAGCTAAATCAAGAAGTATAGCCATACCGTTAGAACTGGAAGCTAAAATACAGACGGTGTTTGAAAAGGCGGCAGCGCTGTCACGGCAGACCAGTAAGTGGTTGCTAGCATCCAAAACCTCAAAATTGGAAAAGATGACCTCACAAGTAAGTAACTTTCTCACTACTATGTATACCTTACTAATATTATAAACGTGAAAGTTTGTGAGTACGCATGGATAGATGGATATTTGGTACTCGTTCACGCAAAAACTACTGAACGGATTTTAATGAAACTTTACAGTAATATTGCTTATACTACTGGATTTGATTGAAAAAGATTACATACTATAAATTGAGCGAAATATAATGATAAATGAGGAAGTTGCGCGGATCAGCTAGTAAAATAGAATCATACAATTTCATTTGAAAAGATTTATATCGCTTTGACGGGTCGGGACTGACGGTAGATTTTACTTATCATAAGTAACTGTATAACAGGAATAAAGATATTTTGATTTTATTGAAATGATCCGTCAACAATCGTTATAACTAAATAGATATTACAGCAGTTAATATTTATATATATAAAATTTATAAAAATATAAAATTCACTCGCATGTTGTCTTTATACTACGCGTTATGTGCATGCGGCTTCCTTATGCCCACAGTATTGTTATTAGTTATTTGTATGTATGTTTTTTATATCATAGTGGTGGCAAAATAGCATGTAAATGTGAAAGGTCACTATAGACTATAGTCACCTGAAGCAACAAGTATGTGACAGAATTTATTAAGAAACTTTATTGGACCCTACTTAAAAAAACCCATGTAGGGACTAGAATACGGAAAGTAGTTCATTGTTAGATATTCACAGTGTATCTAATAATTAGTACCCTTCTTAAGAATCCCCATTCTGTAATCTCCAAAGAGAACCTCAGCAAGTAATCAATTCCATAATCGATGTCTAACTTTGACATTTAATATTAAATGAATTATAAATATTCTCCAGTCGAACTTACAAAACGACAGATCAGTGATGGAAGGCCTTCAGGAGATAGTGGCGCTGCTCGAGGAGCAGCTCCGACCGCTGCTGCAGGCTGAACTGTCCCTGCTGGTAGACATTCTGTACAAGCCTCACTTACTGTTCACCAGCTCGGGTGAAGTTGCACAACCGGATACCAGCGGGATATTTATATCTAGGTGAGCATATAAATATTTATTTAATTTTGGATACTAAATGCCCATATTATAAATACCTTATACACTAACATACTTGTCAAATAATAATCTTAGTAATATTATAAACACGAAATTATGTGAGTATGAATGGATGTTTGTTACTCTTTTACGCAAAAACTACTGAACGAATTTTGATGAAACTTTAGGCTAATATAGCTTGTACATCAGAATAATATATTGCCCATAAGCACACGGGTAAACCACGGGCACAGCTAAGAAAATAAATGTAATTAAATAAATATAATATATATAGTTTGCCTCTGTGGTTAATAATAATATTTTCCAATAATGGTGCTAATAATATTTGGGATAATAAATACTTCTTTTTGTTTGTTCATAGACTGATACGTCACACCGAGAAACTTCTAGAAGAGAAGGAAGAAAAGTTGTGCGTCAAAGTGTTGCGTACTCTGCGGGAGATGATGGCCGTCGACCCCGAGTACGGAGAGAAGGTAATTTCAATACACATACACCAATGAAAATATGTATCGTATCTTACTTATATTATAAACGCTAAAGTTTGTGATTATGGATGGTTGGATGTTTATTACTCGTTCACGCAAAAACTACTGATATTTAAAATTGTATTGACCGGCAGGGCAACCAGTTGCGCAACAAATTGCTCTCCCAATACTTTATCAATCGGAAATCGGAACCCAAAATCCAGCCGCCTCAAGCCTCAGTTGCCGTCACTCATGGACCGGGCGGTAAGTTGTCACATTTTATGATGAACAGATGTTTAATACTTAAGTAATAGCCTTTTTACATTATATAAAGCGAAATAAGATTAGTAAGAACAGCAGAGAATAATATGCTTTGATGGTTGCATAAGAAAATAGTGTTACAATTATTACATATTTACTTTAGTATTACTTTTAATACCATAATTAATATCATGTAATTAAAATACTGAATCTAATAACAAGAGGTATGTTTAATTTACATTAATATTGTATTACTTATAATAATATAATTATCTGCTGTCTTGATCAGTAACACAAGTTTTGAAAATTAATATTTTTTATTAATTTTTTAATGTAATGTTTCATTGATTATGCAAGGGTTTTACAAGCAAAGCTATAAAATCATTAAAAAATATTTCAAAGGATTTACGAACTAGTTATCATCTAGGTTACTACACTTAGTATGGTTAAAATAACTTCACAGTGTTCATTTAACATAGATTTAGTGAGGCACCAGTGTATTACTTAATTTTGAAAGTTGTTTTCGCTTAACTTAATTATAATAGAAATAATTAAGTTCTGCTAATAGAAATCTTCGTTTACTTAACTATAATTGGTCGAGATAAAAAGTAACCTTGTTTCTTTTTCTTCAACAATTGACCGAAAAACAGCAATTGTAAATGTTGCGTTAATGTACACTGAAATATGAACTTTATGCCTATGACTCGGTAGGGTTCATATTTTTATGAATGTGATTTAGGTACTTTATTAGTACATATTGGTGTTTATATTTAATAACGAATGTGATTGTCGTAATTGAAATATAGAATTTATGACGAAGACACCTTTCAGAGCACATAACTAGATTAGATTTAGACGAGTTTTTTTTCTTTATTTCACTACGCGCATGTGACGCAGATACCCATCCGCATCAGCCGAAGACAGGTGGGTCCGCGATCGACTACACACCGCTTTGTGCTGGCACGCGCACTTTTGTTGCAGTATTTTACAGCACATTTAGCTTACACTTATATGTATTCCCTCAACTTCGTGTGTGGCACTCCTTTTTTTTAAATTATGGTAATGTTCACCCATGCCCCTCCTACTGGAGCCTGAGGGACATAATGGGATTAGTGAAATTACAAGTTTATTGGCATACACTATCAGTTCAAAATGGCGACGCATAATGCGTACTAAGTGCGTCACATGAAGACGTAATGTCTGTAGTGTATAATAGCGACGGTATTAACATCAGCTTATTTGCCATTCCAGTTAAAAAAAAACAATAAACTCATTACGACGCTCCTTGTTAAGAGTTTTGAGGTCGGGCTAGCATTCTACCACGAAGTTATCACTCCCTAGTATATAACACAAATACAACACAACACATTTACTGGGCTTTTGTACAAGGAATGACGAGTATTGCCTATTCCATACGTAATTTATGTTAGTAAGCCGCAATAGTGCCGCTCATGAAGTTGTACTTGCTATAAAATCAATGTTTCTTCATAGCATCATATGAATCTCCAATAGACCATATCCAGTTGATTCTAATACGTACTATATTATCGTTGATGATTCAGTTTTTTATCGTTATACCTATATCTGATGGGCTTGATAGTCTCGGACCGGGCCTTTTATTTCTTTTTGTTCTAGTCTTTGTAAAAAAGATATTGATTAATTTCATTCAGTTGTATCTATATGTGTCAGTATGTATATGTATGTTCTGCTTCGTTTGGAAGTACATGGCGTTGTTTGAATGAAATTTAAATTGAATATACCTATTATTAAAATAATCTTTGGATTATTTGAAATTGAAGTTACGGTTTACTGGTCTTAATCGTTTAGAAGAAGATATTCATTGAAAGATAGGGCTACAATCAATATTGATATCAAATCCCAACTATAATAATCTTCAATTTAAATGTATTCGTTATTTAAAATATATATTCAATGTATCTATACCAATAATATAAAGAGAGAGAGCGGATTTCGCGTAAGAAAACTCCGAAACACACTGCTCCAATTTAAAAAATTATTTCAAAGACAAACCGAAGGCGGGCCATTTTATATAATACTTTATAAAATATATAAAAAATTGCACAATTCTAAAAACCTGAATATAATCTTATCAATATTATAAACGCAAAAGTTTTCGTGTATGGATGGATATTTTTTATTCTTTCACGCATAACTACTAAACGGATTTTGATGAACTTTACAGTAATATAGCTTGTACATCAGAATAACATATAGGCTATAAATTTCACGCCGGTGAAAGCACGGGCACTAGCTGTGCCCGTATTAATATATAATGAACCTTCGTCATATTTATATGATATCATATAAATATTAGGAAGACCATAAGAGTATTTTTAATATTAACCCAAAGAATGTTTGAAATCGTTTTTTTCGTGGCCTAAACAAAACATTATTTACTTTGTTAGTTCCGTAATCAATATGTTAATATTCAAGTAGATATAATTAAATAGTTTTGCCTCTTCAACCGCATTGCTTATTGCCACTTAGTGTTATACACATACACACACTTGCAATATATAATTTGTATGTATCTATGTTAAAGTTGCATGAAACGAAATTTGGTGTTAACTTTGTCACTGTACTTGTAGTTTGCTCACAGCACTTGTTTTCAACTTATTTTCTGATTGAATGAGATATTGTGAGACACTTTCAAAAATTTATAGTAATTTTAATATATCTGTATACAATTTAATATTGTAGCCTGAAAATATATATATATATATATATTTATATTGTATATTACTTTTGTCTTTGCACACATTATAGTTTAAATAGATTTATTAACTAATTATAGTTTCAAAATTTTAAATTTTAATTATGAATATAATTAGTGTTAATGTGTGCATCGACAAACAAACAGACATTTTTATTATATTACTTTAAATAGTTATATATAAAATTGAGGTAAGTTTTCAATACATTTGCTACAACATTTCAAGTTTTCAATACATTTCAAACTGAACCGCGATATTTCCACGTAACAATATGCCCTGGACTTTCAATATATAAATATATATTTAAATCTGCAACAAAGATTCCCATACAAAAATATACCACAGACTTTCAATAACGATCAATATGCCACTTAATTTTTAATATACTAATTTATATATAAATTTGCAAAATCTGTTAGAACATTGTTAAGTCTGATGCTTTACAAAAGGGATCCTTCTTATCTGAAAATATTCCAGTGATTTTTATTAAGAACTATTTTAAGTAAATTCTCTCGAAATTATATATTACGATCATTACTTTGTGTTATCCCTTTGTGTAATTTATTATACATGGACTTTTATTAAATACATCTTTACATAATATAAAATGAAGTCGCTTCCACTGTCCCATTCCCTTAGATCTTTTAAACTACGCAGCGGATTTTAATGCTGTTTTAAACAATAGATAAAATTATTCAAGGGGTAGATTTATGTGTATAGGCCGTGGCGTGGAGTTAGTTTATATAAATCTGCAAAATTTGTTAGGATATTGTGAAGTCTGGCTTAACACAAGGGATGCTTCCTAACTCAAAGTATTACAATGATTTTCAATATTATAGTGAGTAAATTTTGTCGAATTGAATCTGCCATTAGTATAACGCAAATTTAACCCTCCCGGTACAGCAAAGGTACTCATGCGCACCGGCCAGACGCTGGCGCAAGTTCAGGCGCATTTGGACAAAGAAGGCGCCTCCGATCTGGTGGTAGACCTCGTCATAAAGAGCACAAACAGACCAGCGATATTTCTGGAAGCTATACAATTAGGTAAGTATATTTTTTGTATAGCTAGAAGAATATGGAATGATACACTCGTCTATGCTAATAGTACACTTTGGTATGGCTGAAGTGAAAGATGATAGGATAAGCATGATGTCAGAACAGTGTCCTCTTTGTCCTCCTCTCAACCTCTTTGAGGAATAACCACTATCGTTTCCGCGTGGAGATGGCATTATCTGACATTGCGAGTAACATGCCACTAGTTCCCACAACAACTAATGCTATCTCTCCTATCAATGTTTAGGGAATGGTCCTCTCTTCTACGCTAACGGTATACCCTGGTGGGGTACTAGTATCGTAGATGAATCATACCCAAAATATGCTTAAAACAAAACTATACCCAGCCAAAAGGCTTGGTAATTGGTTGGCAACCAGTGGTTATAGTATATAAATAGTTATAAGTCTATGCATTAAAAGTCCCATGTTATGTATTAAAAAATTACGGCGAAGAATGTATTTAAATTTCTACATAAATATTCTTTTTCGCAGGAATTGCACTCTTAGAAGGTGGCAACCCTATTATACAGCAGAGTATATTTACAAAGCTACAAAACGGAGAAATTTCACAAGCATTCCTCAAGGTAACGTTAACATTAAATTCTCAGTTGGTTACTTTTCTAGTACATTATTAATATAGTTAAACGTGATTTAACATGAATAATTTTATGGTAAATAAAATTATTTACCTCTCTCGACGTTTCGACTAGATCGCACTAGCCGTGGTCACGATCTGACTGGAGTACCAGCGAATATCTTTGTCGATAGGTGCCGACAGTTTATTTAACTTTGTAATATACATAGTTATACTTGTAATTACAATAAAGTATATGTGTTTCAAAGATGGTTGAAATAACGTTTTTCTTGATGGCAAACGTGCACTCTCGCCTATAAACATGAACAGTACCTCACATATTACAAAATAGACAATGACGTATTATTTCATTCGCTAAGATGGTTGCTTTGTCATGGAGACAAGTAATTGGGGAAAAGTATAAGAGAAAAGACAGAAACAGATGTGCAAAACAAAATTAACACGTCGCCAACAAAAGTTGTTGGTTATTCTAAAATAGTTAAATAAAAAAATGTTTATTATTATGTTTGCAATATATATGATGGTATTTTGTAGGTATTCTACGACAAGATGCGGGAGGCACAACAGGAGATAAGATCGCTAGCAGCGAGCAGCACGGCCGCCGCCAGCTCGGATAAACAACGTTCCAGTCACTCGGAGAAGCAGAAACAACCCTCTGTTGATGGTATAACTATGAAACAAACTTAACATTCCATAGACACACCGTGCGGGTGCCGGGTCCATCGTGTGGCAGAGAGGGAAACTGCGAGCAGTTCCCGGGACTTGTGACCCGGGTGTAGGTCTAAGGGGCGCCTTGTGATGCTCGTGTCTCTCTCTGCCCAGACTAATGTGGTAGAAGCCCGCTGGTACGTGTATCTAAACGTTCTATTATAGGCCAGTAGCAGTAGCAGTGTGACAGTACGTTGTCACAGCATATGCTGAGTATGGGCCACATTCTCAACTAATGATGTAACTATATGAATTCTAATATGTTGTAAAATTAATGTTATATATGTGTTATAATGAATAACTAATATTGGTAGCCAATAAAAGTATTTGTTTTTTTCAAACAAGCTGACGGTCGCTCAGATGGTAAGTGCCAACAGCAGTTGTATATATATATACTATCTGTGTCCGCGACTTAGTCTGCGTGTTATAGTGACCTTGACCAAAAAGAAGAAAATATTCAATAATCTAACCCAAAAAAGGCAAAGCAACATGTTTCATTGTTCTAGTTTCAAAAATTACAATTTTCCATACAAACTTTCATCTACTTTATTTTACACCTTTAAGGGTAACAATTTTACAAACTTAATGTCATATTTAATTATATTAAATGAACAGCCTAAAAAATAAACTTCAAGCTTGTAGCTTTAAAAATGACGATACTTCTACGATTTTTCTACTTATACAATCTTTCATTTCGCCTTTCAACCCTACTTTCGTATTAAAAAGTAGCCTATGTCCTTTTTTCTTTCTTTATTAATTACAGAAATCCCAAGAAAATCCCAAAAAAATTTTTACCGTTTTTATTTTGTACACAACACAACTTAATTTTACAGGATAGAATGATAATTTTATAACAACAGAATGACTACTACTAACTACTCTGGAATATTAATGTGGCATCGGTATTGTACAGTATTAAAATATTAATTTAAATAAAATACTATTATTTTAATATAGTAATAACAACGCTAATTAAATTAATTTTCATTATTAATTTGGCTGTTCCCGCCATTTTCTGACTCCGCAAATGCACAAAGTACGTTATAAACATTGAATGTTAATGTGGTGGACCACAATAAATTAAACCAAACACTATATTACTATAGTTATACAATAATAAAAAATAAATTATGTCTATTTTTATTTTATTTTTATATTTTGTGTTCAGGTCGTTCAACCCCGGGGCCGCTAGTTGTGGGCGAGGAGATGGATGAGGAAGTGACGAGCGCGTGCGGGTCCGCCGTCCACGCATACTCTGATATACACAGCATGTCACACGGTATAACATACAGATAAATATATACTCAATTGATATATAACTAACATCTAAATTACTTGTTTGGGTATTACAAAAATTAGTTAGAAATTTGAAGCACATAGATTAAAATTTTTGGTGCGAAATGAAGTAATTATTTTTTTCATTTCACGATAATTTGGAACGCATAGTGTCAAGTGTGGCCAATAAACCAACCAACCATAAAAAATTAGTTTTTATTTTCATTTATAATTATGAGAAGCCAGATGAAGAAAGATAGGATGACCATGAAGTCAGATCAGATAGTGTTCCATCATGGAGAATTCACCAGGAATTTATCACGACTACTTCCAGGGAAGGCCTGCGGGAAGATCGATCTGATGAAATTTGCCAGAATAGTTTTTAGGCAGAATTGTATAACCATTACTACCAATGGGGCCATAATTATTATAATACATATAACTAATACTTTATTAATGTCTAAAAAGAGAAATACCGTAATTTCATTAATCTTCATTCCAATTCGATGAAAATAGAGGCCTTTAAACTACCTAAACTACCTAATTAACTAAGTACCTGTTTATTTAAAATAAAAGTAATGAATTTCTGGCAACACCTTTTGCCAGGTACGACGGTGTTGGAAGAAATAATGGCTGAGAAGAAACGCGAAGCTGGCAACTCAGACGTTCTGCCCGCTAAAGTGTCCGTGATGCGACCCATACTCCGCTTCCTGCAGTTACTGTGCGAGAACCACAATCCTGACTTACAGGTATCTAGTTATTGAATCATTACATAGTACAAAACAAAGTCGCTATCGCTGTCTGTCTGTCCCTATGTATGCTTAAATCTTTAAAACTACGCAACGGATTTTGTAGCGGTTTTTTTAATAGATAGAGTGATTTAAGAGGAAGGTTCATATATATAATACATGTACAACCGTGCGAAGCCGGGGCGAGTAACTAGTATATTATAATAAGTAAAAAAATATGCGATCTGTAGAAACTGTTCCCGCTTGATATTTTTAGCCTATGTATTATTCTGATGTGTAAGCTATATGACTGTAAAGTTTCATCAAAACCCGTTCAGTACTTTTAGCGAGAAAGAGTAATAAGCATCCATCCATACTAACAAACTTTCGCATATATAATGTTAATAGATATTAATAAGATGTATATATTACTAACAGAATTTATTAAGGAACCAAAACAACAAATCCAACTACAACCTCGTGTCGGAGACGTTGATGTTCCTGGACTGCATCTGTGGGTCCACCACGGGCGGCCTGGGTCTGTTGGGCCTGTACATTAACGAGGGGAATGTGGCTCTCATCAACCAAACCCTGGAAACACTCACAGAGTATTGCCAAGGTATAGTATACTTCTAGAATCTTCTTTCTTTGTGAAAGCACTGAGAGAAGTTTATATGACTTGCTGAGACTTCCCATCTTAATTTAATATTATTCTCTGATGAACGAAAGGTATACCTAAAATAAATAGTTTTAGTATGTACATTGGCTAAACATAAAATATAACCTCAAATACAGTATTACTATAGTAGAAACCGGATATAACGACATTAAATTGACTACAAAGTGGGTATGTACGCTATAACCGGATGATCGTTATAAGCATATTTTAATTATTATATTGATTTAGTATGTACTCTGACATTCAGTCGTTCTACTGAAAATCTTAATCAAGCGTAACTGTGCCCCTCAAATAAAAATAACCCTGAATAGTTCAAATAACGTCAACCTCTAGGGCTAAGGTAAGCAGAGCTTGTTATGTGTACTAGACAACTAATATACATAGATATTTTTTTTTAATAATATAGAAAAACTCAGACCGATACAGACAATCGTACTCATGAAGATAAATGTTTGTACCGTGCGAGGAATAGAACCCACGACCATTAGAAGTAAATCGGTATTCTAAACCGTCCTCAAATATCTTAGTTCGATCTATAATAAAATCAAAGGTAGTACCACAGATAATATAATATGGTAGTACTCACAGAAATCACATTTGTTTTCCAAACAGGACCCTGTCACGAAAACCAGAACTGTATAGCAACGCACGAGAGCAACGGTCTCGATATAATAACAGCGTTGATACTCAACGATATTAATCCGCTGGGAAAGACGCGAATGGACTTAGTTCTAGAGTTGAAGAACAACGCCTCCAAGCTACTGCTGGCCATCATGGAGTCGCGGAACGACTCTGAGAACAACGCCGAGAGAATACTATATAATATGAATCCAAAGCAACTGGTGAGTTTGAATTAAAATCATTTTTGCTTTATTCTATCTATACCAATATTATAGAGGTAAAATTTGTATGTTTGTTTGTGCTGGGTAATCTCCGGTTGTGCTGATCCAATTACTGTTAAAAACGTATATTATCCTCAAGTGCTATAAGCTATATAACATCTCGCTACGACCAATAGGAGCGGAGCAGCAACGAAAAATGTTGCAAAAATATTTATTACTAACAATCCCTATCTTCCTATAAATAGAGTTTAGTGTTTAATACAAAATCTTGAAGACCTGTGAATTGTCAATAACTACTGGAAGCGACATTTGTTTATATATAATATATTTTAATATAATAATTATTAACTTTTGTACAATAACATTAATTTATAGGCAGTAACATGTGGTTGGGATGTGTATATTATATATTGACAACGATAGTTTATTTTTTATTTAAAGGTGGATGTTGCGTGCTCAGCGTTTCACCAGGAACATGCGATGGATGCGGATTCAGATTCGGAGGATGACGCCCCTGTGCAGGGCGTGTCACCTAAGGAGGTTAGAACAGAACATTACTAATTCAAATAAACTAATATTTAAGTACTTTGCAGTCGAAATAGGTGCTACCTCTGATAATTTATGTTTATGTAACATAGACTAATAGTTATATATAATAATAAATGTAACTGGGACCGTATTGACGATAGATGGGCCACTCTCTACATCCTGTGTCACTAACAGTTAAAATTATGAAGAGTTACTTGGACTAATATTATTTAAATAAAGACATATATTATATGCTACTTTGACGAAGTCACGGCTAATAGCCAGTAATAGGTAGTAACTGTAAGCGTGTTGGCGACAGGTGGGCCACAACATCTATATCCTGTGCCACCAGCTGGCCGCACACAACAAGGAGCTGGCGGCGCTAGTGCGAGCCTCCCCCACGGGACACAACGCACCCGCGCTGCAGTACTACCGCACGCACACCGCGCAGATTGAGGTACGATGTGATACTACTTGTGGCACCGCTCACGTAATCCTGGAGTGCGTAGCAGTGGCCACGCAACGAACACAAATCCTCGCAACGGTGAGGTCACTCCGTGAAGACACCAGGAGGCTTCTGCGCTTCTGGGAGGAGCTTGGCTGGCTACTTTAGTAGTCTCAACGGCTCATATGAGAGGTTAATTGCGAAGAATAGAGTCCATATAACATTACTTATGGCAGCACTCGAGCGGGCCTCCCCCGCCGGATGCAACAAGGTGAAGCTGTTAAGAATTAAAGACACAGCACAGCCAACAGCACTAGAATTGTGAACAAAAAATGGATCGGTGGTCTAGCAGCTTGCACACCGTTTCTGATGATAAGCTGTGTTCTAAGTCGCTCGAACGGTGTGAACATTTGTATTCATCGGTTTGTTTGTATCGATCTAGGTATTTTCTACGTATATTATGTATCTATTTACAAAAACTGTAATTTAAGTATTTATATCAGACGTTTAGTAACCATAAGACAAACTCTGCTTAGCTTGGGCTAGAGTTAAGCTAAAAAGAGCTTGTTCGTGCTGTGTAAATTCTACAGGGTTATTATTATTATTTTGCTATATGTTTTTTATTATGTTCTCTTTGATGAGGTGATAGACTTGTCTATTGTTATTAACTTGACTTGTATTATTGTTATTAATAATAATGAAACTATATGTGCCTTTAAAGTTTTAGTTCTCTGTTTTACGTAGATAGTACGAACGGACCGTAGTATGGAGCAAATAGTATTCCCAATTCCGGAGATCTGCGAGTACCTGCCCGCAGACAGTAAACACCGCGTGCTGCAAAGTGCCGAGCGTGACGACCAGGGTAGCAAGGTTGCCGATTTCTTTGCCAGACTAGATAACCTGTTCCATGAGATGAAATGGCAGAAAAAGTTGCGTGGTAAGTGTAGTCTCAAATTTGATGGTTGGTACATGTAGAGACAAAGTGTGACTGTGTGACACGGAGGTGGCAGTGAATCTTCTTTTGAATTTCGTGAAGTCACATTCAATAGCAAAAGTATGTAATTACCGCGATTTCATCCGCATGAAAATTATAGCCTACATGTTATTCTGATGTATAAGCTATATTACTGTATAGTTTCATCAAAATCCGTTCTGTAGTTTTTGCGTGAAAGAGTAACAAACATCTAATAAAAAAATATATGACGTTCCATCATGGATTGGGAAGTCTCGCAAATGTGACCAACGGTGTCAAAGACTGAAGAGGGGTCAAATAGAAATAATCTTTATTCGAATAAACTTAATATAAACACTTTTGAATAGTCAAATTTTTTTCATTCTTCGACTCATTCGGAACGCATCACAAGAAGAATGAGCAAGAAACTTGCGTGTTGCTCATTTAAACAAATGAAGAATTCGCGTTTTATCAATGGTCTATAATGAAGGTAGAAAAAATTTGTAAAATTGCAAGGTCATTTTTTATTTTATTTTATTTTTACAAATTAAACAGTGTTTATTAACATTTTAAATGCATTAGGTGTACTATCGATGTTCACCGACAGGTCAACCTTTCCTGTTCTGGGTGTCGTCCTACATGTCGCTGTGGAGCAATATATTATTCAATTTTGCCGTTCTAATCAACGTCATCGTGGCATTCTTCTATCCTTTTCAAGACGAGACTCCTAGTAAGTATTCTAAAATAGTTATTACTGACAACCGCTATATTCTCTATTTGTATATTTATTTTATCTGTATCTTAATTATAGTCTATTCATTCATTTTTTGTAATTTTAGAGAGGTGCATTGGTCGGGGAAGTGGTGTTGATGAAGAGATGACTGAAAATCGAGGGAAATCCTCGATTTTCAGTCATCTCTTTAGTTGTTGATACAACACGACTTCAATTTTTTCCTTCATATGCTTGATACAGCTGTGTTCCCTTCTCCTCATTCCTTCTATTTATCCTTAGATAATAATATTCATAAGTTCGTCGTGTCATATCAAGTGCTCCAACATTAAGTATGTGTCAGTAACTAGTGAAGAAAGAATTTATCTATCTATATATATGGCAGTGACATTTGAGGGCATTTGATGACGTTTTAATTTAAATGCATGAAAAGTACCTGTTTGTGTGTGCGCCCCCGGAGAGCTGGGCCAGCACCTGTCGCTGGTGGCGTGCTGCGTGGGTCACGTGGCCGCGCGCGGCCGTCTATAACACTATACAGGATGTTTGTTTGTGTGTGCGCCCCCGGAGAGCTGGGCCAGCACCTGTCGCTGGTGGCGTGGTGCGTGGGTCACGTGGCCGCGCGGCCGTCTATAACACTATACAGGATGTTTGTTTGTGTGTGCGCCCCCGGAGAGCTGGGCCAGCACCTGTCGCTGGTGGCGTGGTGCGTGGGTCACGTGGCCGCGCGGCCGTCTATAACACTATACAGGATGTTTGTTTGTGTGTGCGCCCCCGGAGAGCTGGGCCAGCACCTGTCGCTGGTGGCGTGGTGCGTGGGTCACGTGGCCGCGCGGCCGTCTATAACACTATACAGGATGTTTGTTTGTGTGTGCGCCCCCGGAGAGCTGGGCCAGCACCTGTCGCTGGTGGCGTGGTGCGTGGGTCACGTGGCCGCGCGGCCGTCTATAACACTATACAGGATGTTTGTTTGTGTGTGCGCCCCCGGAGAGCTGGGCCAGCACCTGTCGCTGGTGGCGTGGTGCGTGGGTCACGTGGCCGCGCGGCCGTCTATAACACTATACAGGATGTTTGTTTGTGTGTGCGCCCCCGGAGAGCTGGGCCAGCACCTGTCGCTGGTGGCGTGGTGCGTGGGTCACGTGGCCGCGCGGCCGTCTATAACACTATACAGGATGTTTGTTTGTGTGTGCGCCCCCGGAGAGCTGGGCCAGCACCTGTCGCTGGTGGCGTGGTGCGTGGGTCACGTGGCCGCGCGGCCGTCTATAACACTATACAGGATGTTTGTTTGTGTGTGCGCCCCCGGAGAGCTGGGCCAGCACCTGTCGCTGGTGGCCAGCACGCGGCCGTCGCTGGTTTGTGTGTGCGTGGTGTCGCTGGGGTGGGTGCACGTGGCCGCGCGGCCGTCTATAACACTATACAGGATGTTTGTTTGTGTGTGCGCCCCCGGAGAGCTGGGCCAGCACCTGTCGCTGGTGGCGTGGTGCGTGGGTCACGTGGCCGCGCGGCCGTCTATAACACTATACAGGATGTTTGTTTGTGTGTGCGCCCCCGGAGAGCTGGGCCAGCACCTGTCGCTGGTGGCGTGGTGCGTGTCGGCGGCGGCGGCGGCGCTGGTCACGTGGTTGCCGCGCCCCTCAGGAGTACGTGCGCTGCTCGCGAGCGCCATCGTGCGGCTCATCTTCTCGGCCGGACCAGAACCCACGCTCTGGTGTCTCGGCATGCTCACGGTAACTATACTCTTTTTTTTTATTTAAAGTCTTGTAACTTTATTTTTAAAGGTGTAATCTTGATATAAATTTATACTTTTACATAGTTGTTTTTTATTATATATCTACATACATGACTATATATTTAAAGATAATATATATATGTTGTATACTCCTGGATGTCTCAAATGACACTAATGGACTATAATGTACGATTTTTATATACTACTATACTGTATGATTAATTTTACTACTAAAAATGATAATAAGAAGTAAGATTATTAAGTAAGCCAGTCGGACTAGAACTGGTTGGTGTCCAACTCGAACCGCTGTCACAATTATTCTTAATGTATAGTATGTATAGTCTATGATTATGAAAATGTATAAAGTAATAATATATGTAACAGATAGTGGTGAAGGGGATCCACTTGGTGAGTATAATGGGCAACCAAGGCACACTGTCCAAGTCCACCCGGAACGTGCTCACGGACCCCGAGCTCCTCTACCACAGCGTCTACCTCATATTCTGCTTCCTCGGTATTTGCTGCCATCCATTCTTCTTTTCTGTTCTGGTGAGTCTCTATATTATATTATAATAGCCAACTATTATTCTCGGATTGAATAACTTTTTTAGATTGCTTTTTATAAGTACATAGATTATAGCCTCAGTCGGAAAGAGTAGTATATAACAGTCCGCAAAGATATGAAAATGCTCAAGGTAACGAACATGTTTTGTTCTACAACTTTCGTCTAAACAAGTGAATTCTGATCAAGAGATCAGAGGATAGAACTTTTGTTATATAAAAATACAATAACTATATACTAATACGTGAAGCATTAACTTTGTAGTACTTTTTACGAAGATTGCCCGGACATCACACAATCCGGGTAGGATTGTGAAATTTTGAACGCATAGATGTATATGTAATTTTTATGTATATAATAATTAATGTAGTATATACTGTATATAATGTTATATACTGTATCTATTTTGTTAATTATCAACTGACGTCAACCCGTGGTCAGTACGTTTGTAACAGCGTCGGAATATAGGGTGCTCTTAAATGATTATATGTTATTTTTTTGTTATTCATTTTGTAGTAAGTTATTCTATAAGCTAGTATGTATATTATGTATACAATTCTGTAATCTCCACCAGCTTCTAGACATCGTGTACCGTGAAGAGACTCTCCTGAACGTGATGCGATCAGTGACTCGCAACGGTCGGTCCATCCTGCTGACGGCAGTGCTGGCGCTGGTACTGGTGTACATGTTCTCCATCGTCGGGTACATGTTCTTCCGGGACCACTTCCTGGTCAGCGTGGACCGGCTTGATGGTATGTGCACTTAATGGCATTTTAAATGACAGACAAGTTGACGGCTCGCCCGTTGGAAAAGTATGTCGTATGACATGACTGCCTCTGTGATCCAGCGGTTTATAAATACAGTCTTTCTTCCGATGCTCGCGGGTTAGATTACTCACACAAACATTTGTAGTCATGAGTTTGTTTGCATTGGTTTGAGTTTATTATTTATATATAGTTATAAAAAAAAATTGTATTTTGTTTAGTACCCAGAGATATACATATATCCATGATTTTGCTTAGCTTGGGACAAGAGAATTGGTTATAACGGTAGCCTATCTCCAAAAATTATTTTTATCTTTATAAAATCTATTTTTGTTTTATGATGTGGTATTAAAAATAATACAAAATTATTTGTTTAAACAAATTTAAATTTACTATTTATTTATATATATTTAAAAAAAAATACATATCACCATAAATTATAACTCTTCTATTATCAGTTCGATTGTCCTGTTCGAATAGTGATAATTAATTCAACCTTTTCTGAGTCAACTTGTAAATACGAGTATTCACCCGTGGTCGAAAGGAGCGACCCTTATTTTTAATAACAATATTAATTTATATGGCAAAACAATGTTTGCCGGGTGAGGTAGTAATATAAACGTGGGGTGCAGATGATGACGACCCGCGCTTCGAGGAGAAGTGCCGCGACGACCCCGCCGCCAAGTACTCCGACGGCGGCGGTGGCGGTGGCGGTGGTGGTGGTGGAGGGTCGTGCTCGCGCGCGCCGCGGCTGGTGGCGGTGGGCGGCGAGCTGCGGGAGCGGTCGTGCGACTCGCTGGTGATGTGCATCGTGACCACGCTCAACCAGGGGCTGCGCAACGGCGGCGGCATCGGGGACATACTGCGCGCGCCCGCCAGCTTCGTACGTACTCGCACACACATCCACGCACGCGCGCACACACCTATAATATTATATTTTGAATAGACTGGCCCCCCTGGGCGCTAGTGGAAGATGAAGTCGAATAAGTTAGATGTGGCGGATCGACCACGGTGTTTTTAATATAGGCCGCGTGGACGACTTCCTGCACGCGGCCTCCAACTTTCTGCGTACACATACACACACACCTACCCCCCTCCCGCCCCACACACATACTCATACAACCCGCTACTTATATATTTTGAAATTCAATTTAGAATGTAAAATTATTATATTTTTATCTTTTTACGACGAAGCGGGGACCATGTCCTAAGGAAAGTATAAACATGAACCTGAATGAACGGAAAAGGAGGGGACGGCCGAAATAAGATGGATGGATTGTGTGAATATTGATATGGTTAAAGTAGTGTATGGTCAGATATGACGGTACATAGGGATCAGTGAAAGAAGTTATTATACTACGCCGACCCTAAATAGTGGGATAAAGGCAAAGCAATGATGATCGTAAACATGATATTCAGGAGCCGTTGTTCGTGGCCCGCGTGGTGTACGACCTGCTGTTCTTCTTCGTGGTGATAATCATCGTACTGAACCTCATTTTCGGTGTGATTATCGACACCTTCGCAGACCTGCGTAGCGAGAAGCAACAGAAGGAGCTGATACTGAAGAACACGTGTTTTATATGTGGTCAGTATAACTTAATAGACTACGCATGCGCTCTTCCATTAGTGAAATGTAGACAAAGATAACGAGAAAGACCGCAAGCGCCGCCAGCGAACGCATTACTGCGTTCTTCAATCGTGCGTGCTTTAGCAATTTTTTATTTATTTATTTATTTTATTCAAAAAATCCAGGGCTATTTACAAACATAGAATAAATAAAAGGAAAGAAATTTGACTTATAAGATTTCATAGATAGAAGCATAGTAGAAAATAAATTTACAGTACTAACACGAGAAGCGCCTATATGTATCATAAAGTATCAAAAATATATTAATTAAAATATTCTGAAACCCATAAAAACAAACATTTTTATATCGCGGATTTCTGACAATGGAGCTAAGACATAATGTACAATTATTGATAATTTATAAATGTTAAACGTGTTTTTGGAAAATAAAATCTTTAGGAAGAAAAATATTGTGAAACGACTTGAAACATAAAAAGAGTGATCAGTAAGTGATTTAATTAAACTAACAATAGTTTAATTAAATCACTTACGATTGCGTGCGTTGGCTTTCATGCCTACTGATGTTGTGATTTTTATAAAATAGCAATTTTGCGTGTAACAGGTTTGAACAGGTCAGCCTTCGACAACAAGACGGTCTCGTTCGAGGAGCACATAAAGAGCGAACACAACATGTGGCACTATCTGTACTTCATGGTGCTGGTGAGGGTGAAGGATCCCACGGAGTTCACAGGACCAGAGAGCTACGTGCACTCCATGATTAAGGTTAGTTATTTTTTTTTTTAATTTTTAATGGAATGGAAATTAAATGACACTGATTAAGAAATATTTTATCTTACTAAGACTATAAATGCGAAAGTTTGCGAGTATGGATAGATGGGATGGTTGTTATTCTTTCACGAAAAAAATATTGAATGGATTTTGATGAAACTACAGTAATATAGTTTTTTATACATCAGAATACAGACATAGGCTATAAATTTCATTCGGGCATGGCTAGAAAGAATATAAGAAAAATACTAGTGCGGTTTCTTGCCACTTCTTCGACTGAAGTGGTAAGCTGAACTGGATGGTAGAGTTAGTGACAAAATATTGTGACTGGCTTCAGAGTTCGAAAGCGGCTATATAACGATATGATTTTTGAGTTTTAAATAAGTGTTACTAAGTTAGAGTTTATCTCATGCAAACAGACAGGCGAGCCACCTGTTGGGAAGTGCAAACCATCACATATAGCTATATTCATGTACATGAATAGTACCACAGACAATCGCCTCGTGTGACGATCGTGGCACTCCTATAAGGCTTTACCATTTCTGTATGTGAATGCTGTTCGAGGAGAAACATTTTTTATATGATAAATCTTAATTTGCAGATACTTTTAATATTGTATTTGTTTATATATTTCCCACAGAATTAAACTAGGAATTCCTCGTTCGTGTTTTAGAAATGGACGATCGATGTTTCTATCCAATGGTGAACAACAGCGCTATTCTTTCTGGCGAAGATGGTGATTACAATGCTGTCGCTAGTATCCTTGCTAAGTATTTCTTTGTGTGCTTGGTGCAGAGCAACAACCTGGACTGGTTCCCGCGTCTGCGCGCGCTGTCGCTGGTGGGCGGCGGCGAGGGCGAGGGGGGCGAGCTGGAGCTGCGCGCGCTGCAGGCGCAGCTGGAGCGAGCGCAGGCCGCCGTGCTCGGCCTCACCGAGCTGCTGGCCGAGCTGCGGGACCAGGTACTGAGGGGGCGGGGGGCGGGGGGCGAGGGGGGCGAGCTGGAGCTGCGCGCGCTGCAGGCGCAGCTGGAGCGAGCGCAGGCCGCCGTGCTCGGCCTCACCGAGCTGCTGGCCGAGCTGCGGGACCAGGTACTGAGGGGGCGGGGGGCGGGGGGCGAGGGGGGCGAGCTGGAGCTGCGCGCGCTGCAGGCGCAGCTGGAGCGAGCGCAGGCCGCCGTGCTCGGCCTCACCGAGCTGCTGGCCGAGCTGCGGGACCAGGTACTGAGGGGGCGGGGGGCGGGGGGCGAGGGGGGCGAGCTGGAGCTGCGCGCGCTGCAGGCGCAGCTGGAGCGAGCGCAGGCCGCCGTGCTCGGCCTCACCGAGCTGCTGGCCGAGCTGCTCGGGGGGCGAGGGGGGCGAGCTGGAGCTGCGCGCGCTCCAGGCGCAGCTGGAGCGAGCGCAGGCCGCCGTGCTCGGCCTCACCGAGCTGCTGGCCGAGCTGCGGGACCAGGTACTGAGGGGGCGGGGGGCGGGGGGCGAGGGGGGCGAGCTGGAGCTGCGCGCGCTGCAGGCGCAGCTGCGCGCGCCGCGCCTCACCGAGCTGCTGGCCGAGCTGCGGGACCAGGTACTGAGGGGGCGGGGGAGGCGAGCTGGAGCTCATTCCACACAACACTTATACTATGCGACAATATGATGTATTATATTTATACTTATTTGTATTAGTCTGAATTATTTCGGAGTATTTTGTACACATGTAAATGTGACAAAAAAAAAAGTGAGAATTTATATCAGTTGTCTAGTACCCATAACACAGCTCTACTTAGCTTTAGATTACATGGCGCTGTGTGAATTGCCCTGAGATATTATTATTATATTATTTCGCAGATGACTGAACAGAGAAAGCAAAAACAACGGATCGGTCTGCTGAACTCAACGTCAGCGTATCTCCAGAACTTGCAAATGAACCTGCCGCCGTGAATAGCAACCATTACGTCGCACGCCTCCCACCAGTGACGTACAGACAACGTAACGATATTGTAACTATACATAACACTAAACACGTCTAAACTACACTAATTGCACTTTTTAATTTAGCCGCGAGAGCAAATAAATAAATAAAATAAATAGTAAAATAAAATATATGACGCAAATATTTTATTATAAATTTTTATTTTATTATAGACTATTTTACTATAAATTTAATTTGATTGAGGTTTTATGTTCATTATGTTATGAATTATAAAATTTTAATGAAATAAAAAACACATTGATTTGAATGTTTTTAAACATGAGCAATAATAATTAGAAATTAATGTGTTTTTTTATTTAAAATATATAATAATTGTAAGCTATTAGACAAATTGTAGATAAAAAAATCAAATATCGAGAATAGTCGACTATAGTCAACTAATCTCGATGACTATATCGGTGTGATGAGATATTTATGTGATTTATTTTGTTACTATATTTGCTTCTTGAGGCTAATTTAAGAAAGTACAATTAGTGCACTTTTTTTTTAATTCGTTGAAAATAGATAAAACATTTAATAAATAAAATAGCTATCAAGAACATATATAGATATGCAGGTTTTGCCAAGCTGAAAAGGAAATCGCTACACATCCTAAGTAGTTGTAGCCCACTCATGCATAAACAATATTTCTCCTTTGGAAAGTATACACTCTATCTTGAGGAGATAAAAACTATCGCTCCTAAGAATATCCTTCAATTCTTGTCCCTGACGGGTCTAGGTAGCGAACTCTGAAAAAGGGCAAGCACTATAGATCTATGTCGGTCGCAGTGCTACAGGTCTTAGCACCTGACAATAGCCCAAAACCCTCAATAAAAAAAATCATTTCTTGATGTAAATAGCAAGACAGAATAATTAATATATTAAAATTTATGAAATCGTTAACACGTGTTTTTGGCGTGCCTATACCAATTCCTTACCTCATTAAGGCGCACAATCGATAATATACCTTATTACGTCAACATAAAACACAAATTGACTTCGATTTCCACTGGCACAAGCCTGTTGATGTTTATTCATCCAAACACATTTTAGATATTCAATTATACATATATGTGTATAAATAGAATATGATGATTAGGTTTCCATATATATGTAGTTCTATAATGAACCTACTGTGTATGTTTACTATATTACTACGTAAATAACTAATTGCAAATTTAAACTTATAACGAATTTCACTCAAATATATTCCATTTTTATATTGGAAGTTCTATAAGAAACTTCTGTTCTAAACATATTTACCTATATTAAATAAAAGCTTAAAATATACCTTAATACTTATACTATATAGTACATATCTCCATGATATTTGTAGTTAGATACCACGTGATTAGCCAAGGATTTGAAATTTAATATATAGATTATTATTCTAATATACTAGCTCCCTCTAGTGTTTGACTTTGACAAATAAATACAATTATATAATGTAGATTCGTTGTTGATAGCCCTTATATGCCTACGAGAGGGCGAAAATTTAATTAAAACATAAATTATTGTCCTTATTCATAAAAAAAATAATGTAATATATTATCCATTTTAACAATCACGGTGTTCTGTCGCCTTCAATCAACAGATTGCAATAGGCTTTCAGCTTGGTATACATATATATAACTGTTACTGGAGCGGGAACACAACTACTATTTTAATAAAAACCAAATATTAGTAAAAATGTGTATTCTTCCCAAAAGGGCTCACAGCAAGAAGTAACAAAACAATATATGGTCAAAAGTGACATATAAAAAATAGATATAAAAAAGTTTATAAAAAGAATGGTAGACAAGCTGCCAGTAACAATAACTATAAATTAATATGGATACTTACATACAAATATCTAATGTAAGTATTACATACAAATAATAGTCACCTTTACATAATATAAAATGAAGTCACTTCCGTTGTCTGTTCATTTAGATCTAATTATAATGCAGTTCTTAGCACTAGATAGAGCTCAAGACAAATGTTTATATATATAATACATTTACACCAGTGTGAACCGGGGCGGATAGCTAGTTAAGCATAAACTGATATTTCCATATTAATGTCACATACAGTACTATGTAGAGTTGTAATAGCGAGACGGAGCCATCTTATGACGTCCGGATTGTAACTTTATCCCAATGAGAACTTTGCCAACTATAAAAACAAACTTACAATCTGAATATTTGAACAAGCAGCGACCACATCCCTACCAAATTCTGTTCCGTTCTATATAGTGTTGCCATGTATTAATTTAACATTAACCCTAAATGTGGTATTAATTTTCTCCTAATATTGAATAGAATAAGAATAGAAAATCTACAGATCATTCGGAAAGCTGTCTCGTCTCTTGAAAAATGAGTTGTTCTAAGTAAATACATATTAACACGGATTAGGCGTACGACTATCAACAACAAATAGCTACTCGATATTTGTCAGATAATATTGTCAACGCTATGAAGGTTAAATTAGAATCTATTTATATAATTAATAATATGTTAGACCTCGGGTTAGGTAAGTTGGCAACATTGTATCTTTGAGAACAGAACAGAGTGTGGCCACCCTGTAACTTTTCTGCCAGTTATATTCTCTATCTAATGTATTCTTAGGCGACTCAGAACAAAATCTGTTGGTAATATTATGTTCATAGATTATAATGGTTGACTGTTATGAGAGGAGTTTAGGGTAGTTGTAAAATAGTATGTTGTAATTATGTTTGTGACAATCGCATAGAAAAATCACATAGTAGCTAAAAAATATTACGATTATAAAAATCGGATTTTCTTAAAATAATCGATATTTTTTAGCCCCTTGTGAGAGGTCTTGTTTTTTAAGTCTAGTGACTGAAATTAATATATTTATTACGTACATAATATTTGCAACGTTAGTCTTTATTATAATTAATAAAAATCAATCATTATTTATCGATTTTTAAATACTAAAATCTATTTTGTTATTGATTAATAATCGGTAAATTTTACATCCCTAAGCTTCTCTACTTAATGAGTTACAATGTTCACAGCTCAAGTCCACTCTAGTTTGAGGAATATACGAATTTTATTGAATCAAATCTTAAAAAGATCTGAATTTTATCTCTATATTGAAATAGTTTTAGTGATTTTGTTACCTAATGTAAATGTTATTGGAGCCCACGCGGTGACAGTCTGTTATAATGCGAGTGTTTTAAATCGTGTATCTTAACTGCCTTTACACCACGTCCTCTCTTTCACGCGTAAATCTGCTTTTATGCAGGAAAGAAAGAGAACGCGCGCTTCGCCAGCTCGCGCATTCCCGCGTTCTTCAATCGTGCGTGTTTTAACGCCTTTTTGTAATAATTAATTATAATTGCAAAATGGCGGACATCCGGCTATGGAATAAAAACATAATTATAGAGTTATTGATAAATTAGGAGTCAATATCTGTGTCTTTCTCATAATAATTTACTACAAATTTACAGTTACTTATCAAGAATTAGGGAAATTTACTAAAAATTAACCATATTGGTTTCCAAAGAGTACATAGTGGAGGTCGACTTAACAGAGTACATTATTACAGAGTTAGTTAAAAGTTTCACGGTTTAAAACATTCGCAATGGTATCAAATATTTAGGTTAAGTTAAATAGTGTTTAAACGACGATTTATTGAAACTAAGGTTGTTATATGAATGACAAGGATGGTTGAATTCTGTTATTAATAAGTATAGAATGTTCTAGAGACAGTAATAGCGTTGAGGTTAAAGTAGGCTCTACACTATCAATTTTCAATAAACTTTACACAAAGCCGATTCTGTGGGTATATAGTATCGTACCAAAGTAGTTGCGTGTATTCACTTTGTATCGATTTGTTTTTCGATTGAAAGTTGATATGGCAATGAAATTGCAGTCTAAAGGCATAACATTTCTGTCCTCCGGAATGGCAATTATTGAGGGGTACTCCAGGCATCACATGATAACGCGATGTTCGTAGTGCTGTTCCTATATATTGTTGATATTTGCCACTTAACATCAGAAGCCGCATCGTGAGCTGTTAGTTGGTTTTTTTATTTACAATTAACTGAAAATCCATTCAAATTTTTTACTAAGTTTTGATGTAATTGCACAGCACTTACATGGTCAGTGGTGTCAAAATGAAATCGAATTGATATTGACGTGCCTAGCCTGTCTTGAAGTGCGTATAGATCAGCTTGATGCGGTGTTTTAATCTTGTGCATTGATAATGTAGAGCCCGATTTACAATGCTCACTTTACTCAATTCATACCATTGTTCATTTCAGATACTGCACTGCATTTTGCGCTAAGCGCGTAATATAGCTATATATATATTCATTTTATGAATCGATTAACTCATCAAAGTTGTATATAATATAATAGACTATATACATTTATCTCATAATACAAAACTTACCCGTTTAAAGATCTGATTGCTCTAAAAATAATTAATGTTACATGTAAAATTATTGTATTTTTTTTATAATAACAGGTGATTCTGATACATTAAATATATAATATAATTTATTTAGAAATATATAAACAACATTATTAACCTTAAACATTTTTTAAAGGTTTGACATGTCGTTTATAAACTCATATTTGCTCTGAAACCTCATACTTCGTATTTTGACCGGCTTCCGTAGGACAATATCAATTTACAAATCTCGTTCGACCGATTTGACAACTCATACAAGTGCATATATTTCAGTTTCGTATCAGAATTACCAATATCAGTCAATACTCTCGACCGATTTGAAGTTACTACGTCGAACTACGACAATAAGATCAATATAAATATATTAAAATAATTATTTTGACAAATTTTATTAAAATAACAGATTGTGAAATATAAATTGGCAACTATTTTTAGTAGAAACGAATGATTTTTTATTTGCAGACAACACAGTATAGGAATATGTCCAGATTTAAGGGAATGCAAATTTTAAATATGTTACAATAAAAAATAATATGTATAATATCATAATTTTAAATTAATGCCTTGTGTGTGACAATGAAAATGTGTATACTAAGATATAGCAAAAAACTACCTATCTATGTATCTATATATAATTATATATTAATACTAGCAAACATACGATATAAAAATGTCAACAAATATCAGATATATACTCTCAAATATCATAAAAACACTTGTCCAGTAATCAGTAATATAATCTGTTTTTTCAATTAATTTATTTCGTATCTCTATAGGTACTGAAAATATCTGTCAATTTATATTTCTAGCATATCACATGTTGCGTTCAGTCGACAGTTTATAATAGCTCAGACTACCGCAATTACGATTGTAGTTGTGAAGTTTTGAACTTTTGATCGGTTGGGATTTCGACTGTAGTATTTCCTTGTTAAGTGCCATTTTGAGTCATACAAATCACTAACAACCGCACGTTTGGAAATAAACTGCATGAAATATAATAATGGAATTGGACTTTAAAGTTTATGTTGTGGTCAGCACGTCTGTTTCGCTTATTTCAGCCGCCAGGTGGGTCAGAAAAGTCAATAAAATTACATAGTATGATGTAACGTCTTAGTCCTCAGAAATGACAACGTCCCTTATTCCTTTAGGGTGGAAATCAATGAAATTACATAGTATGATATAACATCTTAGTCCTCAGAAATGACAACGTAAGAGGGTTTTTTTTATGGATGATAATGGAATGTCGCTCCCGATTTTGGCGGTACACCAGTGGACGATGATAAGATGAATATTAGGTCAGGTCAGTTAGCCCATCGTGACAAATTTACTAAGAATTTATCACTATGGAGGAACCACGTGGACGTCAACCTGACATGATACATTGCTAGCAATAAAATTATCAGTCCACATTACTAACAATCCCCTTTCCCCCCACGTAAGAGGAGTTCCTTGAGCATAGTTCGTCCGAGGTGCTGTTCACATATATAGGCGACGGTTACCACTTACCATCTCGTGGGCTACCATCTTGTTTGCCATTCAAATTACATTAAAATGCAGTTTATTTAGCGTGCGCAAGTAAAACCATAAAAGATTGTATGCCAAATATTAGTAAATGTTTTTTTTTATTGTTATAATGTTGCACTGTTTTTGTGTACTGAACGTTTCTCTTTTCTCTCTTAAGTTTTAATCTGTATTTGTTTCTGCGTTGTTAAACGACCAATTTAAATAACTACTTACATTCCTTTTGGAGCTATACGATTGTGTAATACATTATTTTTGCGCGTTATATTTTATTTGTATTTTATGTAACTGTTACGATTTGTTGTTGACAATTTGTATCGCCGGTTGTCTACTTAAGTGCATTAATGCAATGATTTAATTCATATTTTACTTTTCTATTGCCCAACAACATTCCTTCGCACTCATGTCACATTTTCTGTAGTTCCTATAATGCATCAAGAGATGGCGTTACTGGTATTATTTTTTTTAAACTTGTATTTCGTATTTTAAACGTAATTGCAAACGCGTTGCATTAGTGTAAAAATAAAAAAATAACAGTGAATTAATTGATGCGAACAATGTATATTATGGATTTCTTCTTGGTATATGGTATATGGTATACTTCGCCAGCCATCAACGCCATCTCTTGGCGGGTTTTGGCGAACCTTGCAAATCTTACCTGACATAGACGCTATGCGACCGTCAAAAATAAATAATAAGTTATGGAAGTAGTTCTTTGTTAAATGATATTGTGTAAAAATGAATAGGTGAAAATGTCTATTTTCCTCCTTTCCAAATCTCGATAGACAGTAGTGACACCTATGTACTAAATTTAGAACTAATTTTATATATCTCTCTATACTAACCAAATTCTAACGTTTGATAAATGATGTATTATTATGTTGATCTTCTATTGAAAATATATTTTTTATTGAACTTTGCGAAACCTTCGTAGTCAAACTTTTTAATATAACATATTTATTGCACATATACATTCCTAATGTACTTTTATATTATTTATTGTCTGTTATAGATCTGTATTTTTGAATCTAAACATTTGGGGAAATTGTAAAATAACGGATGCATTTCCTGTTTGTAGTTGAATTGTGTTGTAGCGGATATTACGAAAATGATGGTGTTTTTGTGATTGAATTGTTCGTTGTGATGATTACTATGCAATAATGTTTTGTTTTAAATGAAAAATAAAGATATGGCACAAAATGTTTCTTTTATTTTGGTACACTAGCGACCTCCTACAGTTCCGGTAGAATTTAATTAATACTAAGTACCTGTTTTTTTCTACAATAGCCATATATCCCCCGTCCAATTAAAACGGGGATCGAAATTACGACGGCCTGAGCCGAGGTTCGAACCCTGGGGGTGCCCTCAGACTAAAGTCGTATCCATCCGCCGCTCCATAAGTCTGTGATATAGTGATGCAAATCTATACGTTCGATAGTAGATTGTGCCAGTGTACGTTTTAACTAACGATACGTAGGTCACGCAGTAGCTCATATATATAGTTTATGTAATTATTGTATGCCAAGATGTCAGTTAATATACGCTCTGTGTGTGTTTACATAAGTCAATCCACGGGTTTGGAGTGCCATCTGCACTCGCTAGAATAGACCAAAATTAAAAAAACTTTTTTACCACAGCGTATTATTTAAATAGAATCGTAAATAAAATGAAAAACAATAGAATTAAGAGGGTGAAATAAATGGAAGTTTGGCAAAAATAAAAACTTATATAGTATACTTTCTCCAAATCTGATATTTATTTGTTGCCATCCATGTTTGTGAGGAGAAATAAATAAATATAAATTATTGCTATTGTTATTATATATATTTATATAGTATAACATCGCTTCCGCTGTCTGTTTAGTTTTTCCGCTTAAATCTTTTAAACTACGCAACGGATTGTAATGCAGTTTTTCAGTAAACAGAGTGATTCCAGTGGAAGGTTTATATGTACGTGGGCCACTCAGAAAGTATTGCGACACTAAAAAAATGTTCTATAGGTAAATATATTTTTATTACATCCGCTTTTAGATCGCTTTACTTTGGTAGGCGTTGATTTGTTTTGAAACACCCAAACCGTCGACTGGCTCTTTGTTTCTGAATCGTATTGATAAATCCAGGATTCATCACCTGTAACCATGTCGTAAACACGTCGAGACGAGCCTGCATCTAATTTGTCTATCATATCATGGCACCATTCCACCCTTGCCTGCTTCTGAACATCGGTGAGGTTGTGCGGCACCCAGCGTGAAACTATCTTCCGCACCCGTAGATGCACGTGTAGAATCTCGTGAAGGCTTCCTGATCCAATCTGCAATATATACTGAATCTCTTGGTATGTAACTCGTCTATTGTCTTGGATCTAATTTTTCACTGCTAGCACGTTTTCTTCCGTAACAGCCATCAAAGGGCGACCATTTCTTTCTTCATCCCCCAAAGTTAGTCGACCACGCTTAAATTCATTATACCAACGATACACGGTTGCCTTAGAAGGGCCTTCATCCATGAATGCCATTTGAAATCTATCGTACGATTCGTCCGGATTCAGGCGACACTTAAAATCGTAAAAAATCATAGACACGAACATGTTCTCGGCGCAAATCCATTTTTTAATGAGACACGGTAATTTTAATTAGCTCGCAAAAAAATGTGGAGGGAAGTTTTGAATTTAGGACATACCTATTTTTACTTATAAGTAATTATATTTTGAAATAAATTATAACTGGCTAGTCTCACTTACATAAAAACTTTTTCTCGCAATACTTTCTGAGTGACCTGGTATAATATATGTATCTACGGGTAGCTAGTTGTTATTTAAATATAAGACTGTATATAATCAGCAAGTAAGTTAGATAAAGACGTCCTCTGCAGTTCATAGGGTTACGGCCGGCGGCAGACTTTTGACTGGTACAAACACCAATAAGTTCGTCAGCATTGTAGTTCGCCATCTATAAAGTAATTTACAGCTATAACAATTTATTATATAATATATTAAATTTTATGTTAAAACTAAACAACCAAGTTGTTTAGCGGTTGGCGCACTGCCTTTCTTCCAACAGTTCGAACCCTGCGCAGCCTGCCAAACGGCTAACAAGAATTTGTTAGCTCGAAAGTACTCCGAACTAACGATAGATTTGACATATCATAAAAGTCTGTTATAGCCCTTCCTTTATTTTTTTTTATATATTGCACAATATAAATATAATGTATTTTGTATTTTTCTAAGTACATTTTACAAGTGTTTACAAAAAGTATATAAAAAATATGTCTAATGTAAAAATATATATCATATTTATTTATTTTTATACTCTTTATTGCACCAATTACAGAACAAAAACAAAAAAACAATTAAAATCATACATACCTATATAAAATTAATTGCCTAGTAGGTACACACAGTACAAGAACTGCTTAATTTTGCAATAGATGGCGTTGTCTTGGTCATGGCTTTTTATTATTATTTATATGTACACAGTTTACAATCAATTGATGGTACAGGATAAGAGGCACGACATCGTAGGCCTCCGGAATAACAATACAGAAGTGGTATCACGGGCCTTACAAGATAAAGTAATGTACATAGTACTCTTCATTAATATAGACGACAGATAGATCTTACTGTCAGCTCTTTGGCTTGGTTGCCACTCGAATTACATAAAAAAAAAATCAAAAATTCATATATAATTTTGGTTCACATTCACATATATATTTATGTATGTTGGTTATTTTATTTATAATTTTGCAAATGAAATAAGACCTCGTTCGTACATGGGATGTTGTCTGTAATTAACCCAGCACTTGTCCGTACTTACCCCAAGAGCTAAGGGTAATTACGGACATCTATATTTATGTTTTTTTATTGAAATTTAATAAATGTTGATTGATATCATAAAATAATTAATGTTGATTTTATAAGTATATAACTATAGTTTAATAATTAGTAAACATATACTTATTATTATTAATAGTATGAATTTTATTTGTAATGCCGCTTAAGCGTCTGCAATTCCCCCATCCTCTCCTACTGTTCATCTATATAGACGACAGATAGCTCTTACTGTGAGCTCTTTGGCTTGGTTGCCACTTGAATTACATAAAAAAAATACCCAAAATTACATATGAGTGGTAACTCATATATAATTTGGTTATTTTATTTGGTACAAATGATTAAAAAGCTTTTCCCTATTTTTTGGGTAGTTTAAATTTAGTTCGTTTTCGTTGTTCACTACCGGATACTCACAGTCTCATGTATCCATCTATAAAAGCTGGACACCCTGGTAGCAACTCCTGGGAAATTGGAGTGCGCGCACTGATAGCCCCAAGAGATGATTCCTACCAATGTGTTATTGAAGAGGAGGGGTCCACCGCTGTCCCATTGGCATGCATCCTTACCTGTACATGAAAAACATCATTAAGATTGCTATTGTGGATGAGGTTTTCTCGAGAGACTACAGCATGGGGTTTTTCAAGAAGTTTATGATGGTTTCTTAAGGGTCGGTTAGCGATTTATGCTGGCGGGTCGAGGATGATAATATGAGCATGAGATCAGGTCAGAAAGAAATGAAAGTCTGATCTTATTGTTACCTACCAATTTTGTATTATAACAACAATTCTAATTACATTATCTGTGTTATTTTTATCTTATCTGTGAGGTAACAGTAGTAGTTAGTAACACTTCGTAGAAGAACCCGATTGTTTTAGAATGTCGTTATTTATATATGCTTGCATAGATTTGAGTTTGTTCTTGTAGGGGCACGTGGAAATGCTTTAAACATGGTGGTTAGGTCTATTACAGACTCTTGTGATATGTCAAATCTACCATCAGTTCGGAATGATTTTGAGATGAGAAGAACTGACAAGAAACTCAGCTCGTATTTTTTTTTAATGTTGTACTTATTTACAATAATACTATTTCATTTAAATTCAAAATTGGGAGAATAGAGTGACCAACAGCATATGCTATATAAAAAAAAACAATAAATCTAATCAGTGTTCGCAACCTGAACAGACCAGTCCCCACAAGCAGCACCCGTTCACGAGTATGACGGATGAGCCAGCCATCATTGCACTCAACCATATTAGACACACATCGACCCGGCCCACTACGCCGCCACAAGTTTGAACTTTATAGCGAGCATGACTGTTTCAAGTTACTCCACTACGTCATTTATATTATTTACAGCATAAACTGTACCAATCACAGTTTTCAACCATTACAATATTTAATTTACATTATTTAAATTAAGAAACTTATTCTAAGTTTAGTGTAGTTATACCTACTGCTTATATTGTTAGTGTAGATAGTTAAATGCTTACGTCATCTATTCGTAATATTTTTTATCACTCCTAGTGTAATTTGAGTGCCATCGTCTCTCGTTTGCAAAGTACTGCCTTACTTTTAGGTTACATACATCTTTGAAATGTGAGGGCCTGGACGGTTTAACTCAGTGTAGGCGAACCAATGGCACGCATGCCATTGACGGCACGCGACACAATATTTTAGGCACGTCGTCGATTCGTCTTGTCGTCTGTTTGAAGAAACTGGCTCATGCTATTTTAACAATATTTTCATCTACCTATGCCTGCGAGTCATTATTTTCAGAGATGAATAAAATTAAAAACTCGGTTAGAAACTGTTTGACAGATGAATCCAGTTCAGCATGCATTTTGCTAAAAGTAACATCGTACAACCCTGACATAAATTATTTGTCATTTAACCTGCAGCAACAGAAATCACACAAATTTTACAGTAATTTAATTTATGCGTGTAATGAAACCAATCCAAAATGTACCTCTTTTGTTTATTTTATTTCATAGAAAGTTTTGATAGTATTTATTCAAGTCAAAGACCCCATTAAACATTTTTTTTTAAAAAAATGGCACTTTGATGCTTAAAAGTTCGCCTACCCTGGTCTCGGGGTTTAACACACCACTTTACACTCGATGCTGACGGGTTCGATTCCTCGCACGATACAATAATTTGTATTCATGACTATAATTGTTTGCATTGGTCTGAGTCTTTCCTATGTATATTTATGAAAATATATTTAGGTATTTATATCAGTTATCTAGTACCCATAACACAAGCTTGCTTAGCTCCAACGAGATAGTGCTGTGTGAATTGTCTGAGGTTATTATTATTATTATTTCTAAGTAATGTCACATTCCATAAGGTAAATCGTGAATTTATACTTTCATTTAAATTGCATCATCAATACATACCCTGCTATAAAGTAAACTGATAATGATTCAGTATTTCAGAGAATAAGCCTGTAGGTACTAGATAGCGCGGATATGAAGATAGACTTGTTTTACGTATATAGACATAATAGATTGAGATACCTTGAGTATAACCTTGTACAGTGTTATAAAGATACTGAAGTCGTTGAACTTTTAGATTTAGTTTAATAAGAATAAGAATAATTTATTGTTATAAATTACACGAAAAAAATACATAAAGGATACTTAATTGAAGGCGGCAAATGGACCCGGTTCAGAGTATGCCGATAGGATGCTTTTGTGCGGCGCCTGGACCGCTGAACCAGACCACTTTCTTCAATTTTTGAAGATATATAAAAGTTACAAAATATATAAAAAATAACAAGATAGACTTCGTTGAAAGTCGTCTACGTGGGTAATAAAGTCTCATCTGCTTCAGATACCAAGCAGCTCGCTTTATTAAACGTGTTTCGATTAAATGGTGGACATAAGGCAGTAAAATTACAGGATTTGGAAGCATAACATCTTAGTCCTCCGAATTTCTTTTTCTGGACAATTCTCACAGGGCCATCTAGTCCCAAGCTAAGCAGAGCTTGTGTTGTGGGTTCTAAATAACTGATATAAATATTTTTTTTATAATACATACATAATATACTTAGAAAACACCCAGACCGTAACCATAATTTACCTTTGTGTCGAACCACAATAAGACGGCAGAGGACCTCCATACCATCAAAAACCGTAACAATAGGGTATTTACCTCCGATGTCCAGAATTCCAGCGCAGATCATGTTGCGCACACAACATGATCTGATCTGCAACCATGGGACGATCAGAGGACACCTCTATACCAATAAAAATCGTAACTGTAGGAAATTTACCTCCAATGTCCAGCAATCCAGCGCAGATCATATTGTGTGTGACCACCATGACACGGCCGGAAGACACCTCTTGGCGCGCGTACCGTTCAGCGCACACGTGACGACTCACCGTGAACACTGTCACCGATTGGAGAATTTGAGACGGTTGCGAAATCTGTACCTGCAATATTGTTATAAAAAACTGAAGCAATGTGTTTTTTAAGAATGATAAGGGCATGATTCACCTGTCTGCGCTGACAAAATACGCTAGCGGGACATCAGTGGAAGATGATAGGATAAGCATGAGATCAAGCGAGTTAGCGTGGTAAATTCACCAGGAATTTATCACCATGGTTTCCAGGGACCTGCGTGGAGGTCAACCTGACATGGTACATTCCTAGCAATAGGTTATTAGTCCACATTACTAACAATTCCCTTTCCCCTATAAGGAATGATATAGGTACCAGAAATGACTGACCATAGATTTCAACTGACGAGCTCAATAAATTATCTGTGTTTCTGTTGTAGGGTTGTAGATTGGCATTGAAATTTTAAGAGACAAAAATTCTAGCAATCTTTGTTTTGGTTTATATTGTATTCGTAATACCCCTGTAATTGTTTTTCTGAAATATCTTTCATCGATAATAAATAAATCTTGACTTAATGTTTTAGCAATTAAAGCATAAAACCGTAACAAACAAACTATATCTTATAATATATCTTATGACTTAGGAAGCAATCCGTTCACAGTAGAATGATATGGCAAATGGATGGCCCGTTAACTAAATCGACACGCATTTCATGATTTTAGACTCTTCCTTCGTCCTTGTCAGTCCCGTGACACATCCGTGAGTTAGTAGTATTTGCGAGAAACTTCTAGTCGCCGCCTAGTTTTACGCCATTTCATCTATTATCGTTAATAATTAAAATTTGATAATTGAAATTGTGGCGTCACGACATTTAGGATCCTCGCCACCCTCTTGTCACACAATGTCACACTTTGTCAATATGTGCCTCTAGTCACACTTTGTCAATAAGTGCCACTTGTCACACTATGTTAATGTGTGACATAGTATATGGATGGCCGCTTAAGAATGATGATATTATAAAGAAAATTACACTAGTGCTGCCCCACCCGACGTAGGTGACGGCTGAATTGTCCGGAACCTCGTATCCTTGACGCGGGATAGTGACAATACCAATACTGGCGCTCGTTGCCAGCTTCGAACATAGGACCAGTACAGCAAGGTCGTTATCACTGATCTTCGGGTTGTACCTGTCGGGTACAATAATCTGATACACTGCCACCTCTGTGCCACCTGTAACAATTATAAGCTGGTAACTGTGGGACCGCGCTGACCACCGGCAGCGTGTACGGAACCTATATAGCGCTACTATTTTTTGTCGTCATTTTTATACATATTTTTTATACCAGCAAGTTGTAGCCCACTCATGCACAAACGTAATATCTCCTTTGGAAAGTTTACACTCTATCTTGAGGACCGTCCCTCCTAAGAATAACCTTCAATTCTTTCTTCTTTCTTCTTGCACAATACATCTATGTAGGTCGCAGGGCTACAGGTCCAAGCACAATAGCCCAAATAACCCAATAAAAAATAGGTGGCAATGAAGCCTACGGCCCATCTGATTGTAAATGTTTACGTTAAATAAATCTCATAATGAGTCAATACTTACCAAAGAGCAAAATTAAACGGACTGTACGATTTTTGTTGATGAGCGTGATAAAAAAATTCACCTGTATTGAGCTTTGATGTCCCCGCACGTACGGTGAAGTGGACTGGGCTGATTATGCCGTTACTGAAAATAAAAAAAACGGTTAAGTACATGTTTGACTCGCGTTATATTTGTGATTAATTTTGAGCTTTACTAGAGATTGAATGAAATAGTGTGGTGATATAGAATATCACATAGAGATGTTCTTTTTGTTTTCTATTATCGAGAGTTCCACATAAATTGTGTAGGTACACAGATTTTTTTTTATTAATATATTATACTTCTAACAGGAATTATAATAGGTTAATAGGTGGGTAAGTGGGTAGTATAAATTCTTAGTGTATTTGCCACGGTGGGCTAACTAACCGAACCTTATGCTCATCTTATCATCCTACACTGGTGCCCCTCCAGCGTAAACCAGCTTTGGCTGTATGTTTGTTTGCATAAGTTTATGAATTCTGAGTGTAGATACTTACTTCTTGAAAAAGCAATGTGCAGCGCTGAGTACATGCCGATGTGATATAAGAGAGCCGCCGCATTTGAAATCAGAGTTGCGGTATATCTATAAAACATAAACAAATATATACATACCAATATTATAAATGAATGAAAAACTCTTTATTGTTCCTCTCACAGAAAGATATGTACATCAAATATAAAAAGAAAAACAACATAATTATAATATAGAGTTGTAACAAACTTGTATCCGAAATCGAAACTTCACTCCATCGAGTTTCGGTTTGGGGTCAGGAAAATTGTGTTTAATTCCACCCCAAGAAGACACAAGTTTGCGCGTTTACCGCTAAAAAGAATCCATTTATCGTATCTCCTCAGTTTCAAGACACTCTCCTTGATGTGAAGCCAAATCTCGAGGTCCTTGGCGTTGATATATCCAGTGACGTTCAGTTTTGAGATCATTTGGAGGACGAGGCTAAAATAGCCTCAAAAAAGCTTGGTGTGCTCAGTAGAGTGGGACGGTAATTCACGGCAGCCCATCGCTTGCAATTATACAAGGCGCAGATCCGACCGCACATGGAATACTATTCTCATTTCTCGGCGGGAGCACCACAATACCAGCTACTTCCATTTGACCGCATTCAGAACCGAGCAACCAGAATCATTGGTAATCAACGTCTATGTGACAGACTCGATCCATTGGCTTTGCGGCGAGATATTGCATCTCTGTGCATTTTCTACCGCATATATCACGGGGAGTGTTCTGAGAAATTGTTCGGATTAATACCAGCTGCTGAGTTTCACCACCGTACCACCCGCCAGAAACTGAAATACCATCCTGATCATCTGGATGAATAGCGGTCTTCCACAATGCAGTTTTCTAGAAACTTTTTGCCAAGCACAACCACATTGTGGAATCACCTTCCAGCAATGGTATTTCCGAACCGATACAATATTGAAACCTTCAAGAAAAGAGCTTATTCCTTTTTATAAGGCCGACAACGTACTTGCAATTCCCCTGGTGTTGCGGGTGCTCATGGGCGGCGGTAATCACTTACCATCAGGTGAGCCGCATGCTCGTTTGTCCCCTGTGTTATAAAAAAAAGATAACAATAACGCCGCCCTTATCGCTAAATAAATAAATGCTCAAGTGTCTGTCGGCACGTCCGTTACCATTTGGTGATTAAATAGCTGAACAGATCTTAATGAAATTTGATCTCAAGACAGATAAACATAGGCTACATTTTATCTGAAAAAGTAATCTGGTAGTGCTGGAGTAGGTCATGGAAGATTATACAAGCGAAGTCACTTGCAACAGGTAATAGATATTAATAGATATTTTAATTAATATAGTGACTATACCATTTAAAATATCTAGAGACTATACTATAGTCTATTTGTGACTCGCTCTCGCTCTATCTTCGTTCAAAGAGGAAACTGTTTATTTATATATCTATTTATTTCAGGCAACTAGGCCCATATTATAAATACCTTATAGACTAACATACATATAATATAATATTTAAAAACTAATACAATGATATTGTCTGTGTGATCACGGCACTGAAGACGGCAATCTGCCACGGTAGCGCCGATATACCACACCTTTCGGCCAGTAGTCCTCTTTCATGAAGGTGGGCATATTATATCTTTGTTTCTTACGAACAAAATAAAAATATACGACTCATTTCAATTCTTTCACATACCTATCAGAAAATCAAGCTGTCAGCGATACGGCCCACCTGATGGCAAGTGGCAACTGTCGCCTGTATACATCACGGACATCACATATTGTGACGTCCGTGGTACAATTTCTGCATTCCCATTCCTTAGGAATAATATACCTTCGTACTTTATAATTTCACTATCTTATCTCAACCTTCAAACGAAAAACATCTTACAAAACAGACTGTAATAGGTAAGACAGACATACCCACGCAGACTTTACACTAACTCTATCTAGTAAATCCTGATATCCTAGTACCCAGATGTGAGTCAACATGAGCATGCATGTATTATTGTATTATTAAAAAATACAATTGTTATCTGTGTCCAGTCTGCCTGACATGACTGTCTGAATATACAGCAATAATGATATAAAAAACATAAACAACAATTTACACACATTACAAAACTGAGTCAATGTAGACCACAACTCATAAAAAAACAATTGTTATCAGTACACGTCAGGCAGTGGACAAATATAAATATATAAAAGACAACAATTTACACAGATATAAAACAGTTAACCACACGTGTATAAAGCTGGAAACATAATTTCCAGCGCTGATTTTCAATTCGGCCCATTGTTCTGACAGCCTCGGTGTTCTAGTGGTTTAGCACACCGCTTTACTATCCGATGGTCGTGGGTTCGATTCCTCGCACGGTGCAAACATTTGTATTCATGAGTATGATTGTTTGTATTGGTCTGGGTGTTTTATATGAATAATATGTATTTATTTACAAAAAAAATGTATACATGTATTATCTCAGTTGTCTAGTAACCCATAACACAAGCTCTGCTTAGCTTGGGACTAGATGTCGCTGTGTTAATTGTCCAGGGTTATTTATTATTATTATTATAGGTACGGACGCACAGAAATAAAAATTTAAATAATATAAATATAAAACAAAGCAATAATATAGGCATTATGTAATTTACCTGAACCGTGTATGGGTAGCGCTCTATGTCTGTATTGGTGCCTCCAATGATTAGCGCCACTAATTCCTCTGTAGCGAATGCTGAATTTTGAAATTAATATTATAACAGAATACAATATATATCTAATACAATATATTATAATCTTTATTCATTTAAACATGATTGTAAGCAACTCAGAGCAGTGATATTGTTTTAATCTACCACTTAATCGGAATGCGATTTCAACCAACCAACGGGCTTTCCCCCTATAACGCGGGGACTAACAGATTCCTGTACTGTGTAATTTAATTTATAATTTGTTCATGTTTGTATCAATTCGGTAGAACCGATGACACTTTGGGAGACCCAGCTACCCACTATGTAAGACGATCACACACGCCAGTCTTTGTGAAAAGATATACATAGACCAAGCACTACTTACATATAGCCGAATCGTCGTATATTGCCCTGGAAGAGCCGGGGAACGATTCTTCCTTGTTGCGTTTTGCTCTACGGGTTTCCACTTCGGATCTGCTGTCCACTTCAGGTTCCACAACTTGAGGAATGATGATGGTTATAGGGTTCTTTGGTTTAAATTTGGATTTTATAACACTTATCTACGTTGCAACCGCCGTTCGCATCGAATCGAGAGACTTCTGATCTCGAAAATTGTCACGTGATCAGTTGATTGCTGTTACGATTGGCTATAGTACGACCAGTCAAGAAACTGGTCAGTGATTGGTCATTTCAATTCACTTAGACTGCGTGTGTGAAACGTATATATATATTAATAAAAATGATGACGAAACAATGTTGATTATGTTGATTTGTTTTGTTCATAGTTCATATGCAAAGGTTTTTATTAGAATGTTCATAGTTTAGATTTTATTTTATTAAACCGTACATATTTCGTTCTTAATATTGGACTTGAACCCCCTTTAGTCAGAAAAATTAAACGTGAATAATTTATACATAACGCGTTACACGGGGTCGTAGGAAAGCGTTATATGGGAATATAACAACGGATCATACATACACACTACAAATTCAAATTCAAATTCAAAATATCTTTATTCATGTAGGTCTATTACAGACTCTTATGATATGTCAAATCTACCGTCAGTTCGGAATGATTTCGAGATGAGAAGAACTGACAAGAATCTCAGCTTGTATTTTTTTTAATAAATGTACATATTTATAATAATACAGCTTCATTTAAATTCAAATTTGGGAGAATAGAGTGACCACCATTATATGCTATAGCAAAAAACAAAAAATCTAATCAGTGTTCGCAACCTGAACTGCATAGATGAATATATATACATACAACGTGTTTTCTTATAACGCCAAACCAATCTACCGTGTTATACGGAGAATAGTGTATATAAGTCTCCTTTCTTGGAATGGTAATGCATGTGTATTTTTACGTACGGCTTTTATTTTAAGGCGGTAAATACCATGTCATGTTGACCTCCACGCGGTTCCCCTTGGAAATTATCATAGTAAATTCCAGGTAAATTGACTACGATGAGCTGACTGACCTCACTTCATCCTATCAACTACCACTGGTGCCCTGTCAGCGTCTACCGTTAGCGCGGGCGGGTGCACCGTACTATATCCTTACTTCTTTACTAATATTATAAATGCGAAAGTAACTCTGTCTGTCTGTCTGTCTCGCTTTCAGGCCAAAACTACTGAACCGATATACCTAAATGATATTTGGTACGTAGATAGTCTACATCTTGAGAAAGGACTAGAAGGCTACTTCTTGAAGCAAACGAAGCCGCTGGCACAACTAGTTTATCTATAAAAAATACCTACTTAATGCACATATTTATATTATCAATTAAAGTGTAATTGCTTTGTTTCAGAACAAAGAAATAATATTTTTTATCAAAACAAAGATATCAAGAAGTATTAATTTGTAGGTAGAAATTATTTTTCCTATTTGTATTATAATATAAAATATATAAACCGATTAATAACAAATAAATTTTAATTATTTTCATTAGTTGCTTTTATTAATTGATGATGTTATTTTTAATTATATATTCTTTATAGCAATTAAATACGTTATTTAGGTATGTTCATTAGAATGAATGTTAACAAAGGAGGACTTATCTCTAAAAGAGATCTCTTCCAGTCAAACCAATGCAGCGTGACATAGGAAGTGTTGAGTGGGTCAAAATGTGCAAATAACAATTTAATAAAAATGTCATAAATAATTTATAGTAGTAGAAAATTTAATTACTTATTCATGTACATTCTTTTAATCGACTATTCAGTCGGACCATTTTTTACAATTTTTGTCTCTCTGTTTGTTCCGGGTAAATCTCTGAAATGGCTGGACCGAATTTAACGGGACTTTTATTGGCAGGTAGCTGATGTAATAAGGAGTAACTTAGGCTACTTTTTTTTTAGAAAAGTAAAGGTAAATTCCATGCAGACGTAGTCACGGGAAACGCTAGTATACAATATATTAAGACATATATGTACTTACTATACACATTTTTTAATTAATTATATAATAAAATGTAAGATTTATTCGTAAAAGAAACGCACTTATCCTTTGTGTTTTGTTATCAGTGTACAACATAACAATACAAATGAAAATAAAAGAATAATTAAAAAAAAGAACAATGTATACTTACAGGGTGACAAACAGAGAATAGTAGAGGCAATAACCATGACCACAAAATTCAAAAGCCACATATTGATTTACTATTAGGCTGTAAAACAATAGAGAGCACTTAGTGCGCGTTAAAAGAAAGTGTAAAATCTGTGCTTACGAAATGGCGGCTTTATTGCTAAAAGCAATCTCTTACAAGGTACCGGGTAATGTGTACGCATATTAGTTTTATAGATTTTACAAAACGCTACAGGTATGAATACCACGACGCGTAAACAAAGAATAATACAAAATGTTAGTTACTAACAGTATTATATGTACAATCAGGTTCTTCTGTATAAATCTAACGTAGATATGATATGATATTAATACTTGATAATGTTTTAAAGAACGAAGAAAGTTTGGCGCGGGCGTTGTGTGTAGGATACAAATCTCAAATATCGATTTCAATTTTAGTAAGTGTAACAAATATCAAATATAACAAAAAATTCAAATAGGTCTAGATAAATTCAATTACAGTGAAGTTGAAACAGAGTGGAGTGACAATAAATCTATGTATATATGTACATTTATGTGTAATCTATATATGTTTATGTGTGTGTGTGTAATGTATGAATATGTATATAATGTAATACGGACACACACACACACACACTCGCACACCTACACGCACACACACAAAAACCTAAATGAAATTAAATATTAATTAGGTTTACCTGTAAATTAAAACTGTTATTTTTTTTTCGGAAGAACCTGACACGTGATATACAGCTCAAGCTGGTTTGGGAGCCAGGTCTCCATCAAACTCTACACTTAAAAATAAATAAAAACGCAAACAATTTTTATTTCATCAAGACAATTCACAGGAATCGAACCTACGACCATTGAAAGGAAGGCAACGTTTGTAAACAAATAAATGCCTATTTAAGACTCTAATTTAATTATGATAGTGTAATAGGCTATTAAACACAGTAAATGCTGTTAATGTTGCAACATTGAACTAATAAAGTCAAGGTTTTTTTGACTACTCTAATGTTGTTGGCCGCAGCTGGCCTTTACAGCTTCGCTGGACGATAGGGTACAAGTGCAGATGGCACTCCAAACCCGCGAAAGGAGTTATGAAGTGGCTGAAGTACATCTGCGCTCTTTGAGTAATTAGTCAATACGAAATTTTATTATATTTTATATATATATGCAAATCTTCATAGTATAAAATGAAGTCGCTTCCGCTGTCTGTTAGCTTGGATCTTATAAACTACGCAACGGACTTTAATACAGTTTTCACCAATAGATAGTAGTTTCAAGAGGAAGGTTTATATGTATAATTACATGTACATCCGTATGAAACTTGGATGGGTAGCTAATTAAAAAATAATTTCAAAATAAATATAACATGCTTTACATATTAATATCAAATATATTTTATTTTAATACAAATAAAGTACAAAATATTTCATAATAAATATTACTACATTTTACAGTATTTCATGTTAAATTTAGGCGCCATATTCATTTTATGTGTTTATTTGTTTAATGAAGTGGTGATAGAATTGTAATTATATAGGCAAAATGTCTAGATGGATAGAACACTACATTATCATTATATATTTATATTTGCATTTAAAAAACAGCACATTTGGAATACTAATATTTTTATGTAACCGGAATTTAACATACACAAACGCATCTTGTTATTCTTTCTTTGAATTCTGCTATAGATTCGACTTATGCATCCAATTCATTGTCATTTAAATACTTCGGACTGTTTATTTTTCTTCGGATATAGGTACTCATTTCAAATTCTATCATGTACGAATTTTTCGTAATTTGAAATGAGTATATCCGAAGTTTGTAAAGTAGAAATTTGTAAAGTACAATTGTCCAGATTTCTAGCGTCTTAAAATATTTTAACACTGTAACTTCCAAAGTACAAGTGAAGAAACTTAGCTTATCGATGACTTCACTATTAGACTATTTTAAGAAGTCTAATTAAAAAAGAACTTAATCTAATTAATAATCTTATTAATATTATAATAATAATAAACGCAAAAATTTGTGACTATAGATCGATAGATGGGTGGAAAAAGGATAAAAAAATACCAGCAATCAACGTGTTCTCGGACGAGTGTGCAGTCCAGGAGGCGCAGATCAGACATGCTTTGGTTGTCCCGAACATTCTTGCGAACACGTAATTTTCTTTCTTTGTCTCGTTTGTTCAAGTCTTATTCGTATACAATAGAATTTTTGTTACACTTTAACGCAAAAACTAGTCAACCGATTTTGATGAAACTTTACAGTAATATAGCTTAGACATCAGAATAATACATAGGCTATAAATTTCAAACAGCGGGTACAGCTAATAATAGTATAATAATGTATTGATGCTTGCTTTTCTTTGTCTGTTTCACAATAGAAAAGATAGATATGAGCTACTATATCACGTTACATTTATATTACTAACTAATAAATTCAATAATCTTTTATTAATATAGTTAATAGGGTATTAATAGAAATAATTTTATGATAAATAAATATCAATGTATTAGATTATAATATTATATTTAATTTCGACACAATACTTATTGTTAAGAATTAATAAATAAATAAATATATTATATCTTTATTTTCTACTGGATTGCACTCGCCGTGGCTGACTGGAGTACAACGAAAGGAGCTAGTAGTTTTTTCAACTACCGTCACATTGATTGTCCAATAATTAACTATATTAATCTATACGTGTAAATTGGAGTGTCTATTTGTAATATTCAAATAACCGTATTTTACCACATGCATATGAATATAAATGTGGTACACATGCCAAAATACAATTTAAAAAATGTTTTGACTTGCCTGTCTGTCTGTTTGCTCCGGCTAATCTCTGAAATGGCTGCCCCGATTTTGACGGAACTTTTTTTAGAGGTAGCTATTGTAATAAGGAGTAACTTAGGCTACTTTTATGGGAGCAGCTATTATTATATATTATATTATATATATATGTGTACTAAACATTAAAGTTTAAAAACAACAATTTCAAAATCACGCAGGTCAGGATAAATTAAATTTTATAAGATATTACTATTATTATATATACGCTCACTGATTTATAGTAATATTTTTTAATATTAATTATTGTTTTATTTTTGGTCTGGTGTTTCAGGTGTCCATAGTCTAAGATAAATGATTTCCTAGCCTTAGATGGTTATGCTTGTTTGACATCATCTTACTGATATTATAAACGCGGAAGTTTGCGAGCGTGGATAGATGAATGGATGTTTGTTGCTCTTTCACGTAAAAACTACTGAATAGATTTTACTAAAAAAATTACAATAATATAGCTACATCAGAATAACACATAGGCTATAAATTTCACGCGAGCGAAACCGCGAGTAAAGCTAGTCGTAGTCTAAAAAAAAAAATTTTACACACTTGAGTGAAACCATCAAATCTACGATTTTATCACGATACAAATGTATATTTATATAGCAATCTCATCACAGAATGTTTACAAATTAAAGATTTTTACGTATGTTCACAAATTAAAACTTAAACCCCAACAGTGCGTGAAAAGGACGGAATATGTAATTATATTATCCTTACTAATTACAAATGTAGAAGTAGGGATGTTTGTTACACTTTCACGCAAAAACTGCTGAAACGATCATCATAAAATTTTGTACACATATTCTTGGTAGGTATTAGAATGAACATTGTTCTTCAGATTTGATTTGAACAGGATTCTTTTTATTAAAAAAAGATGTTTTATACAAAAAAAAAACTTTTTGCTATTTCAGCGCCATCTAGCGGCCAGTAGTGAAGTTTTACGAGTGAAGCCGCGGTAAAAGCTAGTTGTTATATATATGCTAATTCAGTACTCTTCAATATTGTTCATAAATTAAAAATAACTAACAATAGCAATAACAATAACAATTATAAATAAAGTATTATTTATTAAATAAAATAGTATTTCTATTTATAACACGATTTTAAAACTCTATCTATACTCTACCCAATCTATATAATTTTATTGGTTTCTTTTTCTTGTTTTTATTTCTCTGTAAAGTTTAAGTCAATGTTAATTTCAGTTATTAAGGATGTTTGTAATCAGTAGTCAACATCAGTCAGTATTTTTTTAACAGTTTATCCCCAGTAGATTCTTACATAATGAGTAACAAATAATACATATAAATCTAGTCTTATTTATAAAAAAAAAAACTTATACGATCATATTTCAACAACAAAAATAATAATAATATAATTACAAGAAATTATGTATGAACATATTCGTATATAAATGTAAATTTATATCTACATATGGGCAAAACCATAAAATAATGATAGGGAGAATAACCTTCCACTGTCCCTTAAACAAACACTTGTACAGTGTACACTATAGGTGCTGCAGACAGTCCTTTGTCGGGGCTGCTTTGAAGCCGAAGAAACTGGCGCTCACGTGATCCGTGGAGTGCTTACAGTGGCCACACAACGAACACAAATCCGCGGAACGGTGAGATCTCTCCCTGAAGCATACAAAGACACCTGCCTCTGCGCTTCAGGCTACTTTAGTAGTCTCGGATCTAGACGCATAACGGTTCAGATGTAAGGCAAAATGCTGAGAATAGAAACCTATTTACAATAATAACATTTACATATCTACATATATAACGTCATACATCATTTATAGTAATTATATTTATCGTATTTATATTGTAACAATACGCGGATATATTGAAAAAATTACATATGTACATATATGTTCAGACGTCATTGTAATTATATTTATCATATTTATATTGTAACAATACGCATTGTAAAAAAAGTACGTATCTTCATATATGTTCATACATCATTTATAGTAACTATATTTATCGAATTTATATTGTAACAATACGCGGATATATTGAAAAAAATTTACATATCTTCATATATGTTCAATGTTCATACATCATTTATAGTAATTATGTTTATCGAATTTATATTATAGCAATATGCGGATTTAATGAAAAAAAAAATTAAAATCATTACACAGATATTTTCGCACAGAGCACGGTCATTAATGGTTTATTCCTTTTTACAAATTAGGAACTCGACAAAGAATAGTCCAAAATATTTATAAATAAGGCTAAATCGTGTAATGTGATCCTTTATAACTTCTGCTGGTACAGGGCTAATAAGAGAGCGCTCAGTAGCAGGCTGCTGGCCACACCTTGTAGACCACCGCTACCATTATACCGCACCACCTGAAAATAAATATACATTCATATGTAACGGGATTTAATTTTATAGGGAATTATTATACAGTTATTCAAAGAGGGAACGCTGCCAGTATCTTCGGAACCTTGCCTAAAGGACCCCCTTTAATAATATATTTTAGTCATCATATTATATATTTTTTTAAGCATTTTATATTCTTTTAAAAGACATTGGGCAAAATCAGACCAGACAGTTCAATGAAGCATTCTGTTAAATAAACAGAACCGATATTAATATCCGAAACCTTATTATAATGAACCTTAATATATTATGGGGTAGGGGATTGTTAGTAATGGGGTTCCCCCTGGAAACCATCGTAATAAATTCCTGGCGAATTTGTCACGATGGGCTAACTGACCTGACCTCATGTGATTCTTATCATCCTCCACTGGCCATCCTCCATTATCATACATAAAAAAAGGACCAGGTCAGACCAAACAGTTCAATGAAGTATTCTGTTAAATTAACCTTAATATATACCTGTCTGTATTAATGCGACATATGTATCTATTCGTAAACTAGAGATGTTTATCTAAACTTCTTACTCTATTTTTTTCTGTAAGCCGTGAGTATAGATTTTATACTAAGTGCGCAATGTCCTTTGACGTGGTCATTATTTATATATACAATTAGGAAAATAGAATAGAATAGAAAAACATTTATTCAAATAAATTTAAGCACTTTTGAATAGTCATAACTTTTTTTTAATCTAGCCCTCATTCGGAAAGCTGTCTCATCACAAGAAGAACGAGCAAGAAACTTGTGCGTTGCGAGCAAGAAACTCTTTTATAAAAATCACCCCGACCCCGACGTGATCTACTCACAAACATTTTGGTGACCCCGACGTGATCTACTCACAAACATTTTGGTGACCCCGACGTAATCTACTCACAATCATTTTGGTGACCCCGACGTGATCTACTCACAAACATTTTGGTGACCCCGACGTAATCTACTCACAAACATTTTGGTGACCCCGACGTAATCTACTCACAAACATTTTGGTGACCCCGACATAATCTACTCACAATCATTTTGGTGACCCCGACGTGATCTATTCACAATCATTTTGGTGACCCCGACGTGATCTATTCACAATCATTTTGGTTCAATTTTTCTACTCAATTCATAAAAAAATATAAAATGCACTAAACCATAATGATATATGTTAGAATTCACATCATTATTGTAGAAAAAATCCGATATTTTAAATATATAGTAAAAGGTAGTTTGTTTTTAGTACTAATGAAGTACCCAATGTAAGGATTATTACGAATATTGTAAATAGCGCCATCTAGTATTTATAGACCAACCTACTACACTGACTTTGGTCTATAAATACGGAGGTCGGTAGTTGTATAATCCTCTTTCGTTGCGTGAGCCGCGGCATTCAGTCGACGAGCGCAGAGCGTGCCAGTTGTTTTGGATATTAAAGTGAATTGTATTAGCAATGGGTTTATCCCGGTCTTAGTTGGGCCTGGGGGGAAGCTGCAAGTAGTGAAGGTGAGTGTTAATGCATTCTAAAAGGGCCTTTTAAACCTACACCCGTGTCACAAGTCATGGGCGCTACTTGGGGTTTCCCTTGCGGTAGCCGGCTTCAAAGCCTCAGTCGTCTATCATAATTAGTGCTTCTTACATATATAATGTAACAAACTTACTGTGGTATTGATCCAATTACTGAAACTGGCAACCCTAGCGTTCACCCCCGGGTACCTGGGGAGCGCGCAACTATAGCCCCACGATGTGACCCCCACCAGCACCGAATTGTAAACAATGGGCCCACCACTGTCGCCCTGACATGCATCTTTACCTGTGAAAAAACATATAGAACATACCAATGTTAGGGTTCGCATGGATAATTTCGAGAAATCTGATATTTTATATTAAAAGAAGGTAGTTTCATTATTACTCGGTATCGTTAAACTAGTTGCATATAACCCCCACTCATATCTTCTCTGTATAAAAGGGAGGGTTTTTGTAAGCCGCGGCATTCGGTCTTTGAGCACAGGATGTGCTGGTTGTATTTTAATTGCTAAAGTGAATTGTGTTAGAGACATAGTTAAATTAATGTTATATAGTCGTTATTTTATTATAATACATACTTTTACTAGTACATAGAGTTCGTATATCTAACATATCAGAAGTGTGAAGAACCTAAAACTTATAATTTCGAAACATCGAATGAGTCATCGCACGTCCAGATCACGTGTCACCGAAGATGCCGTAATTGAAGCTGTAGGTGCAGAAGTGGTGCAAATTAGTGCCAGAACGACATGCTGAGCGACGGGACAACGCGGGAGCATACTTAAGGTCACGTAGTCTTTCTTTATCTATATAAATACTATTAGAATTTGTGAAGAATAGAATAGAAAACCCTTTGTTTAAATGGGCTTGGTTTGGTATCTACTTTTGAATAGTTATGGCTATTTTTTACCGTTCTTTCGGTTGCCTTATCGTGGAAAGAACGAGCAAGAGACTTGCTCTTTTAAATAATCGTTGTGACTTTGCATTTTTAAGTTTAAATGTGTGAATGCAAATTACCAGCCAGCTCTAAATTGTTAGTCAAAATATTATATACACAATAAGATTAAAAACAGTTGGTAGTAATTAGAAGTCCTTCGAATGTGGTTTTACATCACAAACGTATTCTCAAAATACACAAAAAAGTTGCATAAATTTAGTACCTTCTATCAATCAGTAAAAAAAAAAAAAGTGGAAGATATGTTTAAAAGGAAAAGCAGTTTTAACCCCATCGATTTATATTATTATGAAAAATTAACCTTTAAATCAGTGTAATACTGAAGAGAAGTGAGGCAGTAGTCTAATGTTGACAGATCCATTGACTACAGACCTTTGCAATCGTAATGTATTAGATTATGTAGCGAAGTATGTATTACTATTGCAGCAACAATGTTGACAGATCCATTGTTGAAGTGAGGCAGTAGTCTAATGTTGACAGATCCATTGACTACAGACCTTTGCAATCGTAATGTATTAGATTATGTAGCGAAGTATGTATTACTATTGCAGCAACAATGTTGACAGATCCATTGTTGAAGTGAGGCAGTAGTCTAATGTTGACAGATCCATTGACTACAGACCTTTGCAATCGTAATGTATTAGATTATGTAGCGAAGTATGTATTACTATTGCAGCAACAATGTTGACAGATCCATTGTTGAAGTGAGGCAGTAGTCTAATGTTGACAGATCCATTGACTACAGACCTTTGCAATCGTAATGTATTAGATTATGTAGCGAATTATGTATTACTATTGCAGCAATGTTGACAGATCCATTGACTGCAGACCTTTTCGATCGTAATACATATATAAGATTATGTAGAGAATTATTGAGTCGCTTTATGAAAGTTTTTCAAAATAAGTTAATACTTTTACGTATACACAGAATGTGTGGGTATATACTATATTGAGAAGTAACAGTGAAATCGGCTGCTTTTCTCCAATAATAATATTCCGTAAGACAATAGATTGTGGTAGTAACGAATATAGACTATATCTTAGAATTGATATATTATCTAACCTTGTGTACTGTATGAGCTAATGACTTGTGTTGCGGGGTAATAATACGATGTTGTCTATGGAGATGATGTATACTACAGATGATAATAGACTGACAATGTGTACATAAAAATATTGATCTTATATACTAAATGACAATAGGAAAATGTAAGGTGGGGTGACACAGTTTAGACACAGCAGTGCTTAGTACACAATATTGAATTTGTCTTACTAGACATTGTTAAATGCAATTATTATTTTGATGTATCTAGATAACTTTGTCCCATATCGTTTCTGGAATAACAGTAGACTCTATAAAGTCTAGAGATTCGTTGGTAAATTTGTATTGGTATGGAAATGAGAACCAAGGAGAACACGTTTTGTTTTCTCAAAGTTTGACCCATGCTTGTTAGTCGTAAATTAGTGCAAGAGATGCAGTGACGCACTATTTACCTCGTTATAATTGTGTAGTAATTAAGGTCGGATTTCACCAAAGAAACTGATCACGTTTAGTTCGAACTGAACGCCATTAAAACATTTAAACTTGTTCAAAGCTTCATTTTGCATTTCACCACTACAAATTTCGCTAAACACGTTTAAAAATTCTGAACGTCTGATTTCCTACAGTTAACTCTTTAAATGCATTTAAAACAGCTGTCAGTTATTAAACAGTAATCAATCCAATTTTTAACATTGTAATATAATGTAATAAAAAGAAAATTGCCAGTAGTTTATTATAGGTAAAGGTTGTTGTTTTATATTTTGTAGTCGACAGTACTTATTAAATTAGAATTTATTAGCCAACAACATTCGATCTTAATATAAAAAGTATAACACTATTATTACATCTACCCTATTTTAACAAAATATTCAAATTCAATTATTTACTTGTGAAGTACAGGTAACAAAAATAATTTAAAAAAAAATAAGGGAGAAATATATTATCGAATTACAATAAATTTACAATTATACAATACATAAATATATACAAGATGACGATTACTGATTTAAAGTGTTCATGAGTGAATAATGAACTCGTCTTGACTTATATCAAACAGTGCGGTCGAGAATTGTGATACTCGTATTTGGATAGTAGAATTTATATTTCAGATATTATTATGGGATATTGGAAAGAAACGAGTGCTTAGTGCTTTTTGATGTATGTAGGTACGGACAGCCGGGAGAGAATTAAGCGAAGACATGTAAACTGTGATATTGTGAAATTAGAGGAGAAAAGATAAATCGGATAGTACCTATTGTTAACAGGTTGATGTAGCTTACTATTTATATATTCGTACGCAACAGTTTGTTTCAGGAATGTAATATATTTTATGATTTTACTAATAAAGTTTCGGTATATAAATTAGTTTATTATTAAATAGATTCTGTGGAAGACAAAGTACATAATATTGAAATTGTTATTGAGGCACAATTATGATACACAGACAAAAATGATTATTATGAAAGAGATTTGAATATTCTGGAAAATTTTATGATGACCTTGGCAATGTGACTATTAATAGGCTACATCAGTTTTCCGGTGTATAGAAATTGTTTCCCACCAAATACAACCGCTAAATAGCTGGGATAAGGCCGGAGTAAGTTGGTATTATGAAGATAGCACTTCTTTGCTTTTGCGGAGCTTCCGATTATATTCTATGAATCTACTGTACTGTAAAGATGCATGGCGACTTCGTATAGATGTGTCAGGAATACCTATGTGATGTTATTAATGCCAGTTAATCATTGCACATGTAACTAGGATTGAAAATGACATGTCCGTATGTCCTGGGGTGAACAGTGATTCACAAGCGCAATGTTTAATATATAGGAAGAAAAGGAAATTTATATAAATAGCAATGATTGAAAAGATTGTCGAATTGAAGATACATATTTACGGGTGTAAATAATACATGGAAGGACCTATTTAACATATAAATGGTATAATTGTGACCGATGGGAGTGTATGACGTCACACAATGAAAAGAAAAATGAATAAGCCAAGAACCCAGTGATAGTAAAAGAATGATAGATATATGTATACAATTGTTACTTATATGATAAGGAAGGGCACAACATTCCCTTAATACGAACATGTGACATGGTAGCTATTATTGCACTTAGAACGTGTTGAGTTGTGAAGTTAAAACTATCAAGGATTCTTTTGCGGATGTAATCTATGGTATCCAGTTTTGACGATAGTAGATATTCGTAGTCAGTGTGGACGAGCTGGTTTATAAGCATGGATAATAAACTACTTTATAATAGCATATAGAATGTAAATAAGTAGTACCACATGTTCTAAGTTGTTTTAGCAAGCCCAAAAGTAAGAGCCGACTGTTGCCGCAGATCAGATGCTGACGTGTATTCACAATATTGCTCTAAAAGTGAACAATGATACTACTAGTGGGAGTGATGAATTAGGATACATAGTTTTTATGATCGCCGAGAATGTTCTTGAAATTTAGTAATACTGATATTAACTACACCTGTAATTATTGTTTCAGATCGACTGTCTGTAATTATTGGATTGTCTGATTGGTGTTCCGTTTTTACGAGAGCATTGGGCGCTGTAGCTCTTGACCTCATTTGTACCTCGAATGTAACAGTTGCATATAGAATAGAGTATTCTATATTAGCCGATGTTTTGATGAAATCTCATAAACAAATCGATCGGTTTATGGGACAGCTTGCCTGGATAATCGATCGGTCCAGTAATAGCTGCGCTGGATATTCGATCGGTCCAGTTATAGGTTACGCTGGATAATCGATCGGTCCAGTTATGCCTGCCAGTGTTAATCTTCCGATTAATCGATCGTTCGGATTATGAATATTATTATTTTTGTAATCAATTGTTTAATGCGTTATTTGAAGAAATTTTCGATTTGTGAATATTTAATAGTATTGAAGTTTATCTAGTACTCTATCTTCGTTCTTATGTATTACGATTATATACATCTCATTATATTCATAAGATTATTGTTGCATTGCATTAGATGTGTTAACATATTTTACTACTTATAGTTATATAATTTAGTCTAATAGTTCTGATTCGTTTATATATAAAGTGTTACTTAATTGGTTTATGAATTATGTATTTAAGTGTTTTGTACTTATATATTAAGGCAATTTTTTTTTTTCTTTTCTTCTATCTCTATTGTTTATTTTGTTGTAAGAATGTCGTGGCTCACAAAACTCCGATTGTTAGGGTTGCACCAGGCATCGTGTGCGAGGACGCACACATTGTCAGGATGGTCGATTGTTAGGGTTCGCATGGATAATTTCGAGAAATCTGATATTTTATATTAAAAGAAGGTAGTTTCATTATTACTCGGTATCGTTAAACTAGTTGCATATAACCCCCACTCATATCTTCTCTGTATAAAAGGGAGGGTTTTTGTAAGCCGCGGCATTCGGTCTTTGAGCACAGGATGTGCTGGTTGTATTTTAATTGCTAAAGTGAATTGTGTTAGAGACATAGTTAAATTAATGTTATATAGTCGTTATTTTATTATAATACATACTTTTACTAGTACATAGAGTTCGTATATCTAACACCAATGACTAAACTAAATGAAACATATATTTCAGAGATGTCAGAGAGCTCCGTAACCGTAACCAAAACTATCGGATATCCGATATAAAAAAATATTCGTAACCGTAACCGAATCCGATATAAAAGTTTCGGATAATATCGGGTAGGGGCGGAGCCTAATTCAGACACGTTGTGTAACCATTTTATTAGCTATTTGTATTTTACTTTTGAAATTCCTTAAAAAATTAATATTCGTAACCGAAATTATCCGAAAGTAAAGGATAATCCGAAATAATTTCATATTCCTATATCTGAAACCTATCCGTATCCGAAATTTCATATCCATAACATGTCTGATAAATTTATATGTTTAAACTACTAAAGAAATGCCAACAACAACAACAAACTGTAATAAACTAAAAGGACCTTAAATATGCCTATACAGAATTTATTATACGAGAACTACAATGTACCGTTAAAGAAGTGTTAACAATCTTAAACTTTGTCAAATGACAATAGTCGGTTTATTTTTCGTACCACTGTAACCACAGCTGGCCTTTACAGCTTCACCGAACGATAGGGAGCGAGTGCAGATGGCATTCCAAGCTCGTGGAAGGACTTATAGACCAACTCCCACGTGACGGATACGACTTTAGTCTGAGGTGCCCTCAGTGCTAGGGGTTCGAACATCGGATCAGGCGGTCATAATTTCGATCCTTGTTAGAATTGGACGGGGGATCGATCCGAGGGGTCATTAGTTGGTTAGGCTGTTACAAACTTACACTTTCTTGACTGACAGACTACAGTCCATCCGTCGCTTATGGGCTGAATACTCCGATCGAGATACAGACTGGAGTTTTAAAATATGTTACTGACCGAATAAAGTAAACGTTAATTTAAATTAAAAAATCCATTTGGTTCAGGCTATTAGGTTATGTAGGTCATTTCTCATTTTCGGTGCGCTCAGTCACTTGCTAGCTTCAAGGTGTCAGTCAAATACCATTTCCTTTCCCTTTTGCTCTACTATTCCTTTCATAGCTCCTTTCTTTCCTTAAATCTCTCTATGGAATATGTGTACTATTAAGTTTATGTATGTATCTATTCATATTAATTCTAGCTGTATCCGCGACTTCGCCGACGTGAAATTTTATTTTATTTTTCTAAAATAAAGTAGCCTCTGTTACTCCTTATTACATCAGCTACCTGCCAATAAAAATCCCGTCAAAATCGGCCCAGCCATTTCAGAGATTAGCCGGAACAAACAAACAGACAGACAGAAAAAAATTTTAAAAAATGTTACTTTGGTGTATATACCGTATTTATATTTATATACATATAGTATTATTTCAATATTACAAACAGTCACTCAAATTTTATTTATATGTATAGATTTCATGCATGTATTCAGCGTTGTTATGTGTACCACCTTCTCTTCCTCTCATACCTGAGACAATATCTCTATATCTCATATCTTCCACTTCTTTCTATCTCATGTCGTCCACCTAAATGTAGCTGGAATTGTTTAGTACCGCCTATTGCACAAGTCCATTTAAATATTTTGTATTTGTAGCGCGGTGGTTATCCTCATCATTGTATAGTTATGTGTTGTGATGAGGTGGCGCTACATAATATGTTATTTGTTGTAGTATGTAGGTAGTGAGTATAGCAGTAAAATGATTGCACTATTTATTAGACATATTATTGGTAGTTGCTACATGGCTTATTAATAACGCGTCCAGTCGACGCGGAGTCGCGACGTAGACTGATTTTACACTTAACTTAAATTTATATTAGCGTAAACTAATGGATGGGTCTCTAGTGTCGACAGAAATATTACAAGAGTAGGCACATATTAATACTTTTCTGTATTTAAAAACGGTGTAATAAAGTGTACAAATGAATAAAAATAATATAAACTAACCACCAACATCTAGTAGACCTGCGCAGAACATGTTGTTAGTGATCAACATCGGCTGGCCGGTTGAAATCTGCAGCTCCGCGTAACGTTCCGCGCATATTGTCAAGTTCACTATTGGGACCGTCACCTCTTGGAGGATACGAGATGGTTGTTCTGAAGTAATCTGAAATAAAATAAAAAATCATATTTTACAGAGCCACAAGATAGTTAAGGGTCGGCAATGCGCACGTGAGATCCCTGTTGTCTCAAACGTCCATAGGCTACGGTAACCGTTTACCATCAAACGGGCCATATACTGGTTCATCATATAGATCCAATTGAGAAGAACTGGCAAGAAACTCAATAGAATTACTTTTTTTTTAAAGCAACTGGCTTTTAAAAAAATATATATTTCGTCTTCTTTACAATGTATATGAGTCTATATCGTCACCATGGATATCACAAAACAAACATTGTACCATACTTCTTATCGATGGATAGTTATAAGGGCAGAGGAATGTCGAAAAAGAGATGGATGGACTGTGTGAAAGATGATATAAAAAAAGGTAGTAAATAAGGAGATGATTGCGAAAAGGGATGAATGGAAGAGAAAAACATATTACGCCGACCACAAATAAATGGGATCAGGAAGAAGCAGATGATGATGACCTGTCATTTTGAATTTTCTATTGGTACCTTGTAAATCCTGATGGAAAATCATAAGACTTACACTAGTCTTGCCCCATCCGGCATAAGTGACCATAGCAGTGTTCGGTAGCTGATATCCCTGTGCCGGAATGGCGATGGCCCTGATCTGATTGCCCGACTTGAGAGTCGAACCTAGAACCAGCACCGCGATGTCGCAATCGTGAATTGTTGGGTTGTAACGTTCATGGACTATTATCATAGATACAGAAACCGTTCTGCCTCCTGCAACAAGATTTTTTTAATGGATTATTATTCGGTTCCTTATGAAAGTCATAATATTTATCACTACTCCTATTGTCCAGTTTGGCTAGCTACTTCAGAAGAACCGTTAAGAACAACCTTGTTGTATTTATGTTTAAATGTAAATTCTATTTTACTGTGTAATGTAAATAAATATATATTCTATCTATCTATCTAAGCACTGGCAAGATGGTACATTTTTTATGTTATTATTTTTTTTAATCAGTTTCAATATATTCATATATTAAAATATAAATCATACTATATGAACAAAAATCGTTTACAGAGATTTGTTCAATAAGTATATTTAAATAGTATAAAATGAAGTCTGTTCGCTTAAATCTTTTAAAATACGCAATTGATTTTAATGCAATTTTTGGCATTATATAGAATGATCTAAGAGGAACGTTTATATGTATAATAATAGAGGTTAAAGTATGAAATTTGCGTTCTATAGTAATAGATACTTTGAATCTTCATGGCGTGATATTTTCGAGTTTAACTTTTTTTACACGATACATATGATATTCTTGTTTAAAAAAGATGCAACATTCAATATTCGTCTTTCAGTTGTTTTTTTTTATATAGCTTGGATGTGAAAGATGGATATGGATCCGAGTTATTTTTGTATATGAATTACGACGAGGCAGTAACGCGGCAATAACGGTTCGGACGGACGGACATGAACGCGTTTGGAGAGAAGACTGCTAAGGAACGTACCTTGCGTTTTTGGTTCAAACGCTTAAGCAATGGAAACTTCGACTTGAAGAACGAACCACGTGGAAGAGGCCAACACAAGTGAATGGCGCTGAATTGATAAAGATGTTGGAAGCCGATCCGATTTAAACTACCCAGGAATTAGAGGCATGGTACAACTTTACCTTATGTACAATATAGACTCATTTCCATTAAATCAATAAAATGAAATAATGGGTGTGTAGTGTATGTGGAAACACTAGTAGTTTATTATCTATCGTCTCGAGCCGAGCGTACACGGACCGCCGTGTGCAAGAGGGAAGGGATTCCCTGCGCAAGCGCCGCGGAGTAAAGACGTGGAGCTACGGCTAACGAGCCGATATTATGTCGATAACAACTTGCATACAAGAAGACATAAATAACAAATAAGTGAACACTATAGGGTGCCTCATGATTTGACTGATATGCAGAAAGAATGCGTGTTGAAACATGATTACGTCATCAGCAGTTATCTACTTCAGCGCCATCTAGCAACCAGTAATGAAGTTACTCCGACACTTATTTAATGGATTCAATGCAAGCGAAGCCGAAGTATTTCAGTACAAATCGGCAATTTCATACATTTAACCTCTAATACATTACACCCGTGCAAAGCCAGGGCGTGTAGTTAGTGGCTTAATAAATTATATTCATTTTTATATTAAAAAAAGAATTTATATATTTTTAATTAATAAAAGTCGACAAGATTTGAATTCACGACCTTTTGTTTAAATCGAGATAATAAATGAAATAGTTGAGAAGAATCGTTTTAAAAATTACCTGAGTTAAGATTTGTAGTTCCAGCTCTGATGCTGTAATATCTAGGGCTGACTATGCCGGTCCTGAAAAAAACAGAAGATGACAATATTAGTACCTCAGTACAACATAGCACCATCTATATAGTTGTAAACTAAGCAGAGTTTGTGTTATGGGATCTAAATATTTGATAGAAATAGTTAATTAAATCATTACATAGTATATAACAAAGTCGTTGTTGCTGTCTGGCCGTCCCTATGTATGTTTAAATCTTTAAAACTACGCAACAGATTTTGAAGCGGTTTTTTTCTAATAGATAGAGTGATTCTAAAGGAAGGTTTAAATATATAATACATGTACACCCGGGCGAAGCCGGGGCGAGTAGCTAGTAATATATAAATAAATAACTTTGAACAATTAACACAGTGCATCTAGACCCACAGTAAGCAAAGCTTGTATTAGTGTACATTGCACTTATTAAACGACTTAATTGACGACCTCGGTGGTCTAGCGGTCTAGCACACCGCTTTACGACCGATGGTCGCGGGTTCGATTCCTCGCACGGCACAAACAATTTGTATTCATGTGTATGATTGTTTGTATCTGTCTGGGTGTTTTCTATGTATAATTAATGTGACCATTTATTCTTCGACTCAAAACGGGACACAATTAACAGACATCCAATGAAAAAAACTCTTTTTTTAAATTATCTATTCAAAAAAAGTTATCAATTAAGAAATATATCCGATAAATATAATTAAACATTTTGTTTATTCATAGATAGTTTATATTTATCTGATAAAAATAAAATGTTTTGTTATATATATATTTATCGGAGGAACAAATATGACTTTTTAAGAAGTATTTAAGTAAGAATGACACTCTTGGCACATTTTTTTTATACTCACCTTAATTACCAACAACTAACAACCGGCTCGTCTACCCAAAATTTCGCACCGTTACCGAAAACGGGACAATTTTGCGTCCCAGAGTCCGTTTCGGGGACACCGGGACTCGTAATTATAAAAAAGGACTGTCCCGTTCATTACGGGACGTCTGGTCACATTATGTATAATATGTATGTATTTACAAAAGAAAATATCTATGTCTATGTATCGGACATCTAGTACCCATAACATAAGTTTTAACTAGCTTAACTTGGGTCTAGATGGCGCTGTGTGAATTGTCCTGAGATTATTATTATTAAAATTACTTTACTATTAAAAAAGTCGTGGGAATAAAGAAATTCTTTGTAAACGAGTGCCAAATGTATACTTAACCCACTTAATCTTATCGATTTCGTTGTTTATCATATAAAAAATGGCGAGATAATTTTTATTAGTGTAGTAATACGTATGTTTACTACGACAGAACTTATTAGTCATTTTGATTAGTCATAGATATTTAGGGTAAAAACATTAAACTACAGCCCTATACTATATACCCCTCCGATCGATCCCCCTTCCTATTCAAACGGGGATCGAAATTACAACGTCCTGATCCGAGATTCGAACCCCAAGCAGTGCCCTCAGACTAAAGTCGTATCCGTCAGACGCGAGTTCGCTTTCAGCCGCTCCATAAGTCCTTCCGCGAGTTTGGAGTGCCATCTGTCATCTGCAACTGCACCCTATTGTCCGACGAAGCTGTAAAGGCCAGCCGCGGCCAACAGCATTAGAGTAGCCCGAAAAAAAATACTATACAGTTGTACTAAGGCTTTAAAAATATAAACTATAATAATGCTAATTATGAAATTCTGATACTGAAGTCGATACATTTTTTTTCTAAACACCGTCACATAAGATTTCTACGTTATTTGGAAGCCTTTGGTCGCTTAGGTGGCGTAGGTAGGTAGGTTCAACTTCAATAAATATTTAAACTAATATTAATTTATTATTATTATTCATATATATTCATTATTATTGATTTTTTTTTATTTGATTACATTAAGATTGCTGCATGAATATGTCACTGCGCATATTCTAATCATCCCCGGGCTGCTAGTAAAAAATTGTGTTTTGCTCGTTGAGTAAATTGTTCACTGAGTAGCTTTTCATATTTGTACCCTTTCGTATCCTTGTGGCATCTAATATTTTTTTATGATTTACTTTTACGTGTAAGTTAAAGTGTATTCAAGTTTTTCTTCTATATAATATTCTTACATGGACATACTTGTTTACAGCGTTTTATTTGTAATATTTTCGATACGAATAAAGATTTTATCTATCTATCTATATATTTAGTTCGTGGCTTTAACAATTAAAGTATTGTTTATTAGTATTGTATGTTGAGAAATATGAACTCACCCCTGCCAAAAGCAATGTGCAGCGGATAGTACATGTCTCATGGTTATCAATGAACCTCCGCATTGTAGGGCCGAACCGAAAATTACCTGTAACAAATAACATAAAACAAACCCATTAATTATAGTTTATCGAATTAGGTCTTATTTTGGTCAGGTTCATTTCAATACGTCTTTTTAAGTTAGTAAGGTACTCCCTTATTTTGCAGAGACTGAATGTCAATGGCCTTTTTTAATTTTATTTTTTGTTCATTCTTTTTTTTATCTCGCTTTTCTTGATCCACAAATATATGTATTGTGGCTTCCCGCAGTTTACCTTATATATGTTTTTTTTTCCTTTTTATTTTCTCTTTTTATTGATATTATATATTTATATACCTACATCCAATTGCAAATTGAATTTATTATATTTATTATTATATAATTTATTGGTTTTGTTACTTTCAGATTACTAGAATAATTCCGCTTCTGCACTCCACATATTACTGTTTATTTATTATTTATTGATTTTGTTGCATTTTTTACCAGAAACGGGAGGGTCATATAGATTCGTACAACAAAGTTTTTGTATTTTTGCTTGTATATAAATAAAGGAAAACGTATGTTTCATATCAAAAATATATATATGAAATTATGTTATGGTGTGACATATTAACACGTGGTAGTGAGAGTTCGCGACCGTGATATGCTGCGTAAATAAAAAAAACTTTCCCGGTTAACATATGGTGTACAGTATATATTGGTATAATAATCATTTCACATCATTACTTCTTTTCATGACAACTGGCCGCTTACAGACAACACGTTTCATAGTTCACCTATAAAATACTCCTACGTCATCCGACACTCGCCTTATACAGCTCTGTTCCATATATATACATTTTCTTTAAAACAATTTATTGTTAATCTTTTGTTTTCAACTTTCATGTTTTATATACATTATTTAAATTATTAACCGGGTCTTAACACGAATAAATTTATGGCAAATGAAGATATTTACCTCTCTCGACGTTTCGACTAGGTTGCACTAGCCGTGGTCACGAGCTGACTGAGCCCAGCCAGGTAAATAGCTTTATTTGCCATAAAATTATTCGTGTTAAGACTTTAACTCGAATAATAATTAAATATTGTTAATCTTATATTCTAATATATTAATTATTTGGTGAGGGTCTATTTTATTTGTACATTTATTGTTATCGACCCCACAAACAATAAATACGCAGATAAGACCAATTTACCTGTACAGTGTGAGGGTGTCGTTCTATGGTTGTATCAACCCCGCCAATTATCCGGGGGTTTATTATTGCCGCACTGCCATCATCATCAGCAAGTGGCGGAGGGTTCACAAACTCCACGCTGACCACTTCCACCTCCGCTTGGGCTATAAAAAAAATATTGAGATCATATTAGGTGTACCTTCGATTAATAAGGTGTCCAACAAATTTTTGTTCAAAAAGAGTAAAGTATTTGCACTTTGCAAGTATTTCTTAGGTGAAAAAAAGAGGAAAAAAATTATAAAAACTTATATTTTCTTTTAAAAATATATTTTTCTTCGGAGTGGATAAAATTATACAAATGAGTACTTTTAGGGTACAGGATTTGAAAAGAGTACGGCTTGGAAAAAAAGAGTACAAAACTCAGTAAATGAGTATAGTTGGTCAGCTTATTAATTAGAAATTACATTAATACTAGAAATAAAACTTTCTCTGATCTCTTTTTACGAAAATTGCGCGGTACAATATGTTTCGCGCTCTTATCTTATATATAAAATTCTTGTGTCACAATGTTATATTAGTTAGGGTTGTTATTAATTAGAAAGTGAATTAGAAAATAAATATATAATGTGTCATTAAAAAATATATACAACCCTAATTTTTCACCCTTCTACCGCCTTATTTATTAAAAGCGTTATTAGTACTTAAATTTATATAGCAAAACAACGTTTGCCGTGACAGCTAGTAATTTAAATGCAGAATGCTAATATTTTTATGTACCTAATCATACATAAAAATACATAAATCACTAAAAAACATTGCACATGTATATATATATATATATAAACCTTCCTCTTAAACCACTCTATTTATTAAAAAAACCGCTTCAAAAACTCGGTTGCGTAGTTTTAAAGATTTAAGCATATATAGGTACGGACAGACAGCGACAGCGACTTTATTTTATACTATGTAATGATTATTGATCTTTTTTATATTTTATAACGGTCGAAATTCGACCACTGGGCGACCACTAATATTAATTAAAAGCTTCGTAAAGTAGAAAACGCATTGATAATCTTCAAATGGCTAAATATACAATTTTTTTTTATTTATTATTTTACGGCTCTGGATACAAGTCCTTTTTAGCCCAACATTAAATACAGAACCTTAAAAAAAAATTATTCTTCACAAAGTATTGCTATATTGATCACGCCAGTTATCAAACAAAAGACTCATTATCAATAAATTTGTTCCATCCGTTTGATGCTATGATGTCATAGAAAACAATACAAAGACAAATATACACAAATAAAATATTTTTTTAATGCGTGTACACCAATTTATAATAATAATAATAAAAACTCTTTATTGTGCATAAAAAAATATGTTGATTATGCTAATATTATGAACTAAAGTATTTTTTTTAATTAATGAATATAGGTCTACTTCAAATACTACTACCATTGTGTTACGGGCCATATTATCTTTGTAATTATATGTATTGCTTATGATGATGATATTTGCAATCGTGTGAAATCTCAGGCAATTCCTAGTTTTTTTCATTTTTTTATTTATTTATCCGAAACAATACAAATTGTGTAGATAACATACAAGGTCTAAAACATGATTTTTATGTCAGCAAGCATAGTTCAATAGGTCGAGTGAAGTCTGTATGATCATCGTTGTGTGCCTACACATGTAATATTTTTGTAAACCTACATAACAATATTCCTGTCAACACTTGAGACCCTTCCATTAGTTTACCTCTCCAGATAACAAAGATTTATGTTAAGTGTAAAGCCAGTCTACGTCCTGATTCCGCGTCGAATGTACACGTTACTAACAAGTCACTATAGCAATTTATTATAGTGTGCTACAACACTATAATAAATTTACAAATGTACAATAAATAGTACCATTATTTCACTGGAATACTCAGTACCTAGATACTACAACAAACAATACATTATGTAGCGACACCTCATCACATAACTCTATAGTAGTGAGGATAACCTCGCTATAATTGTAGTAATCATATACAGAATAACAACTTTTATTAAATGAATTTTTTTTTTATAACACGGGAAAAACTAGCTTGCGTCCCACCTGATTGTGTGCTTACCGCCGCCCATGAGCACCCGCAATACCAGGGGAATTGCAAGTACGTCGTCGGCCTTTTAAAAAGGAATAAGCTCTTTTCTTAAAGTTTTCAATATCGTATCGGTTATTTATTAGATGGTAAGGAAACTGACGGCCCACTTGAAGTAAAAGGTAACGTCTAAATACATGAACAATACCATACATCACGTCATCATGTGACCGTAGTTTTCCTTCTTCTTTTCATGAATGATAATGGAATGGTGCACTCATGTATACGCTGGCGGGGCAACAGTGGAGGACGATAAGATGAATATGAGGCCAAGTCAGTTAGCCCATAGTGACACATTCACTAGGAATTTATCACGATGGTTTCCAGGGGAACCGCGTGGAGGTTAACCTGACATGGTACATTGCTAGTAATGGGGTCATGAATCCACATTACTAACAATCCCTTTTCCCCCATGTGACCGTGGTAACACTCATGCTTTTTGGGGACAAAAACCGCCTAACAGAGCCCAGAACAAGGGTTCTCGGTAACTCAGTTTTAGGTAACGAGGTACGCCACAGAAAGCTGTGGCGTACCTAAAACTGAGACATATAAAACTAATAACCAAATAGGAAATACTGAATCACTGGTAGATTACCCCAGGATAACATTCAAAAGCCCTAATAACGGGCTACTCGATTCAATTCAAGACTATTGCTATTGAGTAAAAACAATATATGCGTGATGTCTAGGGACCTCACTGGACACTGCAAATTAACAGATGGCAAACTTGGAATGGAAAAACTTGGCCAGTGACTTACAACAATCTACAGATTTTGCCAAGCTGAAGGAGAAATGTCACTTCACGTCTTATGTGATTGTAGCCACTCTGTATGATAAATGAAAAACTTTGGAAAGTATGCACTCTATCCTGAGGAGATAAAAATCATCGGACTTAAGAATATCCGTCAATTGTTATACCTGTCGGAACTAAACTTGGCCAGTGATATAATTACAATGCTATAAAATAATTACAATAAAAGATATTTTTAATACAGCAAACACTTTTTTAGAAGAACATTCAATTTGAAATTTTGTCTAATCGGTCGATCTACATTGAGTAAAAAGAAGGCTAAATATTTGATTGTACTCCCACGTTTGGGTGAGGAAATATTTATATTATAATTTCAATACTCATTGCATTAGATATTGTCTGGAATTTCGTATTATCATATGTGTCACTAACACAAAGGTAGTAAATAATATAATCACGATAATTCTGATTAGAGTTGTTATTCAGTTCAATAATATACATATACATATACATACAACAAAAATCTTTATCAGCATTTAGCATTAAACAACATATTGTTCCAAATAAATAAAAACATGCAGACGATTTTATTTATTTACTTTTGTAACAATTTTGAATGTATTTTCCTTACAATTTTTAGAATTGTCACTTTTGCACTGTTCGTAACTTGATAATAATAATAATAATCCCGGACAATTCACACAGATCTTGTGTTATGGGTACTAGAGAACTAGTTTTTTTTTTGTAAATACATATATATATAATATACATAGAAAATACCCAGACCTATACAAACAATCATACTCATGAATACAAATGTTTGCACCGTGCGAGGAATCGAACCCGAGACCATCGGAAGTAAAAGCGGTGTGTTAAACCGCTAGACCATCGAGGCCGTTTACCATTTTCTAGCCATTGTTTATTTAATATCACGCATACAGTCCATTCGTCATATCGCCCAAACATGTATAAATTGTTTGTACAATTAAAACATAATTTTAACCTTGGACAAAGTATAAATTGTTCTTCGGAACGTTTAAAACAATAATATATTTTAGTCATCATATTATATTAATTTTTATTTTAATTAATTAATTGCCTGTATATATATATATATATATGTTGCACATAATGTAAAATTAATAATAATAATATCTCGGAGTAATTCACACATCGCCATCTAGTCCCGAACTAAGCAAAACTAATGTTATACAGAAATATCTATATTTTTATATCAATGTCTTTTAATAATAATCTATTAATAATAATCTCAGTACAATTTACACAGTGTCATCTAGACCCATGTTAAGCTAGCTAAAGCTTGTGTTATGGGTCCTAGATAACTGCTGCAAATACGTAGATATTTTTTTTTCGTAAATATATACATTTTATACATAGAAAATACCCTGAACGATACAAACAATTATACTCATGAATACAAATGTTTGTATCTTACGAGGTGTCGAACCCACGACCATCGGAGGTAAGGCAGTTATACTACACCGCTAGACCATCGAGGTCGCGCAAATTGTAAGCAGACTTGTAATTACTTGTAAATATGTTTTTTTAATCTTAGATTAAATCCTTAAATAGAACTTTTATCGTAATAAGATAATGCCAGATGTTATTTTATACTATTGGTATCAGTACCTATTATAGAAAAAGAAATTAACCTGGTGACGCTAGCCCTGACTGTTCGTGACGTGTCAAGGGGCTTTCTGGATGTAACAAACTGAACGATCAAATGAAAATCTTATTCAATGTTGCAATTCTTTTTGTTTATTATTATTATAGTTTCTTTACCCAGAATATCAGCAATTTCTCTATTCACTTCCTATACATACCAGACACTATTGTATATACCACGAGGAACGGTCTCAAGATAAAAAAAAATCACTAAACGATTGATGATGACACAACTTTATGTAGTGCAGTATGTTACTCACTTCCTTCATTTATTTAACTTTGTAACTTCACTTCATTAAAAAAAATGTTTATAGAAACATAAATAAATATTTATTGGAACACAAAACTTACAGCAAAGCACGGTTGCAAGGAATAATATTGTAGCACGCCACATCCTGATTGCTACTGATCGACATACTATCGAGCATCGCATCGTTTATCGATTATAGATAAACATTTATCTGTTATTTGATAACACATTTTGTAAATTCGTGAAATTTTAGAGTCAGAGGGATAGATGGCGACGCATGAAAATTGCACGCAGGCTCTTTGTCTATACATTAAATTTTACTAATATCACAGTTAACATAATATTATACACTAATATTATAAAGCCGTGCCGTAGTAATTCTGTATGTTGCGCTTATATGCCGAAACTACTGAACGGATTGAAATGAAATTTGTCACACAGTTTGATTAAATATAAATAAAGAAAAAGGGTTGTAAGGGATTGAAAGGATCTCCCCTTACAACCCCTGATAACCCTTTTTCTTAATTCTGTCTGTCTGTTGCGCTTATACGCCGAAACAACTGAACGGGTTGAAATGAAATTTGGTACACAGGTTGATTAAATATAAATAAAGAAAAAGCGTTGAAAGGGAAGATCCCTATTAACCCTTTTTCTTGAAAGGTTGTATGGAAAGTTCGTCATTTTTAAAGGTTGAAGCTTGAAACTTATATTTTGGGATGTTGCTTAATTATAAAAAAAAGAAAATAGGGTTCTAATTATTTGAAAAGGGAGATGAAAGATTGTGCTGAGGTCTATTCATTTTTAAAGATAGAAGCTAGAAACTTATTTTTTAGGATGTTGATTAAATATAAAAAAAGATAAAAGGGTTGTAAGGGGTTAAAAAGGGTGTACTGAGGTGTCGTCATTTTTTAAGTTAGAAGCTTGGAACTTATTTTTTAGGTTCTTATTAATTAGGAACCTAAAATATAAGTAAACAAAATATTCAAGTTTGTAAAAATGTTACAGACTCTTATTAATTTATTGTTGGTAAAATAAAATAGGGGATGAAAAATTGTATGGAAAATCGTCACTTTTGAAACTAGAACGATGAAACTTTTTTTGGCGTTATGGTTTAGATTATTGAATATTTTTACTTTAAATTCAATTCAAATTCATCGAACGTCAAATTTTTATATTACATTTTTTCCCTCCCGTACAGTTCACCATATAGATCTTTGAGATTGAGAAAAACTGGCAAGAAACTCAATTGAATTAATTTTTTTTATAGCCAGTTTATTTACAATGTATATCTACATATATAGTTGTCTACGTCTAACATTAAATGAATATCCCGTGCATGAACAACTATTGCCATACACGCTCGTCATTCAAGTAATCGTTTAGTGAGTAATAGGCTATGTTTAGTAAATATGATTTAACAGATGTTTTGAATTTATTTAAGGGTAATTCCAGTATATCCTTTAGGTTTTATATAAGGGACTTATTATAAATTTTTATATTCATTGAATTATTAGCATTAAGTGTAGTATTAACATTAGTTTGTCACTATAACACGCGGGCGAAGTCGCGGGTACTGCTAGTATGGTCATAAAACTAAAATTACGCACTTAACAAAATTGAAAATACAAAAGAAATATGAATAATTATTTTATAAACAAAGAAATTTTGTCACTATTTTTACGTCGTAAATGATTCCATCCATACGTAAATTTCGTCACACATTAAAAAGGGGGGCGAACTTCTTCATCATAGTAGCTTCAATTTTTAATTTCAGTTCAATCAGTCGAAAATCTAAGAAGATTTATACAAACTTTCATCCTCTATTTTATCCCCTTAGGGGTAGAATTTATCAAAATCCTTTTTAGGGGAAGCCTACGTCATAGTAGTTTTATGTATGCAAAGTCTCAGCCCGATCGGTTTAAAATTGACAAAGTTTCATACCAACTTTCATCCCTATTTTATCCCCTTGGACGTCATAACATCTACCTGCATGCCAAATTTCAGCCCGATCCGTCCAGTGGTTTGGGCTGTGCGTTGATAGATCACTATGTCAGTCACCTTTGTAAAAAACGGTTATTTCAATATTACAAGCAGATGCTCCAGTTTTATTTATATGTATTTATGATAGAAGGCAAGGCTTCTGTGTACGCGTCAGCATCTAGGACCTCACTTGACCATAAAAATAAGTTCATGACATGTAATATTAATTACTAGCATAGCTTGTACATAATAATATTATACATATCGGCGCGGGTATGATTCGGGAATTGTACTGTCACAAGATCTTTGAGTTTTAATTATAATGTTTGCTAATAGCAAACATTATGTGTAAACTGTGAAATGTAATTGTAGAATTAATATTTATAGAAACTATTATGATTAATTTGAATTAATAATTTTAGATCGAATAATAACTAATTCATTATTATTCGATCAAGTTATCAATTAACTAGGCACTTAATTGATAACTTGATAACACGATGTAATATTTACCAGTGCTAGGATTGTTTTAAAGCTATTCTGTTAAATCGTAGTTGCTTTCAAATGTCGAGTAAGAGTGAATCAAAACCGCATAATTAACACTATAGTTTCTATTACTCGAATAATTTACTGATTTTATAAACAGAAATTAACAAGAAATTTAATTTAATTAACAGAAATTACAGAAATTAGGGCAGTCAATTGACTGACAACATCGTTAACACAAACCCCAATTATAATAACAAAAACATGCAATTGAATAACTATCATTCTTAATAGTATTTTAGAGAATTAGAACTAACTCTGCTTGTTATAATTCTCAAGCAATTAGGTAACTACGAAATCTATAATCAAAAAGAGTTGTTAAACTGTGAGCGAGTACATGAGCATTCGCTCTGATTGGTCAGCACACTAGCGCCCTCTAGGAGAGGACAAGCAAAGTCTTCTTGTACTGGAACACGGTTGAGGTGGTCAGTTACTGAGTTACCATCTTACAGAGTTACACAGTTACGGAGTGACTGAGTCACCGTGGAGCCAGGTACAAACCTGGCTCATATGATTTTGTAAGTCATGTCTGCTTAGAAATAATAATAATAGTTAATTAAAAGAGCAACACACAAGTTTCTTGCTCATTCTTCTTGTGATGAATCTGCGTTCCGAATGAGTGGTAGAAACAAAAATACAGTAACTATCAAACGTGCTTACATTAAGTTTGTTTCATTATAATAACCTACGAGTTAAACAATTGAGATATTCTTGACCATGTTGGTCGAGAATAACGCAAACACAACTAAAAAGCCTACGAAACTGCATCTGCTACGACATACATAATATATATAGCAAACCCCCAGACCAATTCAAACAATCATACTCATGAATACAAAGTACTACAAAATAGTTTGTACCATACAACTAATGCAACCCGCGACCACCGGAAGGGGATATGTTAAACCGGAAGTTGGTCGAGATCGTCCATATTAATAAAGATTTATAAATGAGTATAAACTTATTTTTATTATTTTATTTATTAAAATATCAATTCACATTGACTTTTATTCATAGCATAAATTATAATTAAGAAGTTAAATGTCTAAAGTAAATACATATTAATTAAAGGAAAATAACAATTTGACAATAATAATTTAAATATGTCAATTACACTAATTTTATAAATAATTAATTACATAATACATTAAAAATAATATAAATTTGTGTTTAAATTCGATTTTATATAATAAATTTTTTAAAGCTGTGCCTATACTTATAATATTTCAACACTCGGCACCGTTCCATTGGTTTACGTCTCCACATAGTTCATCAAATAGACCATTAATTAACTCTATCAATTAAACTTCCAGTATATTAATTTATTTATTGCAGTTAACGGCCTGATCCGACATTCGAATCCCTAGCGGTACCCTCAACTAAAGGCGTATCCGTCAGACGGGAGTTTTTTTTTATAACTCAGGTGCCAAATGAGCATGCAGCTGATGGTAAGTGATTACCGCCGCCCATGAGCACCCGCAACACCATGGGAATATCAAGTACGTTGTCGGCATTTTAAAAAGAAGCGACTTCATTTTATACTAAAAGAAGTATGACTCAAAATCATTATTTTCATACAGTTTTTTTTATGTATTTATCTTTATTTTCATTTGTTATTAATAATAATTACTCTATACAAACAAAGTAAGAACTAAATAATTTAAATAAGATACCATCTACCACTATAATTATGTACCACTATTATCACAATAAATTTTACTTCAATCCATTTCATTGTCACTCAACTATTACACTGTTAGTTATACATTATGATTAGATATTGTAATAATATGACACCCTTCATGAATTTTTCTGATAAACAGCTATTAAGATAGCGGTTAATAGCAGGCTGCTGCCGCCACCTTGCATCCTCCAGCTGCCATTGTACCGCGCCACCTGTAAAAAGATAAAAAGGTATATTTTCACCACTTATGATTCACACTTCAGATGGAGTAGGTACTCAGAGGCACTCACAGGGAAGGCGAAGGGGACAGGCGTGGACCTACACATGTAATATTTCTGTCAACACTTGAGACCCTTCCATTAGTTTACGTCTCCACTAACATAGATTTAAGTTAAATGTAAAATCAGTCTATGTCACGACTTCGTGTTAAATAAACGCGTTACTAAGCCTACTAGGCATGTTTTGACATGCCTAGTAATGACTAATAAAATGACTAATGTACAATAAATAGTACAATTATTTCACCGGTATACTCACTACCTAGATACTACAATAGACAATATATTATGTAGCGACACCTTATCACATCATATATAACGCTATAATGGTGACGTGATAACAGTTGGATAGAGGAAAGCTCGTTAGTAGTGAATATCTGCTAAAGGGTAGGATGGATAAAATACCTCCCGTGGACTGAAGAGAAAACTTCGATAAAAACCCAACCAGAGTGTTTTTTCGAATTAATCAAAGTAGAACTCCTTGGTTGTGATGAACTGCATTTACCATATTGTTTTTAGTATATGAACAAGTTACGAGTGTGTGTGTGTATTCCAAAACATCCACCGAATAGGTCCGTGCTCAGCATAAGCCGCGATAAAACCGCTAGCTAATACGCTAGTGGTTTTATCGCTGCAGCGCTGTTTTTAAGCACAAAAACTAGGGTAGTGTATTGCTGTATTGTACCCGGTTCAAAACATACAGAATATAGAAATAATAAATAAATACATAAACCGGAAAAATTAACACAGCGCCATCTGGTCCTACGGTAAACAGAACTTGTGTTATGGGTACTATACTGCTAGATATACTTAGAAACTTCTTTTTGTAAATACATGCATAATATACATAGAAAACACTCAGGCCGATACAAACAATCATACTCATTAATACAAATATTTGCATTATGCATGCATCATGCATGCAATGCATGCAATGCAATGCATTGAACCCGCGACTATCGGAAGTACAGCGGTGTGCTAAACCGCTAGACCACCGAGGTCAAATAATTTACATACATTAAAATATATGGTTTACTTACGGTTTCTTTGATCCATGTACTGAAAACGGAAACTTTAACATTCACGCTCGGGAAACCGGGGTATGAGCAGTTATACCCCCACGATATGATCCCCACTAGAGTCGAATTGAAAACCGTGGGCCCACCACTGTCGCCCTGGCATGAGTCTTTACCTGTGAATGTGAATCACAGTGAAATCTGGTTGAATGAGACCTGAATAAGTGAGAAACTTTTAATATTTCTGCTATTATTTTATTAATAATAGTGGATTGCATAATTCATTGAATAATAATATTTAATAATTTAAACCAAAACAGAAAGTTTCAATCTCCTATCGACGGTACTTCTATACAACCATTCATCTCCCCTTTCGACCTCTTATAATCCTTTTTTACATTAAATAAATAAATAAATAATCTCAGGACAATTCACACAGCGCCATCTAGCCCAAGTTAAGCTAGCTAGAGCTTGTGTAATGGGTACTAGATAACTGATACATATACATAGATTTTTTTTTTGTAAATACATACATATTATACATAGAAAACACCCAGACCGATACAAACAATCATACTCATGGATACAAATGTTTGTGCCGTGCGAGGAATCGAACACGCGACACTCGGTCGTAAAGCTTTTGACTTCGTCAAAAAGTAATATATTCGCAGGGATAGTAGGTTTTCATTTTTTAGGTTTAAGATAAAAAAAAACTGACCACCGACATTGAGTAGACCTGCGCAGAACATGTTATCTGTGACCACCGAGGGCTGGCCGTTCGATAGGTTCTTCTCCGCGTAGTGTTTCGCACATATTGTTCTATTTACCGTTGGTACTGTCACCGCTTGGAGTATATTGGATGGTGAGTATGCAGACGCCTGAAATAGTAAAATATACTGTATTAAGCACAATGTCAGGTATTACTTAGACCGAAAAACATCTGTAATAGCCTGTTGTTTGGGTTTATCTAAAGCTTTTGATATCGTGTCTCATGAGATCTTGTGGTCGCTCCGTGAAGCCTGTGAAGACATCAGGAGACTTCTGCGCTTCTAGGAGTAGCTTGGCTGGCTACTTTAGTAACCTGGCTCTACACACACAACGGCCCAGATGAGAGACTAAATGCGGAGAATTTTTTTGGACACACAACGAAAACAAATCCTCAGAACGGTGAGGTCGCTCCGTGAAGACTGAAGCCTGTGAGATCTTGTGGGAGAAGCTTCAGAGACAAAATATTTCCTGAGAACTTATTACGATATTTAAGTACCGATATATATAGGTCAATACGTCTGTTATAGACGATCTGATGGTCCGTGAACAGCTCTTTTCGTGGCTGTATGTAAACCCATACGAGAGCGACATAGCCTACTACAGGCTCGTCAAGAGAAATTATTGGAAGTAGGCGGTACTGAGCCGCCTAGATGGCACTTCCGTCTCTTGTCAACAAGTCTTTGAAACCAGGCATCATCGTAAACTTTTCGACCCTCCATTACACATCTGCGCCAATCTATTTTATTGGTTACGAGCTTTTCCCAGTTATGATGGTCTATTTGAAATGTGGCCATATCACGTTTGGTATTGTAACAAAATTAACATTATTAAATGGGTGGATTGTATCTCTGATGAGTACAAACTGGAGTGTGCGGTGAAACAAGGTGGGATATCCTCACCCACACTTTTTAATGTGTACATTGATAGCCTGATCGCTGAACTTAGCAGCATGCATGCTGGCGGTTACATAGACGGACGTTATATAGGTGGTAAAAATACTATAATTCCACCGATTATATTGTATAATGTGCTTATTAATAGATATATTTAGAATATAATATTATTACCGATGACTTGACACTGTAAGGAGGTAATATGTTGTGTAGCAGGTTCGCTCTTTGTTTGACCGAAGTAAAAATATCATTATTTAAAGCTTATCAATCTTCCTACACGAGCAGTTTGTGGGTTAACTATACACAGCAGGCATACAGCGCTCTGCGTGTTCAATACAATAATGTTTTCAGAATGTTGTTACGTTTGCAGCGCTTATAGTGCATCCACAATGTTTGCAGTAGATGCCTACTGACGACCTGCATGCACGTCGTATCAGACAATTTGTAATGAAAATTATTACAAAAAGGCGCACGCACGATTCAAGTACGCGAAAATGCGCTAACTGACAGCGCGCGAAGTTTTTCTCGTTCCCTTTTTTTACATTTACATACACATTCTTCTGTGTGAAAGCCGATTCACGCGTGAAAGAGCGTACGTGAAAGGCACCAAAAAACCACTTTTTACAATTTTTGTCTGTCTGTCGGGCTGTTTGTTCCGGCTAATCTCACACCGATTTTGACGAGACTTTTATTAGCAGGTAGCTGTTGTATTAAGGAAACTTTCCGAGTGTGGGCGCGAAGACTGCGCCTACCTTCGACGAACCACTCACCTTCGGATGAGTGGTAAGTCCCCTACAGTGGGGGGAAAGGGGATTGTTAGTAATGTGAACTAATGATCTTATTGCTAGCAATGTACCATGTCAGGTTGACCTCCATGCGGTTCCCCCTGGAAACCATCATGATAAATTGCTGCTTAATTTGTCACGATGGGCTAACTGACCTGACTCATCTTAACATCCTCCTCTGGTGCCCCGCCAACGTATACCGTTAGCACAGGCGGGGGCATCATTCCATTATCATCCATAAAAAAAAAGTCCCTTACAGTATTATTACCAGAAAAAATGACTACCGTAGTTCATCCGTAGCCCGTAGAGTTTAGTAGAGTCATCAGCTCTTATGCATTGTTGTTCCTGATGATTACTGTTTAGTACCTTTTTATATTATAAAAAACTTACATTAGTCCAACCCCATCCTGCGAAAGTGACGCTGGTGTTTTCCGGTAGACTATATCCCTGCTTTGGAATGTCGATAGACTTGATTTGGTCACTCTGAATGAGAATCGAACTTAGAACCACCACGGCGATGTCGCAATCTTCCGTTGATGGGTCGTAACTGTCGTGGATTACAATCATCGACACAGACACCTCTGTACCGCCTGAAACATATTTTATTTTGGATTAATATTATCTGCTTACTCAAGACTTAAGGTAGTCAATACATTTTAAAAAATAAAGTCCAGCAAGTTAGTCGGATGATGATGTTAAGCGAGCACATCACTCACATCTCTCATGTACTTTACATTTGCATACGCGCCCGTGTTTAACCATATCATTCTTGACATTTTATTATTCCATACTGTTGACTTCCTTCTGATAATTAAATAAAATGTATTGCGCCTAAATACCCCAGGCACGTGGGGTGCGAAATCCATCCATAGATAAATGGTACTCAATAAATAAAAAAAAATAAAGCATGCAATACCATCCATTATTTTAGTTAGAAAAATAAATTAATAATATTTGAAAACGTATTTAAAATTAATAAGAAATATATTATATTTGTATATATTATTTATTGCATTTAATGAATATGATTGTATGTTTCCGTGTATTTTCTATGTATATTACGTATGTATTTAAGTATTTCTATCAGTTTTTAAATACATACAAAATAAAAATGGGTACTAATACCCATAACACAAGTTCTGCTTAGCTTGGGACTAGATGATGCTATGTAAGTTGTCCTGAGTTATTATTATTATTCTATACAGATTCTAAAGATAAATAAGAAAATATTGACTTATAAACAAGTTACTGTAACTGAATGGTTTTAAGAATTACCTCTGTTGAAATATTCAGATCCGGCTATAATGGTGAAATGACTAGGACTCACAGCATTGTTCCTGAAAAACAAGATAGAAAACTTACTTTTAATAATAATAATAATATCCTGAAGTATTATTATTATTATTATTATTATTAATAAGAATACTTCAAAAAATATGTATATAATAATATCAAAAATTAAATATACTCCCAAACTAAGCAGAGCTTATGTTATGGGTACTAGACAAATGATACGAATACTTAGATATTTTTTGCAGGTATTTGTAATGCTATTCTAGTTATATAAAAATGAAAAACAATTGTTGACAACCCTGGCGGTCTTGCGGTTTCGTGAAAGTGTAACAAACATCTATCAATAATTACAAACTTTCGCGTTTGTAATATTAATAAGACTTCAGAAATAGATGTATATAATTAGTGATTAGAGCTAATTTCTTGTCGCTAGTTTTGTAAACGGGACAAATATATGCACTATGTTTATGAACTCACCCCTTCATAAAGCAATGCGCCGCAGATAGAACATGCCTCATGCTGATAAGAGATCCTCCACATACAAGATCAGAATCCTTAAATATCTGTAATAATAAAGAAACTATATCATGACTTTTATCTCAGATAGGGTAGCCAGAGGCATTGCCAACACTCGATGGTGTGGTGCAAATAGAATTGATATTCGCTGGGTATATTTAAACACAACACAACGTGCCAGAGGACGTACGTACCGCCGTCTCTTGTTTATTTTTAGGAATAACGTTTGTTAAAAAATAAATAAATGTTTCCTTCAAATAAATAAATTGTTATACTGTTTTTATATATATATATATATACTATACTAGCTGCTTCCGCGGTTTCACCCTTGTCAAAATTATAAGCTATATATTATTCTGATGTATTAGCTATATTACTGTAAAGTTTCATCAAAATACGTTCTGTAGTTTTTGCGTGAAAGAGTATATTCACAAACTTTCGTGTTTATAATATTAATAAGATATATCAGTACTCACTACTTATATATAAACTAGCTGTCCCGGCAAACGTTGTTTTGCCTTAAAATAAAAAAAAAAATTTGGGGTGGACTACCCCTAACATTTAGGGGGATGAAAAATAGATGTTGGCCGATTCTCAGACCTACTCAATACGCTTACAAAATTTCATGAGAATCGGTCAAGCCGTTTCGGAGGAGTATGGGAACGAAAACTGTGACACGAGAATTATATATATGAGATAAGGCAGAGGAGGGTATACCTTTGCCTTATTTATATGCTATAACTAAACAAAGACACACAGAGTTCAAAAACACTCAGAGTTCAATCGAACTTTTGCAGGTATTTGTAATGCTATTCTAGTTACATAAAAATGAAAAACAATTTTTGACGACCTCTGAGGTCTTGCGGTTTAGCACACCGCCTTACTTCCGATGGTCGCGGGTGCGATTCCTTGCACGACACAAATATTTGTATTCATGAATACGATTGTTAGTGTCGGTCTGGATGTTTTCTATATACATATACTATAATATTAGTACTTCCGAAAAAAAGTTATATCTATGTTATTGTATCAGTTATCTAGTAGTTTATATACACTGGCCAGGGTTGTAACCTTAAAACATTTAACCATGAACTAAAAAGTAAAAATTTCTCGTATTTTGGCTATCCAAACCCATACATCATCGTGTTTGACTGATTTCGGTAAAACAAAATCTCGGGAACTTTTTCATCCAAGGTATACACTACTTACGAGGATGAAAAAGTCAAAAATCTCGTAGGTGTACGAAAATTCTTATACGGTAGGCAGGATGCCTACCATTAACCATTTAATCCCTAAAGCGGCCCAAACGAGACAGTTTCACGGTGCGCCAAAAAGTGGAATATTATTTACCTGGACAGCGTAAGGATGTTCCTCTATAGTTGTGTCATCCCCTTTAATTATCCTTTGGTATAATGAGTTCACAGCTTCATCACCTGGTCGAGGATTCTTAAACTGAATCCAGAACGCCTCCTTTGCTTGTGCTATAGGTAGTAATTTCGTTTATTTATGCATTAGTCATGTTAAATAATTTTGATCATTATTATAAATAGACTTAAGTGTTATTTTGCGGAAAACATTTCACTATTTAATGGATTTATAATATTTTGTTTAATTCCGGTACAATTAGCATGGGTGAGATCACAACTACTATATGCGGACTTGACTACCGTTACGAGTTTCTCTAAAGATGATCAAATTCCGACCGTTATTGAATTTACACACCTATTGCTACACGTGTTTCGCCTCTTAACGAGGCTTCATCAGGCATTGAATAGAGTTTGGATATAGCTTGGAAGCCTAGTGTTGACAGTTAGACGACCAAGCTCGTAATGGTAGTCGAGATTCCGCCATCACATCTTAAAACGCAAAATGTTTAGCAGCTGAAATAGGTGAGAATGAGGTACCCACGCAAATGAGTTTTAAATGAGTTTTAGAGGTCGTCAACCTAAATTCTAAATACCACCTCAGTCACCTAAAGTCTAAATTCTAAATAGGTGAGACTGAGGTACCCACGCAAATGATTTTATAAAAAGTAGCTTTTTTAGAGGAGTTTTTAGTTGGTAAATATCTAAGGTAGACTACCTTAGATTTTTATCTAAAATATTTGCAATCTTTCGATCACACGCTCTCAATTTAAACGGAAGCCGGTCTTAATTAAAAAAAAATCACTAAACGTTTGTTGTTACACAACTTAATATGATGTAGCATGCAACGCACATTTACTTGACTTTGAAACTTCACTTTAGTTTTCCGAATTCGAATAGATACGTTTATAGAAAATTATGTAAACTTACAGCAAAGCACGGTCGCAAGAAATAGTATTGTACCACGCCACATCATAATTACAACTGACTGTCTACCAGTTTATCAAGATATTTATTATTTAGATAAGCATACAATTTTAATAAATCTATAATCTGCCAATAAGGGGGAAAATGGGGCAGATTCGCACTAAACTTTAAAATCAGTTTACCTGAGAAGATTTTAGTTTAGTTTAAAAAGCACATGATCCCCTCCGGTCGATCTCCTGTCCTATTCAAACGAAGATCAAAATTACGACGGCCTGAGCCGAAGTTCGAACTCCTAGTGGGCACCAATATGGCGGGGTTGTCTATTAATAGATACCGGACATACGTTGCTGTGTCCGAAAACTCGAGCTAGCCCTGCCATATTGGCGCCCATCGTGGGACGCCAAGTAAGCACGGATGTCTATTAATAGATACCGGACGTTCGTTGCTGTGTGTCCGGAAACTCGACCTAGCAACTCGAGCTAGCCCTGCCATATTGGAGCCCAACGTGGTGCGCCAATTTGGCAGATTTGTCTATTAATAGATACCGGACGTACATTGCTGTGTCCGGAAACTAGCGTTACCTGGCCGGCAACCTAACGGTGCATTTCGGGGTATTGCTATATGCTATACTGTGTATTTGTTTTCACAATCATCATACTCAAAATATTGCTTACATTTACTTTTACATCTTAAACAAAGAGTACCAGAGCTGTTATACGTCGTCGAAGAAAAAAAATGCGGTAATTATTAACGATAGCGCTCGCCATTATGTCGAATATTCCTTTGATTACCCCACCTGAGATAACAGTAGTCACAGCATATTTATTTATATATTTTTACGTTATATCAAGGTACGTATTTTAATCATTACTCGTATACATGTGATGTTATTGTTTTGGTTATATTATGTTTTTATATTACATAGATAGATAGATAAAATCTTCATTCGTATCAAAATATTACAAAATGCTATAAACAAATATATACGTGAAGAAAATTATACATAAGAAAAAAACACACTTTAACTTACACGTAAAATTAAAACATAAAAAGAAATTGATGCCATAGGGATACGAAAGGGTTAGGCTACTCAGTGAACAATTTACTCAACAAAAATACTGATTTTCAGTAGCAGCCCGAGAGTGTTTCTGATGCGTGAAGCGACACATTCAGGCAACAATCTTTATGGTACCTATAAATAATAATAACCCTGGACAATTAACTCAGCGCCATCTAGTCTCACAGATCTTGTATTTTTGGGTACTAAACAACTCGTATAAATACTAAGATATATATTTTTTTCTGTAAATACATACATAATATACATAGAAAATACCCAGACCGATACAAACGATCATATTCATGAATACAAATGTTTGCACCGTGCGAGGAATCGAACCCGCGATCTTCGGAAAGCTAAACCGCTAGATTACCAAGACCGTAGATGCAACAGATGTCACGTCGGCACCGCCATATCTGCCAATCATGATCTTTGCAACCATAACAAAATGGGGGGAAAGGGAATTGTTAGTACTGTGGATTAGTGATTTTATTGCTAGCAATGTATCCTGTCAGATTGTCCTCCGCGCGGTTCCCCCTGGAAACCATTGCGATAAACTGTTGGTGAATTTGTCACAATGGGCTAACTGATATGACCTCATGCTCGTCTTATCATCCTCCACTGGTGCCCAGCCAGCGTATACCGTTAGTTTAAGTGGGTGCACCATTCCATTGTCATCCATAAAAAAAACCGTAACAAAATAAAACAACCAAGTCTAGATATCACATATGAATATTTTATTTACGAGTAATGATATAATATATGTTACAGCGTACAATAAATATAAGGTACAAAGTGAATCGCTAGACATGTCATAACTGCGCCGGCGACGGCCGCAGCGACACCAGCACCACCTGCCGGCACACGACTGAAACAAACATACCAACCATTAATACAATAATATATATATACACTAATCCTCCTATAACACGGTAGATTGGAAATAAAAAGAAAATATAATGTTTATTTGAATATATAGTATAATATAAGCACTGAATAGTCACATTTTTTTTATTCTACACAATTTACTTAAAATCACTACAATATTTAATTAAAAGACCAAAACGCCAGTTGCTTGTTGGTCTTTTAAATAAATATTGTTCTAAATATACAAAGATTACCAAGGATTAGGCATGCGATACGTTGTAGGAGTATTCCCGTATAACGCGTTACGTACAAATTATTCGCGTTTAACTTTTCACACTTTACTTTATTTAAATCGAATATTAAGAAAAAAACTATATTATGAACGAAATATGTGTTTTATTAAAACCAAACTAAACTAAGAACATATTAAATAAAAAAACTTATTCATATGAACTTGTACAGTTCTTATATCGTTATTATAAATTTCATCATCTTGTATAGTTATTATAAATTTCACAGTACAAAAATATTACGCGGAAAATCCCCTCCTTATAATATGGGGGAATGCCCTTGTTATACGGGGGATTGATATCGAATTGAAATACGAAAATGAGTTATAAAAGTACCGTACAGTAAGTAAGTTATATAGGGGGATTACTGTATTAATCTAGACTCTGAATGAGCTATAGATTACAAAAAAACTATCTAATCAAATCTGCTGATACTTTATTATAATACATACTTATCAACCATTATTATAATCAAATTAAAAAAATATATTCAGTAAATCCCCCCCTATAACACGATAGATTGGTCCCGCGGAAAATGCATTCGGGGTATTCCGGTATAACCGGGATGTTACCTATAAATTATTCACATTTAACTTTTCTCGATAAAGGGGGTTTAAATTGAATATTAAGAAAAAAACAATATTATGAACAAAATATGTATACAACGTTTAATAAATTTAATTTATATATCTCTTTTAAATAAATAAATATTGTTATTGGAAACACACTTTATACTGAAAAGATAAGAACAATCGCTCGCAGGAATATTCTGCAATTCTTTTCCCTTACAGGCCCAGGTAACGAATGAAACAGGGCTGGCACAATAGATTTTAAGTGCTATAAAATTATAACAACTTGTAATAGCCCATAGCCCCTCTCAATAGAAAAAAATAAGCTTTAATATACCTGATCATAATTATGTGCAATCTCAATTGAAAAAAATTATAGCAGTTTCTTTTTAGTTTTCAGCTCAAACTACATTATGAACTGACGATAGATTTCACTTATCCTAACAAGCTTTAATAGACCTACATTAGAGATTGCTGTCGTCAGTGCCGTGACAACGTAGACAAATTATATTTTATTATTATTTCATATGTATGTTAGTCTACAAGGTATTTATAATATTAGCCATGTAGCTTAAATTAAATAAATAATATAAAAATTAGTAAATATGATGATATCATTGATTAGTAATATTTAATATTTAATGTTCGTGTAAATACTATTTACAGTCGTGTTAACATCTATAAATATATAGAAGATAAAGATCAACAAAAAAATTACTTAATAATGATACAATTTTCAATAGAAACAGATATAATCTTTATTTAAATAAACATATAAAGCACCTTTGAATAGTCATAATTTTTTTTTATTTTACATTCGAAATACGAACTTATCACAAGAAGAATGGACAAACACTTGTTTGTGTTGCTCTTTAAAATAAATTGTTCAATTATTTATCGCAGTCGGATAACTAACCGTTAATAACCGCGTTTTTAGTAGCAACCATAAATTTGGTTAAATAACGGTAGCTAACGAGTTTTTACAACTATACCATGACACTCGACCACGTTACGTATTTTTATATCACGTCTACGCCTACCTATGTCCTTCTGGCTACTCCATCTGTGATAATAGTCATGAAGGTACATTAATTAAAGAATGTTGATAAATGTTGCGGGTAAATGATACGATGCTGTTGATAGAGACGATGTATATTACAGATGATAATAGACTGACAATATGTACATAAAAATATTGATCTTATATACTAAATGACATTAGGAATGTAAGGTGGGGTGACACAGTTTAGACACGACAGTGCTTAGTACCTACACAATATTGGATTTGTCTTACTAGACATTATTAAATGCAATTATTATTTGTGTGTGTTATGCAATGCAATTATTAACTGTGCCCCATAATAAAGGAAGCCCAGATAACAATTAAAGGAAGTAAGAATTAATGGTTGACATCACTACCACCATTATTCAAGATAAATGTGATATCTCTATATTATCTATGAATCATATCACATTTATCAGTAATGTCCAATAGAGGAAAAAATAAGGATTATTGCTTATCATGCTCACCGGGGGTGAGCAGTATTATTAGTGAAAGGGCCAATTTTTTTTCTGCGGACAAAGTTATAACTATTATTATTATTTGACGACCTCGGTGATCTAGCGGTCTAGCACACCGCTTTACGACCGATGGTCGCGGGTTCGATTCCTCGTACGGCACAAATATTTGTATTCATAAGTATGATTGTTTGTATCGGTCTGGGTGTTTTCTGTGTATAATATGTATGTATTTACAAAAAATAAATATCTGTGTTTATGTATCAGTTATCTAGTACCCATAACACAAGCTTTAGCTAGCTTAACTTGGGACTAGATGGCGCTGTGTGAATTGTCCTGATATTATTATTATTATTATTATTAATAATATACTAAACTTATTATTATAAACATTAGAATAAATAAATATAAATTTAAAAAAAAGTATAGATTTCCTGTACAAATTTTCAATAAGATAAAGTCTGTTCTAAATCTGCTAGAAAAGAAATTCAAATGTGGATAACACTTTCTTTGAAACTTATTATAAAACTGCAAAGTTTGTAAATGATAATAATGTTCTTGCAGAAATAAATTATTATTATCTGATTGCACAAAGAATAAATGCATAGCGGTTTCTATGTCGATTATCGCATGCCTCCTGCTTGTTCTTGTGTATTTATTTATTTAATAAAATAACATTTATTCAAAAGAGCAACACACTAGGCTCTTGCTCGTATCACAAGAACGAGCAAGAGACAAGTGTGTTGCTCTTTTGATCTGATCTTTGAGTTTGCGTTCCCAATGAGTGGTAAAATAAAAAAATATGATTATTCAAAAGTATTTATAGTGAGTTTATTTGAACAAAGTTGTATTTCTATTTCTATCAGATTTCCTATCAATTATAAATTATGTCTAAATATAAGTTGTGTCGCGATAGACTAGGCCCCTTCAAGGACGACGTCGACACGTGTAATAGTTGCTGAGTAGTGATTAGTAGTGAGTTACACGTGCCGCGTGAGAAACGTATTTAGCATAATCGATAAGAGATAAACATTCGTGTTTAGTACAAAAACATTGATGTCAAATTATCGATAACGTCGGCAAAAACAAGATGAACCGTAATTTTTATCTAATGACTTGATAACTGGAATTAAGTTTTTTCGGTTTGTTGATTTTAGAAATTCATGACTCACATAGACAATAAAAACAGAAAATTATTTATGGAATGACTTGAATGAATAATTTTCGTCCCTGACGGGTCTAGCCGTCAGGGACAAGAATTGCCCTCAGTTAGACCCGCTTGAAAATTATAGCCTATGTGTTATTCTGATGTATAACCTACATTATTGTAAAGTTTCATTAAAATCCATTTAGTAGTTTTTGCGTGAAAGAGTAACATGCATCCATCCTAGATGGACTCACAAACTGCCATGTTTATAATATTAGCAAGATAACATAAATGTCAATTTTCACAGTTTGGTTATATTATTCGAAGAAATTTGGAAGTGGAAGAGAGACAGATGATCTGAAGAGTAAAAATTAGATGGCAAATTACTGTAGACGTAGATAAGTCTTTAATATGTAATTATTACATAAATAATGAGCACATACAATTCGATAATGTACTACAGTTAATAAGAACTATTTAATCTTAATTATAATAAATTATCATCATCAATAATGTAATCAGATTTGATTAGATAGTTTCTCAATCTACGGCTCATTCAGAGCCTAGATTAAAACAGTATTCTCCCTATATATATAACGCGGTACTTTTATAACGCATTATCATATTACTAGATGTCAATCCCCAGTTTGACACGGGCATTCCCCCATATTATAGCGCGGGGATTTCACACATTATATTTCTGTACTGAGAAATTTATAATGATTTTTATTTAAAAGGTTCTTAGTTTAGTTTGATTTTAATAAGACATACGTAGTTCGTTCATAATACAGTTGTCTTAATATTTGATTTGTTTTAGTGAAAAAAGTTAATCGTTAATTTATACTTAAGGTGTTATACGGAATTTCTGCTACAGTACGGAACCAATATACCATGTTATAGGGGGAATTACAGTATTCAGATTTAGACAAGAACACTCTTCTGATCTGAACAAACTTTTTGGTAACATAAATTATTATTATTATACTAGCTGACCCGCACAACTTCGCCTGCATCACACTTACTAGACATTTATCATCATATTTCGCCCAATTTACATATGTTTTTTTTTATTATATAGCTATAACATACATAGGTTACAATCGATATACATATTCGCAATATTTGTTAAGGTTACTGGCGGTTTAATTATTTTGTACTATACTAGCTCTGCCCGCGGTTGCACGCGCATGAAGGTAGCCTATGTGTTATTCTGAAGTACAAGCTATATTACTGTAAAGTTTCATCAAAATCCGTAGTTTTTGCGTGAACGAGTATCCATACTCACAAACTTAGTAAAATTAAAAAAATATGAATGAAGTTAGCGGTGACCAACCTTTGTCGGTGAGTATCTCGTCGACGACGAGGTCAGCTGCGAGCCCGTGTAGCCGCAGCGCATGTCTGCCGCAGCCGGCGGCGGGCGCGGCCTCCACACGGTCGCCCTCGTGCCACTCGCGCTCCGGCACCTCCACGTGCCGCCACCGAGCCAGCTCCTCACTCGCCGACGTACTCTCTGTTGCCTGCACGCCCACACATTTTTTTATTTCTGTATCTATCTTGCGATCGGATCACTAAGCCTTTAGCACGTTGAAGACCGAATTGAAAAATCTTATTTCTCACATAGGAAACATTTTTTTTATTATTAATTACGTGAGGCTATGTTAAATTAACTAAGTCCGCTATATGCAGTATCTCTTCGAGGGACCAGTGAATGAACTACTGTATATAAATTGAAATTTAAAACATGCCCACAGGTGTACAAGCGGTCCTCAGGTAAAACATGTCGTGTGCCCACCCGTGAGCTCGCTAGCCGGTAATGTTGTTGCGGAGTGTTACCCACTCACTGCTAGCTATACCACACTGTTAGGTTGACTGGATCTTTATCTCTTTTAAAGATAACTCCACCTTTGCTCACTTTGTATATAATTAAGTTTACTACTACATTTCCAAGTACAATAAAGAATAAAACATAACAGTGTTCGATTCTAATCACATATAACAAGCCATTTTATTTATAGGGGGAAGTCCCGTAACGCCGGACGGCACCTAGGGACAAACACTCGTACTATTACTAAGCAAGTATAACCCTGTTCGATTCCAAATACAAGTGAAAGGGGCGCAGGGTCCACACATCGTCAGTGACGCACAAGGCCACGGCAGGAGCCATCTTTCACAGGCTGGCTGGCCCTACATAAATAAAAATCATTACTCACCTCCGGCAGACTTGTATCGGCGTCCCTCACCGAGTACTTCCCTTCAATGAAGGCGCTGAACGCGTGGTCCTCGTCCAGGTCGAGAGTGCCATCTATCACAGTACAGGTCATATCACGTGCGGGGTCCACGATCAGGTAACTACGCTCTTGTTCCGCCACGGGCCGATCGGGACTGGACTTGGTTTGGTCGTGCTGTAAACGAAGTAAGTGATATAACAAAATCATAACCCGCATATTATGTTTAATAAAAACCATGTGACTTAATTTACTGATAACTTCTAACATGTAGACAACATTTGTAATGTCGGCATAAAACATCCTAAATGTCGGCGTAGCATGTCGCTAAACACCGTCATGTCGGCGTATGGTGTCGGTGTAAAGACTCACGTCAGGCGCGGGTGCGACGGGCGACCGACTGGGGTCGATGATGGTGGCGACACGGTCGGCGAGCGCGTCCGTCAGCAGGTAGGTGGCGGCGCGCGTGGCGTCCGTGATGACGTAGGTGTCGGCCGCGTCCGACCACCACGAGTTGTCGCACGACACCTCGTCGTCGCCCCCCTCGCCCTCGCCCTCCCCGTCCCCGTCCGCGTCCCCCTCCCCCTCGACCGCTTCGACGGACTCGCTCGCCTCACTCCGGAACTGGTCCATTTTGTCTTTCGCTGTAAAAAGTAATCAAAACCGTTTTATTTGTTTCAGGCTACTAGGCATACTTATACTATAAACACCTAATAGAGGTGAAAAGGGGATTGTTAGTGATGTGGATATGCAGTTATTGCAGTAATGTACTTTGTCAGGTTGACCTCCAAGCGGTTCCCCCTAGAAACAATATCGATAAACTCCTGAATTTGTCACGATGGGCGAACCGACTTGACCTCATGATCATCTTATCAATTTCCACTGGAGCCCGTAACGTCGATCGCATGTACACCACAACCCCGCTATAGGTGGTAATATTAGTTGAAAATTTGACATTTACACCTGTCAATTCAGTCTCCGAGATTAAAAAACAGACTATAATTTTATATATACGTACTGTGGGGGTGGTGATGGTGCAGCAGTCGACAGAGCGCGTACCCGCGGCAGGGCACGGCGCGCGCCACGTGGTACCGGGAGCTGCCGGCGGGGCCCGCCACGCCCGCCACGCCCGCCACGCCCACCACGCCCGCCACGCCCGCCACGCCTGCTACCCCCGCCACTCCCGAACACACGCCCGTGGGACCCACGCACCCGCCCGCGCTCGCATCTGCACACGTACACGCACGCAACACTTTTTTTTTAGTATAAATTACGTAAGAAATACTACTATAAGTCTGTCAACTCCAACTATATAGGTCACTATCTGTTCCAGAAAATCATCGAATCTGCGATCGATCTAATTTATTTTAAAATATGTATATATTTATATAGAGTCACTACTATTATTGTATGAAATTCAATATATTTTATAATCAATATGCATACAGTCAATTATACTTTCTAGACTATTAATAAAATGCATATTAGAAATTGATTACGATGACAATTTTTTTTAAATAAATTCATAATTGATATATTTTTCCTATGCTTTTATTATAAAATTTAACAAATTTTATACAAATATACAATATAATCAAGACCAAATAAGACACACTAAAATCAAATTATACAATCTTTATGCATCTAAAATATAAGTATTTCTTTATACACGTATAGTAATATAATTGCGAAATTAACATAATTACTATTATTAATACCGTAATACTATAAAATAACTAACCTTCGTATACGTTGCCAGAGTTGCCGCTAATGTTGCCAGATAATATGTCATGTTCATCTGCAGCGTGCTCCATGAAGACATTCTACAACAGTTAAAATAGTACTATTAATTATTATCGTTCTACGTATGTACAGGCGTCCTTAGGCTATGGTAACCATTTACCATCAGACAACATATAACAGCCTTATGCTTGTTAGCCACCATAGTAGTATAAAAAAAAATCGTACACCAGGACCTCTTCAATCCTAACCCTAAATTGAATACCTGTGTAATCCGAACGCCTTCCGCCCGCGTTTGAACTCGCATTAAATACCTCCCGACAAACTAAAATATTGACTTTGTTTCAAGAAGTTTAATAAATAATATAATGATAATATCTCAAGACAATGCACACAGCGCTATCTAGTTCCAATCTAAGCAGAGCTTGTTATTGCTAGTGTAGTAGACCACTGATTGAAAATAGAAAATAATTTTTATTCAAATAAACAATATAAGCATCTTTTGAATAGTCAATGTTATTCTGAAGAAATTGGTAAATAAATTATTAGAAATAGAAATAGAAATAATCTTTATTCAAATTAAATAAATATAATTTACTTTTTAGAATAGTCAAGGTTTTTTTATTCAACATAAAAACCGCTACGCATTCGGAATCTCAGATTCATCACAAGAAGAATAAGCAAGAAACTTGTGTGTTGCTCTTTTAAATAAATATTGACTCTGTTCAATCAGCTAAAATTGTTAGCGGCATGAATTTTAAGTTAGATATTTTCTACAAAAACATTATTATCATTTAATATATAAAATTCTCGTGTCACAATTTTCGCTCCCACACTCCTCCGAAACGGCTTGACCAATTCTCATGAAATTTTGTGAGCGTATTGAGTAGGTCTGAGAATCGGCCAACATCTATTTTTCATCCCCCTAAATGTTAGGGGTAGTCCACCCCTAATTTTTTTTTTTATTTTAAGGCAAAACAACGTTTGCCGGGTCAGTTAGTTATCATTTATAAATTCTTAAAAGCTTTTTTCTACAAAGAAAATATTTTATGACACAATAGATTTTTTTTTTCTAGCAAATTGAGTATTACTGTTGTTAACGTCATCTGTCAACCACACAAGAAACCTGAAGCATAATCAGTGTGAAGTGGGAACGGATGGTCTCCCTCTATGGCTCTGGCAACAACTTTACTATCGGGGCTTCCAATTATGTTCGTTATTGTTTACACTTACCTATTATGTTTTATAATTTCGATTGGTATAGTATATAGTATACTATATAGTAATAAGACGTATTATTATTAGAAGTGTTTAATTATTCATAACTAACAAGATAATTGAAAACAAGGTGAAAGGCGCAATTAATTATTATTATCCACGTACCTTGGGCTGATCATGTTTGTAGTGTAGACTGATTTTGCTCAGTTCGTGGTCCAAGTCGGCAAGTTGCGCCACGTGTTGAGCCACCGACCGCTTGCCCTCGCCCACGTCCAAGACCTCGCAACCGTCCGCCTACAATTTTTCATTAATACTTTATTAATACCATTAGAAGGGTTGGCCTTCCACGCCCATAAAAAATAGCTAAGAACTTCAATTTGCAATCCCTACAAAAAAAAAAACTCTTAAGAGCCAGTCAGAATATTCTCTCAATGTTTTGTCAGAATATTCTCTCAATGTTTTGATTGAAATTAGTAATTACCATAATAGTAAGCACTGATATTAAGGGTGAGCTAACCTTGTGAAGCGCTTGCAGCGCTTGTAGCGCGTGGAGAGGCCGCTGCGTGGGCGACAATGCAGGGCTGTACTCCAGCGGAGACTGCGGCGATACCGGACCCTGAAAAACCAAAGAATACTTAAATAAATACTCAGATAATGTTGCCTTCACCATATGTAGTTTATTCACTAAGTTAATGAAATAAAAAGAAGAACAGAAACTAAATCTTTGTATTTTGAACAAATAATAAATAGATAAATTAAAGTGAACAGGAACTGCAGAAACCTCAGGACTCAAAAACATCAAAACAAAATAATAATATCAATATTTCTATAATTTTTAGTACCCATAGCGACTAGATGGCGCTGTATGTACTGTTCTGGGTTATTATTGTTATTAAATAATGAAAATAATAACCCAAGACAATTCACACAGTGCCATCTAGTCCCAAACTAAACAAATTATATGTTGATACTCACACTGTTGGAGATTGAGGCAAGTTTGTGCTGCAGTGTGAGCATGTACTCGTTGTACGACTGCGCCTTGTTGGGCGTGCTCGGCTGTGATGAGCCCGTAGAGTTCGCGTTCGTCATACCTGACATACACACACTTATTCATACACAACAACACTAAATTAAAAAAAATCTATTTTTTTCCTATTGCATGGTCCGAGTATACACATGAGCAAAGAACATGTGCCTGACTAAATATATTGTGATGCGTGGCATCCCTTATGCGTTAACATTCATGGAGAATACTGTACTTTTACTCTCGTATCTCAACACAAGGCTATTCAAAGGAAAACTTGGTTGAAACATAGATATCCAAGCAAAATACTTTGTAGTCTCTCGCTGGTAAATAACCAGATAAAGATAACGAATATGTATATAAAAATCGCGCGTTACGATGTTTTTCCGAAATAAACTCCAAAACTACTACTCTAACTCGTGGTAATTATATCTACATTAATAAAGATATTTTAATGTGATTCTGCACATACAAATCAAATTATATATCAAATCAAAGTATACATGATCAGAAATTTAGAACTCACCCGCTATCTCCATATCGACAGCCCTGCGCGCTAACGCATGATGCACAGCCCTATGTGCGACTAGTTGCCCGAGGTTTTGCCCCATGAGCCCGAGGTTCTGTCCGCTCAGGCCCAAGTTCTGACCGCTCAACGCCAGGTTCTGACTACCTATGAGATTCTGACCCCCTAATCCTAAGTTTTGGCCGGCTAGACCTGAAATAAATGTGATATTAAAATAATAAAATTTCAAGTAATTAAGTATGTTTGACAGTTGGATATTAAATGTATAGAATAAGATCTGTCTACTTTGGACCAACCATTTTTAACCATCATTATGGTGAATTTACCACAATGAGCTAACTGACCTGACTTCATACTCATCCTATCATTCTCCACTGGTGCCCCGCCAGTGTAAACAATTCCAGGTGCACCATTCCATTATCGTTTAAGAAAAAAAAATTCAATTGATATATTTCATACCTAAGTTTTGCCCCATATTCTGACTCATCAAGTTCTGATTAAGCGCTAGGTTTTGTGTGGCGAGATTGATGTTCTGCTGCTGTAGACCCAGGTTTGATGCTAGGCTGGTCTGCAGTGGGGTTGACAGACTCAGTCCAAGTCCGAACCCCGGCATCTGCTGGTTAGCTAACTGGTTCACCGACGTTTGGAGAGCTTGTTGTTGTACTGGAAGAAGTGCTACATTTATTTTTTTATTTATTAAATATAATGTAAGTTGGACTCCGTAATCAGCCACTCATCTGGGCCATTGTACGTTTTTATTTGTTAATAAAATTAATAGGACATCTTTGAATAATATTGATTAATACCTAACGAAATTAAATGTTATGTACCTACCTAAATATAGCATATAATTTAATTTATGTGTATAAATTTATTAATTCTATTATATATTACTACAGTTTTGTATGTCAAAATACTCTAATATTTCTGACTCCGGAACATGTACCGACTTGAATAATAGGTATTGACATAACCACCAGTTTCAATATTTATTACAATAAACATAACTGAAATTAGTATTAAAATTTAATGTTTGAAACAAAATTATGTTTTACACACACAAAGTGCATAGGTATCAGCGAATCTATATCTGTCAAGTTGTCTCACACACAATAATGTCAATATTCGGCAGCTGTCTTTGCAGATAATTATTTTTGCGATTCTTTTGCCATTATGACAATATATGTTAACACGTTATCAGTTACGTATCACATTCGACAAATAAAGCATATTATTATTATATTAGGAGGATATTCCATTGATGGCGTAATATCACCTCGCTAACACGTACAACTTTGCCAACTTTCTATAAACCCCAATAACGCGTTAGTGACATAGACATCAAGAACACATATCGTGTATTCCACTGAAACACAGTAAACAAAGTAATAAAACAATTAAATGCGTATATATACATTTAATTAATATTTAATATTAATAGATCCAAAAGCAGCTAAACAAGCCAGTAGTCGTATGAAGCGAAGTATATGGCAATATATATAGAATGAAAGCATCAACCGGCCTTCTATGCAAAACATAATTTTGCTCAAGTATATTGTAACACATTGGTGGCAATCAAGCATACGGCTCATCTGATGGTTAACTGGTATCTATTACCGTAGCCCATTTGCCGGTCCCTGTAATTTCTCTGATATATATCACCCTTTCAACTGACACACTTGTTTCAATGAAGCTGTTTTACGACTGGCTACTTAATTTATTTATTTCCTGTACTATCTAGTTAGTGAGTATACAAGTGTAATAATTGTACCTCATTAGTAAGTTCATTGGATTGGATTGAACGCGTACAGTCGACGCGGAGTCGTAATGCGTACGAGTTATGTGGAAACGTAAACTAATGAAAGAATGCCGAGTGTTAACAAAACTATTACAAGTATTGGCACACGAATATTTCTCATCTGATAATGAGATCGAATAGGAATATAATTGATAATTTACCTATAAAATCGTTAGCGGTGGCAAGCATCGGCTGATAGTAGATCTGCTGAGGATACTGTGGCGGCAGGCGGCTCGCCACACCCGCCACGGCCGTCATCCCCGCCACTGTCATATGTTAGTCACATCACACGTATGGTCACAGAAGCGAACACGGTTATAATACAGGCTTCAACATTAGCTGCCTTTACACGACACGTTTTTTCACATGATTTAACACATTTGAGCCAGCGCGCGCAATCGTCAAGGATTTTTTTTAATGGGTTGATTGGGCTATTGTCAAGTACTTGGACCTGTAGCACTGCGACCTTCATGGATCTATTGTGCACGTCCAGAATCACTACCTATCAGAATTCACTACCTTGACCCTTCAGGGAATTGAAAGATATTCTTAGGAGCGATGATTTTTCTCTCTTCAAGATAGTGTAAACTATCCAAAAGAAATATTACGTTTATGCAAGAGTGGGCTTCAACCACATAGGATGTGTAGTGGCGTTTCCTCTTCAGTTTGGCAAAATCTGCAGATTTTTTTTGTGAACATATGTTTGTTCAATTTGCAATGTCCTATGAGTGCTCTAGTCAAGAATTACATTATCACTGCACATCCGAAAGATTAACTGGTTGAGAATTCTATAGCATTAAGTCCATCTTTTGTACCAATTTGAGTAGTCAATAAACCAAATGAATAAAGTAACATTTAACAATTTTTTGTTCACTCTTTCGCGCGTGTTTGCGCGTATGATGTCATTACACTTTCTTTTAAAATTTCATAGTTTTTATTTTCCAGAGACACGTTTAAGATTTATAAATTATCAATAACTTTACAATTATGTTTATACTCCATAGTCGGATGTCCGCCATTTTGCAAAAATTATTTTAAAAAAGGCGCTAAAGCACGCACAATTAAAGGACGAGGGTTGCGCTCACTGGCGATGCGCGTGGTCTTTCCTCGTTCTCTTTGTCTACATTTACACACATTCTTTCCCGCCTAATATCCTATTCGCGCGTAAAAGAGCATACGTGTAAAGGCAGCTTTTTAGATACATGTTGGTAACACAAAGCGACATCAAGCGTGTTTAATTGTGCAGTACACATGTCAGAATACGCTAGATATTGTAAGCTGTGGCAAACAAGCATTCGACGCGCCTCATGTCTTACATACAGTAACCGCCACAAGCACTCACGTACCTGACATAGTTAACTACTTGATATTTTATTTTTATTTATCATCATTGTATACTTTTCATTAGCATTTCATTATCGTTGTCATGTATTTTTCATTATTATTATCATATATTTTTCATTAATCCAATTACATTGAAAACCAGCTGAGATTGCACCGGTAGTTGGTAACTCTAGCCTATATACATGAACAGAACCACTGATATCAAGTATGACACTTCTTACACCTTACAGCGTTTGCTACTAGGCGACTATAGGTACAGCAGAGGATATTTCTGGCGGTGCAAATGTTAAAACTTGAGGACATACAGTAACACAAAGGGACGAGAAAGCTGAATGCAAATGTATATTTATAGGACTCACCTGGTTGTGAATTGTTGAGTATTGAATTATGGAGACTGAGATCAGGCTGGGGAAACTGCGGTTGGTTTAGTAAACCTAATAGGTTGGGTCCGGACATATTCTGCTGCTGACTGAAATGGATAAACAGATATAGTAGAACATATTAATACAGATATATCTATACAATATATAAAAATCTCTTGTTACGGTGTTTGTCATTGAACTCCTCCAAAACGGTTTGATTTATACTATAAATATATTTTTTTTATAAAATACCTTTATCTGATTTTCATAGTGTAGCAGTTTGTCTCACTACTATACTTTCTGATAGTCCCAGGTTCGATTCTCGCACACAAGCTGTTATGCCGGTGAGTATAACTGTATTGTCATGTATTATTTTTATAGACATAATATCTATAAAAATAATACTTCATAAAAAAAGAGTATTAAAAAAAGTAAGCCTGCAAAACGCTTAATATTGAATCTAATGTCTCCAATTAATATGGTTTGTTATCAGTTTTTTCAATAACCAGACAGTTAATCCGAAATATAAATTGACGACCTCGGTGGTCTAGCGGTTTAGCACACCACTTTACTTCCAATGGTTGCAGGTTCGATTCCTCGCATGGTGCAAACATTTGTATTCATGAGTATGATTGTATCGATCTGGGTATTTTCTAAGTATTTGAATCAGTTGTCTAGTACCTTAGGACTAGATGATATTGTGTGAATTGTCCAAGATTATTAATAACAAAAATAAAACAGTATAAATGAACACACAAACTAATAATTACTTACTTTATAATATTTTGCTTCAGTAACATCCTTTGAATATTTTCAGCGTTGGGCAGCGAGTCGCTGACGGGCGGCGTAGGCGTTAACGTGGCATGCAGTGGGGCGCCCAACCCCAAACCCAGCCCCAAATCCGTCCCCATCCCCATCGGGGTCCCCACCTGACTCAACCCCAGCAGCGGAGTATCCGTCGCGATCTGCAGCGGGGTAGTTAGGTTCAAATTCGGTTGTAACGTCGCATTCAATACAGGATTCACATTCTGAACTGGAATTTGTGAGACTGTCGCTATATTTGTGGTGATAGCTCCTGAGAGGGGAGGAATCGAGCTTTCTGGTTCAGGTTTTATATCTACAGGTCTGTGGTCTGACACTATGGGTTGCGGAACTTGTGTGGGTGCAGTGTAATGATGGGTAGGAACATAGCTCTCTTGCGGAATAACTGGGCCCTCAGGTTCTGGGAGGCCGTTGACCTGATCTTTGATCTCGAGTTTCTCCTGAGTCTCGAGCTTCTCTTCAGGGACGTCCTCCCCCCGGTCCACGACCGGGCTGACTAGAAATCTGGATATCTTGCGAGACGGCTTCTGTGATTTCCTCTCGCCATTTTGTGACTCTGTGCTGCCGGAACGCTCGGGTGCTATTGATCCACCATCCGATTGATTGGAACCTAAAATAATGGAAAAAATATTATATTTCAATTCTCGAACAATTTGACATAGCAAAGTTACTAGGTTTAGTAACCGTGTAACAGTCTATAATTGTACTATTTATTCTACAATAGTAAGTTTATATAAGACGACCTCGGTGGTCTAGCGGTCTAGCACACCGCTTTACGTCCGATGGTCGCGGGTGATTCCTCGCACGGCACAAACATTTGTATTCATGAGTATGATTGTTTGTATCGGTCTGGGTGTTTTCTATAGAATAGAATAGAATAGAGAATAGAAAATCATTTATTCAAATAAACTTACATTGAAGCACTTTTGAATAGTCACTACCGGGAATGCTGTCTCATCACAAGAAGAACAAGCAAGAAACTTGTGTGTTGCTCTTTTAAATAATTTATTCTTACTTACAATTTAAGTTTAAGTGTGTGAATACAAACCACCGATTAGCACTAATTCAATTAAATACTCAAAAAGAAAAAAATATTGAATACATAACCAACTGGTTAAACAATTAATAAGAGGAAATCAGTCATAGTGATTAGAGCAGACCAGTCCCCACAAGCAGCACCCGTTCACGAGTATGACGGATGAGCCAGCCATCACTGCGCTCGACCATATTTTAGGGAGCCCAATGACCCGGCCCACCACGCCGCCACAAGTCTGGACATTTAGTGAGCATGACTACTCAAAACACCAGACCACGTCATAGCTACTCACAATTGCCATCTGATGTTTATAGTATTCACATTTCACATAAGAATGCATGCGGCAATTAATACAAAACCCGCTACGCTTTCATATTTCTAAAATAATTGAATCAAGAAAGCAATGAGATAAACAAATTATAACGTTGTATGCTAATAAACTAATTATTTACTTGATATGTTGTCTTCTATGAATTCGTTTATCCTGTAATAGGCTTTCTTACATAAAAATTGTTTAATATAAGATTTGAATTGCCAATTACCATAGAATGAATTACTGACTTTGTGCAGGCGGCATTTAGGTAAAATTAGCTTATTTTTATTGCGTAAGTTTCTATTTGTACAGTCTTTAAGTTTTCTAAAACTGTCTAAATTCTTCCGTGTATACATGATATTCTCATAAATGTATTGTGAAGTAACGGTGAGGATATTTGAATCTTTAAAACACTGACGTAATGACTCTCTTGAACCCATACCATAAATAGAACGTATGGCTCTCTTTTGTAAAATAAATATAGTATTTATATCGGCTGCTTTACCCCATAGTAGTATACCATATGACATAATGCTATGGAAATAACTAAAGTATACAAGTTTAGCCGTCGCCACGTCTGTTAATTGCCTAATTCTTCTAATTGCATATGCAGCTGAACTGAGTCTATTGGCCAATTTTGAAATATGGGGCCCCCATTGTAATTTCGAGTCCACTGTTATACCTAAAAAAACTGTATCATTAACAAAATTTACTATTTCGTCATTAAGCAATAACTGTGTATTTATTGGTCTTACATTAGGAAGTGTAAATTTTATACACTTTGTTTTGCTGGAATTTAATAATAGGTTATTACATGTAAACCAATTTAATATAGCAGACATAGCACAATTTACATCGTCTAATTGATTAGTTTGACGTCCAATTTTAAACACTAACGAAGTATCATCCGCAAACAGCACTATATCTGCAATTTTCTCTACCATAAAGGGAAGGTCATTTATGTAAATTAAAAAGAGAAAGGGGCCTAAGATTGACCCTTGTGGAACGCCCATCCCAATATTAGCTCCCTTAGATTTTATATCTATGTATATTATGTATGTATTTACAAAAAAATAAATATCTATGTACTTGTATCACTTATCTAGTACCCGTAACACAAGCTTTAGATAGCTTAACTCGGGTCTGGATGGCGCTGTGTGAATTGTTATTAGATTATTATTATATTATTATATGATAGTGTGCTACATGGCTTATTAGTAACGCGTACATTCTACGCGGAGTCGAGACGTAGACTAACCTTATACTTAATTTAAATCTATGTTATCTGGAGAGGTAAACTAATGGAAGGGTCTCGAGTGTTGACAGAAATATTACAAGTGTAGGCACAAGACAAACAGCATTACCTATAGACGAGGCAGTGCTGATCTTCCTAGACACGGTATCTACGTGCGAGGGCTTGGCGTGCGCCGGCTCGTGCTCGTGCTCGGGCTCGGGCTCGTACGCGAGCTCAGCCGCTATGTTGTCGTGGCTGGCGGTCGGCGTCGTACACTCCGAGTTGTCCTGGTTCGAATCCGTCAGATTCTCCTCCCGCTCCGTCGTCTCCGAGTCGTAGTCAGTCTGCAAATAGGCGATATGTAACTAGATATTGTTTTTTAAGGTTCAGATAGATAAAACTTTATATGCGTTAAAGTTGAAGTACTAATATAAGTATTAACATGTTTTTCCCTACCTCTAGTTCTAAGTTGTAAGTTAAATTATAAATTCCTATTTAGCGCGTAACCTTGTTAACTGGCCAATGTAGTTGTGTATTTACTTTTTTCTCTACAATATTGTATCTAGTATGTGTGAACACACACATAGAATGCATATGACATTAGTAAATTAATGTTACCTTGTCAATATTGAGACGGAGGGCGGAATGGTGCGCAGGGTTGAGTACTGGCGTAACTCCGGGGTTGGTGATCAGCTGATTAACTATATCCTTGATCAGTTCCATGAATGTAGCACTTTGCCACTCGGGCAGCAGATTATTTGATACCTAAGGGTAATAAAAAAAAAAATAGAAATAATGTATTATACGACAAAATTCATCTGGAATTTATCACGATGGTTTCCAGGGGGAACAGCGTGAAGGTTAACCTGATATGGCACATTGTAGTAATAGGATCAACAGTCCACATTACCAAAAATTTTTTTCCCCCCTTTCAATAGTATATGGTTATATACAATCAGAAATATAAATTGACACACAAAGTCCATGAATAAAATTACTAACCAGATTACTCGCTATTTCCTCAGGGTTGACATCTGTGACATCGAATTTGAAGGTGACCGTTTTAGACTTGGACTCGAGCTGACATTCCACCACGTTGGCGGCCTCGTTCACTTCGAGCACCGTCAGTTTGGGCAACTTGTCTTTTTCGCGGGACCGCTTCTTAGACCCTCTGGACTTTTTGTCGCTAGAAATTGGAGATGGTATGGCTGTGCCCACTGTAAATATTAAAATGAGTCATGTAATACCAACTTAGACATCATCTTGACGACCTTTGACGACCTCGGTGGTATAGCGATCCAGCACACCGCTTTACGTCCAATGGTCGCGGGTTCGATTCCTCGCACGACACAAACATTTGTATTCCCGAGTATGATTGTTTGTATCGATCTGGGTATTTTCTATGTATAATATGTATGTATTTACGAAAAAAAATATCTATGTATTTGTATCAGTTATCTAGTACCCATAACACAAGTTTTAGATAGCTTAACTTGGGACTAGATGGCGCTGTGTGAATTGTCCTGAGATTATTATTATTATTATTATTATCTTACTAATATTACAAACATGGAAGTTTGTGTGTATGTTTGTTGCTAGTTTTAATCGTTAACGCACAATTAAAAGCAGATTCATATGTTATAGTTTTTAATAACACAGATCGTAGCTACGCCGATATGCGACAAGACTCTGTGTTTTAAGTACCATTCAGTCAAGTCGCTTTAAATAGGAACTCGCAAGAGGAGTAGAAGCTACGATTCACCTAGTGGCGACAAATACTTAAAACAGAGCCGCGCTATTTCGTTTTATCTTTATACTAGTTTCGGCTTCCCACGAGTGTACATGTATTATTATTATTATATATAAAACTTCCCCTTGAATCACTCTATCTGTGAAAAAAAACCTCTTCAAAATCATTTGCGTAGTATTAAAAATATAAGCATATATAGGGACACAAAGCGACAGCGTCTTTGTTTTAAAACGGATTATAATAATAACTAACCTTCTGGTTGTGTTTCAGCCTGTTTCTCCTCTACCGAGGTCAGCTCTGGATGTCTGATTGCTTCAACATGAGTCGTGCCAGACGGGAACTCGCTCATGGGCGTCAAGAACTGCTCCTTCTGACCACCATTACTTTGGAAACCCTCGGAGTGTTCTGATGGAAGATTAAGTTGCTGAGGAACTGATTCCTGGATAGGTGGGACAGATGGAATGGACGATGGAATCGACGTAGGCTGTGTGACAGTCGGAGGTGCGGAAGACACGGATTGAAGAACAGGTAAAACTGGTTGAGAAACAGAGGAAACTGGTTGAGGAACAGACGAAACCAGTTGAGGAACAGTTGAAACTGTTTGAGAGACAGAAGAAACTAATGGAAGTATAGATAAAACTGGTTGGGAGATAGACGAAATTTGTTGGGGAATAGATGTAACTGGTTGAGAAATAGTTGAAACTGTCTGTGGAACCGATTGAATTGGTTGAGAGACAGATGCTGGAACGGGAGCCATGGACTGAGGCACAGATGGGGGTACAGATACAGGTAGCGATTGAATAGATTGTGGGATAGGTTGAACGGGTTGAGATACAGGCGGAACAGATGATACCGACAGTGGAATAGACGAGACAGTGTTTGGTATTGATTGCGTCGTATTAATTTGTTGTGAAGCCGGGTCCTGCGTGACTGGCTGTGGAATGTTCTGCGTCACTGATGATGATATATTTTGGTCAACCTTGTACTGCATGTTCTGCATCATTGACTGCATGGGTTGGCTCTGACCTTGTTGGTACATCTGGAGCGGGTTCGCAGTATAATTTTGCACTGGTGTGCCTTCATGACTAGATATCTGCACCTCACTCTGTTGTACCACATTGAAATTCTGAGCCATTTGCATATTATGTGGTAAAGATTGACCTTGCATAGGATGCATTCGATGCTGCTGGTAGTTGTGTTCTTCTGACGGTATAGACTGCTGTTTTTGTATCTGATTCTGCATTTCTGTATACTGATTGTGATACTGCATTTGATCTATTGACATTTGTGGCTGTAGAGGAGGTTTCTGTTGGTAATGATCCGGAATTAACATCTGTTGCTGGTCATGAATATCTGTTGTGCTAATTTGACTTTGTTCTGACCCTTGCCTTGTATACATTGGCCTCTGAGCTCGGAGTATCTCCTCTACTTTCTGTTGTTGCTGTCCCATTAGCTGCTGCTTCTGTGCAAGTAATGCGAGATTCTGTCTTTCGATCAAATTCTGTTGAGTCTGCAACTGCAATTCTTGTTGAGCTAAATACTGTTGTTGTTGTAGATTTCTTAAATGCTGTGGTGATAATGTCTGTCCCGGCATCTGTAATTGTTGTTGTTGCAGCATTTGTTGTTGAAGCACCAGCTGTTGTTGTGCCAACATCTGCTTCTGCATATTGAGCTGATGTTGAGCCTGCGTAATTTGTTGTTGAACCTGTGCCACTTGTTGTTGCTGGGCGAGTATAGTGGGATCAACGCCTGACAGTATCGGCTGAATGTATTGTTGGTTCTGCTGAATATTCATATTCTGTTGTTGAATTTGTGCTCCTATCAAATTCTGCATTTGCTGTATATCTTGTTCCTGTTGAATTTGCTGTTGTTCTACGCTATCAGATTGTTGATTTAAGACTTGCTGAGTTTGTTGTTGCTGCGCTTGTTGGTTTTCTGATTCTGATTCTTTTCTTGACTGCAATGTGTCTGGTCTTTGAATGATTTGTGATAGGATATTTTGAAGATTCTGTAGTGACGGATCCAATATTTGCCCAGTGGCGAGATTCTGTGGTGTGCTAATAATGTTCTCCTGAGTAAACTGCTCCTCCAGCTGCTTCTGTTGTATTGCGACTGCCTGCTGCGCGATTATATTCTGTTGCTGTTGGATGATTTGTTGTTGCAAAACCTGATTCTGGTTGCTTAATTCTGCGGTCAATTGTTGGTTTAGTAATGTCGGCTGTAATTGATTTTGAGATTGATTTGTTTCTAATAACTTCTGTTGTGCTTGTTGCTCCAACAGCTGACCTTGAACTGTAGCTTGTTCTAATATTTGTTGGTTGAAGAGATTCTGTTCCATCATTACCTGCGAAAATAGGAGACAATAGATTTTAGCTTAATGCATACACAGTATCAGCAACATGAACATAAATTCTGCGTCTTTGCTCAATGAGTGACAATTAAATTTAAACAATATATGCTATATTAAAAAAGTATACAGTACTAAAGTTTTCTACTTTCTTTTCAGGAATATAACATTTACATTACCTGTTGCTTAATGTTCTGTTCCAACAACGCCTGCTGTTGCAGTAACTGCTGGTCACTGGGCGATATCCTGGCCTGCATGAGGTTGTGTTGGAGTAGTTTCATCGCCTTTTCTTCATTGTTCAGATTGTTCAACTGCTGGAACTGGTGTTGGAGAATTTGCTGTTGTGCTTGCAGTAACTGAGATTGCTGATCCAATCTAAACATATATTATAGTATAATTTAAAAGAAAATATAATATGTATTCACTTTAATTAGTTTAAAAAAAGTGTTGTAGACTGGGGTTTTATACTAAAAAATATAATGATATCATAAGAATCTAATATCAATATACTCTATAGTCTGAGTACCCCAATAATCTTCAATAGAAGGAGAACTGTTAGAACTTATTATCAATCAATCAAATAATTTATTTGCATACATCAACGAAGTTCAGATTAATTAAAGACTACCTTCTGTAATCATGACCTAGGTCATCTCCAAAAACGTACCTCAAAACCTACTTCAGCTTTGATCAAATCACTTAACATATCGATTATGCGAATAGTTCAATCGAGATTGGACAAATGAGTTCAATTATATTATTATTTAATATAATATACATAAGATTTAAAACTATGCACTTACTGCACCCCACCGAGGGCCGGCTGTGTGCCGACGCCGTTGAGTAATCCCGCCTTCACCTGCTCCACTGGACCACCCTGCTGCTGATTCTGTATCATCTTCACCTTAACACAACATATTTACTTTAACACCACATTTTTTCTCATTCATATGTATTATCAACATAAGCGTTCCATTAAATGATATGAGAGCGAAAATATTATTAAGTTCTTCTACAAATATCGGTGTCTGGTCACCCATATCAAACATCGAGGATGGAACGATTAAATACATAACATATTTCAGGAGCTTATTAATAGTGTTAAGAATGTACCACGTCTGATAGATCTCCGAGCGGCTCCTAACCATCATGGATATTTCCTTGTAAATTTGCTACAATACAGCATTCCATTTTAATCTGTTAATATATTTTTTATGAAAATATATTTCTACACAGTACATATTACATATGAATATTTTTTTTGTAATTTAATACAATATAAAACAGCCAGACCGATACAAACAATAATAATCATGAATACAAATCTTGTATCGTGCGGGATTCAAACCCGCGACATTTCATCACGCCGCCATATACTAACCTGTCTTAACTGTTGCTCCAGCAGCAGCTGCTTCTGTATATTCTGCTCATTGATCAGTTCCTGGTTGAACAACATCTGAGCTTTCTTCTCACTCCTCTCCCTGTCAATAAGAGGACAATCATAATTATTATTAATAATATAATAATAATAAATGTGTTTATTATGACATGAATGGAATATCTAGTTATTATATTACTATTAGTAACAATTTTTCTAATCGAAATTCGGAATATAAAAAAATATATAGTCACGACTGCAATCCCAGATGGAGTAATCAGAGATATTAAATAATAATAATATATTTACTAGAGTAGCGATCCAAAAAAAAAGAGAGTGATTTTATACAAAAAATTCGTCTTGTAAATGTTAAGAATATTGCCCAACAGTGGGACATGAATCAATTTCAAAAATTATTGTATAGTAAATACAATATTATTTTAAAAGCTATAAAAAAGCAATCTCTCATATTTTTTTAAATTTAATTGTTATAAAATATAAATTTACTTCGTGTTCCATAAAACAGTTTCTTGTAGACAATTATTTTACCTAATATAATACATATATACCAACTTTGTACTATATCTAAATAATAATAAACAATTAATAGTATTATATTACCTATAGGTATCAAAACACCAATCGCCATATTCATAATTTAATTGTATTCCTTGCATTAAATTATTATTATTAAATACAGCACTTTTAGGTAAATTTAATACAAATTAAATTTGTAAAACGTATTTACTCATATTTATTAAAATAGTAGTATAGTTATTATTTATACAGTTTAGTTATTTATATAATATAGTATTTTTTCGCCATCACTGCCCTACAAAGCTTTCTATTCCTACCTAAAGGTTACCAGGTAGAGAATGACATATGCATTAAGCTCGCGTTTTGTACACTTCTATTGTGCAATAAAGATGAAAAAAAGAGTCAAGTCACATCAATTTATATAATCATAATAAATTTAACATTAAGAAAATAAATTATTATCTTAATTTTTAGACTTTATCAATATAATGAAATTAAAATACATTAATCAATCATTAATCCTTGATTTCTGACAATACCACAAATGCATTATCATTTTATTATATTTATAAAAAAATGTGTAAACAAATATCACTCAAACTCCGAGTCAAATATAGATTTCAATGCACAAAACACTAAGCACCATACTAATAAATATAATTATAATTAAAAAAGTAAATTATTAAAAACAAATACATGAACATCATATTAAATTCACAATTTAATCACATGAACAAACCAAAAAGAATTCTGTTTGAAATTATTCTAAATAAGTTTTGTAAAATACAACAATAAATAAGTTCACGGAAAGTAAAACAGTTTTGTATAAGGAAAACCATAGACTTCCTGAACCGGAATTGTTACATAAATAGCACTGTGTAACATTAAAATTTGTACACGTCATAGACTAAGTGCAGTGCCTGATAATTTATGAACAAAAGTTAAAAATGCTCCGGATACCACGCTATAAGGGGCCCACTCACACTTATGTGAACAAATACAACGAACATATAATATCTAAAAAGATTTTTTAATCTTATTTTTTTTAAGTCTAAACGATGTCAACCAGTGGTCGTTAATTGTTGCTTTTTAAAAACCCAAACTTAAGAACCGAATTTGAAAACCTTGAGGTATTTTAAAAATAGTTATTACAGGCCCCGCGCTGGCTTAATACGACTTTAATTTTTTTCGGACTACTCTAATCCCGTTGTAACCTTTACAGCTTCACTAGACGATAGGGAGCGAGTGCTGCACTCTAAACACGCGGAAGGGCTTATGGAGCAGCTGAAGGCCAACTCCCGCCTGACAGATACGATTTTAGTCTGAGGGCACCGCTAGGGGTTCGAACCTCGGCTCAGTCCGTCATAATTTCGATCCCCATTTGAATTGAACGGAGAATCGATCGGAGGACAACGGGCGCTGACTAAACGTGTACTATATACTACCGGTACTGATGTACTGATGAACACGAGGCTGACTGTACCACGGTCACTGATACCAACATAACGACCGTCGCCATGGCAACTGCACAGTCTGTACCGCTTTTGGTAATCGATTGCTATTCTTATCGTTTGTATGTATGGTTGAAATAATGGCAATTACACCAGTCGACTCAATAATCACTTGTAATTTTAGCAAAATGTAAGAGCAAGGTCCAATGTCTGTGAGATAAAAAAAATCACTTGTAATAGTAACTCTAAAATAACTACAATACTGAGAAAGAATTGTATTGTTTATAATAACAGTTGTTCTAACATTACGTCGGTTTTTTTTTTATAAAAATTGACCTAAATCATAAGAACCAGTCCTCAGGACACAATCCATACTCATACCAAATTCCATTAAGATCTATCAGTAGTATATTTGTGAAAATATAAGAACTTATAGACATTCGAATTCGTATAGATAAAGTTTTAAAATATAAAAGTACAAAAAAGTTTTTTGTTGTCGGCTAGATATGAACTCATTTTGTTGGTGTAGTCAACCACTGGGTCACAAAGGCCTATATTCCTTATACATTATTATCAAGTGTGGGTAAACGAACCGTGTTTTTATATGTATTTTATACATATTTTATTTTATACATATAAATAAAATTGGAATGTCCGTTTGTAATATGGAAATAACCGTTTTTTACTACACGCATATGAATAAATACGGTACATACATACACCAAAAGAACATTTTTTACAATTTATGTCTGTCTGTCTGTGTGTTCCGGCTAATCTCTGAAAAGGTTGGACCAATTTTGACGAGACTTTTACTGGCAGGTGGCTGATGTAATAAGGAGTAACTTAGGCTACTTTTATTTTAGAAAAATAAAGTTAAATTACACGCGGACGAAATTGCGGGTACAGCAAATAAATAAATAAAAATAGCTCATTACATATGTAATAGAATAATAATTACACTACTACTTAGAGGATATCTTAACGTAATAACTGATACATCGAGGAACAAATTATCAATATAATGATTAAAATCCATTAATTTATCATTTATGACAATACCACAATTGCATGATTATCATTTTATTGTATGTATAAATAACACTGTATTGATAAATATAAATAATAAAATATTATATTGATCAATCTCAATATTGCATGATGCACGTCCGTACATGTAAATACACCTAAATATGTATGGTGCGTGCATGTATGTCCGTGAAAATAGATTTCTAATTCTGTATAATTACTGATGATATTAACAACCTTCATTTACTAACATTACCAAGTTTCAAGTGAAGTTTGTAGACTTTTAAATAAGTTTAAGAAATTCAGTTGTTTTTGTGTTTGTCATCTTAGATCAGTTCACAAAAGACGGATGCACTTTAAGATTGTTCAAATAAAAGTTTTATAAATTTTTTTTTCTTTCAAACAGCTAATTATTTTAAATAGGTGTATGTTTTATGATATATGATAGGTACTATAAGAAGCTCATTTGTTTTATAGAATAGAATATAATTTATTGAAATAAACTTAATTTAAGCACTTTTGAATAGTTAACAATTTTTATTTTTAAATCTACAGCTCATTCGGAAAGCTGTCTCATCACAAGAAGAATAAGCAAGAAACTTGTGTGTTGCTCTTTTAAACGATCCTACAAGGATTGTTCACATTTTACAAGTCGAAACGTGTGAATACAAACTACCAACCAGCACTAATTTATTTAGGTTCAAATATAAAAACACAATAAGATTAAATCAGTCGTAGTGATAAGAGCAGACCAGTCTCTACAAGCAGTATTAAATTATAAAAAAGGCAGTTAGTCTTTATTTTAGTAAAAAATAAAAAATCTATTTTGATACAACAACCATATATTTATGAATACCTATCTATCATATTGTATTAATTCTATACCTATTATTGACAACTAATATTAATTTCCGATACATGCCACAACCCTATTTAAAAATGGAACAACATCGGAAATGTCAAATTTGTCTCCGGGACTAAAAATAGACTATAGTAACAAAATCTCATACCGTAGCGTTTATGGACACTAGAGGAGTCCCAATGAATTGTCCGACAATTGAAGTCAATTGTCCGTGATATGTATATAATAAGAGACTCGTTCCCAGCAGTGGAATGATACAACGCTGGTATTATGATGATGCTCTCACGAGTTGAGAGCTAACCGATTATAAACAAACATCATTATCATCATAACAGCGTTTTATCATCTATTGATAAAATCGTCATAGTCGAAGAATACTGACGGATCTGACAAATATTTTAATAATCAAATCCGTCATTATTCTACGACTATGACGAAATGCTGTGTGATTTCCTAATTACGTATAATCAGCGTTAATAATAAGATTGTCAGTTTAAAACACATACCATTTTATAGTGCAAGGGACTGATATAAATCCATCAATATATTTTTAATACACAAGAACTAAACTCACAGACCAATAAAACAAATAAACTAAAGCAAAATTAACAATATTTCCGTATATCCACATAAATTTAACCGACCGCGCGTCGATAGATAACTGGTGTGTTTACATTAACACATTGGCGGAGAAAATCGTTGCGTTACGTACAAATTACAAATATTGCATTAATATGGCGTCATAGCATTTATTATTGTTCATTGAAGCATAGAAACGGGCATTAATTATAGCGCGTGATATGATAGAGGCAGCCAAGTATGTTTATATTGTTTTTACTTTGCTCTTACTCAACTGTGCATAGAGTAAACTAAGCCTGAGCTCAACAACAATCAGCAGATTTTGCCAAGCTAACGCCATAGGAAATGCCAAGAACCAGGTAACCAGCTTTTTTTGGCAGGTAGCTGATGTAATAAAGAGTAACTTAGGCTACCTTTATTTTAGAAAAATAAAGTTAAATTCCACGCGGACGAAGTCGCGGATACAACTAGTTTACAATATGACGAGTAAAGCAAACGATCAAGATTGTTCAAATTATATATAATACTACGAACACACCAGCAGCAAGGTATACCCCAACTAAGCTTATGTAACTTATAAATTAATTCACAAAATCGCGTGACAGCACAAAATACAGCGTGATTCGATGTTATTTGGTAATGTATTATTTTCGTTGTATTTCAGTAACGCTGTAGTCGTCTGGCATCTATTTAGTCCATGCCGTGACACTGCGAAAATCTAACCAATATCTTACTATTATTATAAAGGCGAAAGTTAAAAAGCATGGATGGATAGAATGACGGACGGACGGACGGACGGACGGATGAATCTTTCACGCAACAACTACTTATCAGATTTTGATTGACCTTTTCAATAATATAGCTTATACATCAGAATAACACATAGGCTACAATTTAGTGAGATATTATGTAATTTGGGCGAAATATAATGATAAATGTCAAGTAAGTGTAATGCAGACGAGGTTGCGCGGATCAGCTAGTTATACAATACGATTGCAAAAGCAAAAATAGAATAAAAATAGTGGTAACATTTACAAAGACAAATTAGATAGGTTCATATTTCATTCCTCATTAGATGCATTGAAAATTACATTATAGTTTCTTTAATTCTCAAAATTACTTAATTACGGGTCACACTGAGTAAGTAATTCTAATTATTTTATTATTATTATTACGACTGTAACCAAGCTACAACTATCATTATCACGACTGATCTTGTCCAGAGATACATTAGAAGTGGCCACTTTAGAATCCAGCAATTAGGGTAGGTCTTTTTATATAATTAGAGTACCAAGTAAGCCGATGGTAAGCAGTAACCATTATATATAGAATAGAATAGAAAGCTGTTTAGCGGCTGTAATAGGCGAGACTTGAAGTACCAAATCAAGCGACTTTTTACACTTTATCTAATATATTTTACAGTTTAATTGGGTATTTAATATTTTGACTAATGAACTAGTAGTGGTCGGCAGTTGTATTCACACATTTCAGGTAAAAAATGTAACTTTACAACAATTATTTAAAAGAGCAACACGCAAGCTTCTTATGACGAGAAACCTTTCCGAATGAGCCGTCCATTAAAAAAAATATAACCAAACACAAATGCTTAAATTAAGTATATTTGTTATTTTTATTTATTCAAATAAACTTCATATGTGTATAAAACACTTTTGAACATTTTTTTTATTCTACCACTTATTCGGAACGCAGATTCATCACAAGAAGAATGAGTAAGTAACTTGCGTGTTGCTCTTTTAAATAAATCTTGTTTTACATATATACACATTAACAAGGATTAGGCATGCGACAATCAACATAGTAACCGCTAAATAAAGATGTTTCTATTCTATTCCACCCCAAGGTAGTGTACATGTGAGTGACTCACCTGTTGAGGCTGATGAGTTGTGACTTGAGCAGCTTGAACACGATCCGCGCGTCCTCCTCCATGATGAGGCCGGCTTTCGCCATCTCGTTGGCCACCTCCTCGCAGTCATCGCTCTCCATGTCGAACTCGAATTGAATCGCTTCGTTCTCTTTGTGGGTATACGACCTGAACAACATAGTTTTATCATTATATTAATGTAAGAGTGTATGTACTAATACATAAAAAAATCTAAATATCTATAACTCAAAGGTGACTGACTGACATAGTGATCTATCAACGCACAGCCCAAACTACTGGACGGATCGGGCTGAAATTTGGCATGCAGGTAGATGTTATGACGTAGGCATCCGTTAGGATTTTATTTACTTGGGGGCCCAAGGGGATAAAATAGTGGATGAAAGTTTGTATGAAACTTTGTCAATTTTAAACCGATCGGGCTGAGACTTTGCATGCATAAAGCTACTATGACGTAGCCCTAAGAAAGGATTTTGATAAATTCCACCCCTAAGGGTATAAATTAACGCGAGCTAAGCCGCGGGTAAAAGCTAGTATAATACAAAACTTTTACGTTCATAAGCGGCTAAAATGTCCTACAGTTTAACATAAAACAGACCTCTTTTTTGGATCGATGATCTTAAGCCGGAACTGGATCTTAGTGATGTCGGAGGAGGTGACCAGGTCGCGGCCCACAATCTCCAATCGAAGACCAATATCTTCGCCGAAGAACTCGTGGTTTAGGAGATCTTTTACTTTAGGCCTGGTACAGAAAAAAAAAAATTAAACTCTCTACATTACCTGAGTATCTTCAAAGAATATGGAGTTAGTAATTATCTTATGCAATTTACTAATTCTACTTGCCTAATAGTACTAATATTACAATAGTAGTCAGATTTTTACAGGAATGACTCCAATTACTAAAATTATCAATACTTTGAGTTACTGTGGATTTTTTTTATCTATTCATTTATTTCGGATGTGTATCCATATTATGTTAGTAAAAAACTTACAAACTATGTTAATAAATTACAGCAATTTTAAGCAGCTTCTGCTGCTGCCTGCTGCATGTCAACAGTTTTAATTTGAGAATCCGTTTCGAAGGATCATTAACTAATAATTTAAATAAAAAGAGTATTCACTCTACACATTTAATGGACTTTTTTTAATGGCTCGGACTGGGCCCATATAAACATCGACTACAAACTAAATAAACTCGACCAAAGACAATAGCCACAAATACTACAAAATTACAATAATAATAATAATAATAATAACCCCGGACAATTCACACAGCGCAATCTAGCTCCAAGCTCAGTAGAGCTTGTGTTATTGTCAGTTGTTAGACAACTGATATAAATATCATAGATATATTTTTTTCAAATATATACACAATATACATAAAAAACACCCAGACCGATACAGACAATCATAGTCATGAATACAAATGTTTACATTGTGCGAGGAATCTAACGCGACCATCGAAACTATGGTGGTATGAACATATAGACCACCGAGGACGTCTCGCCGTCGAGGATTGTTACTTTTCTTTGCGAGCCATTATTTGAGGCAAATATGGATGTGTTATAGTATAGTTATAGTATTAATGATTATGATATATCAACTGATTACCTGTCAGCTTTATTCGGCCTAATGCACGACTCGATGATGTCCCGAACCTCAGGTATCGTGACTTTCTCTAAGCTCTGTGGCTTCACTCCCTGTACAGATAATAATAGAAATTAATATCCTAACATTTTTTTTAAACAATATTTTTAAGTAGTCAGTGTATGCATATATTATTCATTCATTCATAAATTTAAGAGCAACGCTCTTGTCGAAGGAGCTCTTGCCACTTTCGTGACAAAGATGAAGGTCAGTCAGTGACCACAAACGTGGTCACTGACTGACCTTCCTAAAATTCTTATGCAATATTATGTAACATACTAATTTGTAATAGCAAAAAATTGAATTGTTCTCTCAAAAAACTTACATTTTCAACACATACTGAAAAACAGTAATTATATTTCCAAATAATTTTTATATACAGATTTTTCTATTATAACACTGCTCTAAGCCATAAATGGGCTCATAGCCTTTACTTACCGAGACGACCTTCTTGTATATCTGCGCAGGCCCAGAGCACTCGCTGTAGGGGTACTCGCCCGTAGCCATCTCCAACATGCACATACCGAACGCGTAGACATCCACCGACTCGTCGTAGTGCTCCTCGTACATCTCCGGCGCCATGAACTCCGGCGTGCCTGTGCGTGCACACACACAGAATTTTAAATGTCTCATGTACGTTGCTTCTGGACTTTCATGACCTATCGTCAAGTATGTTATGTAAAAAATACATTTTATACAATTAGGGCTTATTTTGCGGAAGTCCATTTTTACTACTTAATGGATATTTATATTATAGCACTCGCTTTTGCCCGCGGCTTCCCTCGCGTTATTTTATCCCCTTGGAATGGTGGAATTTATCAAAATTCTTTCTTAGGAGATGCCTATGTCATAGTAGCTTTATGCATGCAAAGTCTCAGCCCGATTGGTTAAAAATTGACAAAGTTTCATACAAACTCTCATCCCCTATTTTATCCCCTTGGGGGTAGAATTAATCAAAATCCTTTGTTAGCGGATGCCTACGTCATAACATCTACCTGCATGCCAAATTTCAGCCCGATCCGTGTAGTGGTTTGGGCTGTGCGTTGATAGATTACTATGTCAGTCACCTTTGAGTTATATATATTTAGATTTAGTTTAATTCCACTAAAATTAGCATGTGTGAGATCACAAATATTCAATGCGGTTACGACCTTCTCTATTGGTGGTCAAATTCCGACCGTTCTTGAGTCCACATCCATATTGCGGCACGTGTTTCGCCAATGAACGAGGCATCATCAGGCATTGAATATATTTCGGATATTGTTCGGAAGCCTAGTGTTGACTGTTCGGCAACCAAACCGCGACTCCTCAAAATAATATAAATCCATTAAGTAATAATAAATTTTGGATGGACCATCTTTATCATTTAGTCTATGAAAAACAGTTTACGTCCTTTCTCAGACCTACTGCATATAAACACAAAATTTCATAAGAACTGGTCAAGCCGCTTCACCGGAGTTTTGTTACAAACACTGTGATATGAGAATATTATATATAGTTAACATGTGACAGACCTATGACGGACTTGGCGAAACTCCTGTTCTTGAGAGTGGCGAGACCCAGGTCTCCGATCTTGACGCTGCCCGTCGTGCCTGTGATGAAGATGTTGTCACACTTCAGGTCCCTGAAACGCATACCATGTTGTATCATCTCCACTATTAAATTATACAGTACCCAGTTTGCTACTCTTTCACGCAAATACTACTGAACGGATTTTGATGAAACTTTACAGTAATATAGCTTATACATCAGAATAACATATAGGCTATAAATTCACAGCTAGTACTTAATAGAATAAATACCTGTGAATAATGGGTGGGGTCCTAGAATGCAGAAAGTTGAGACCCTTGAGTATCTGTCGGCACCATGACTTAAGCACCTTGGGGTTGATGCGTATCAGTCCCAAGGTACTAAACCGGCGAAGGTAGCTGCAGAAAGAAACAAAAACAATACATATTTAAAATAACTCCATTTTGTAAAGTATGTTTATGGAAAAATAAAATCAAGTACTACTTAGCTAGAGTTTAGAAAAAACATCATAAATAATATTGATTATAGGTAAAAAATGTTGAGACACTTTATACCGTATCACGATTTTTCTTCAAAGATAGATACTCGAAGGCAGTTTAGTTTATAAAATAAAATTATATAACATATTAAATAGGTATAAATATTTTTATATTATTTTTTTTATTTATTTTGATGTATACTCACATTAAAATAAATAAAAAAATATATATAGCAGTTCTATGAGAGATGATTTAAAAGGTACTTTTTTTAAAGTATATTTTGTAGAAAGAATACATATGTGAAACAATTAATACTTACGTTTTGAGGGTGCCAGACAGCATGAGCTCCGTGATCAGAACAATATTCTTCTTCTTAGCGACTGTACCCTCCCAGTAGTTGTAGAACCTGACTATGTTCGGATGCTGGAGTTTCTTCAGCATGTCAGCCTCCTCCCGAAACCGAAGTCGCTCGGTTTTATTCAATTTTTTCTCCTGTAAACACATTGAAAATTTGTAAGATCTATAAAAGACTTCTAATTGTTATTGATCTTAATGTCATAGAGACTGAAAATATTTCTTTTTTTTTTATTTTTATTCTTATTATTCAAGTATCAACGAATCTGCTTACAGTCAGTAAGACTGCATGATAAATTTTCTTGGGATATTTAAATTAACGATGACCTTTTGACTTTTGAAATAATATATATATTATGAAAAAATATATACAACCACATATACAATAACAATAGCTTAGTTTTAAAATATTATTTCATATGTATGTTAGTCTATAAAGTATTTATAATATTGGCCTAGTTGCCTGAAATAAATAAAAATAGATAATAGTATAGAGTGAGACAGACCAGCAGTTCGCACCAGGCGACGGCGACGCCAGTTTGCGTGTCTAGTCCATGATATACCGTCTTGAAGGAACCGCGTCCCACCTCCTTGTCATACTTGAAGAACCTGCAGCATAAGATACATCTACATGCGGCACATATTACAACTATACTTAATATAGTCTTAAAGATTAGGTTCCATAAGGTCGACTTTAGAAAAAAAAACAGTAAATGAACACACTCAATAACTATATATATTTCTCTGGTTTATACCAGATATTATACTCAAGTTTATAAATGATTCCAAAAAAGTCGAGTCTATTTTATTTATGTTTACAAGATATTTATCTTTACTTTTCCTTTTAAAAAAATTCCCGGTTTAGATAACCTAGAAATACTTAATTATAAAAAAAAAACAATTAAAAACTGGAGTCAGAAGAAAAAAAACATTTAAAAACCTATTCGAATTTAGAACACAATTGCAGATAGAAATAAAAAAGAAACAATTCAAGTCTGCCAATTTTCAACTCTAATCCCAACACATAAAGTCCTAACAAAGGAAAACTCATAAGAATTGTTTCATAACCTGTTAAGAACATCATACCTCCCACATGGTGACACACCAATTGGCTCCTCCTCGTCTTCTTTATCCTCCTTCTTTTCCTTCTGCAACTCCAACTTATCCAACTTGTACATAGGACTATACACCAGACCTGCAAATAAATATCGACCTAATTAGTATATAAATAAAGTTCAATTTATATACATACAAGTATATCATTTTCAGCGTATCCCTATTGGATATAAACCTTAAACCATTGACAGAACAGCTATATAATATAAGCTAAAACCTGCGACATAGAACTTCCGAAAATGTAACAAACAGACAGTTACATATATTTTCGCATTTATAATATTAATATGCATGCGGAAGACATCAATAATAAATGGTGACCCAGATAGAGAAACCTCCATAACTTTACTAGCATCCAACATTGTTAATTCAGATTAAATCTTTACAAAAGACCAACTAACAACTAACAATTTATATAAGAACTTTGAATAAGCATAGCCTATTTATAAAATATTTAAATGATATACGAAAAATATCTAAATTTGTTCGATTTCACTTCTAACAGCCCTCTGACTCGGTTTTTGGCGCTTTTTTACTATGTACAAACATTCGACCGCTACTGTTTTATTATATGTATAGATATGAATTCCATAATATTATATAATAAGTATATGAATTAATAACATTGAATTATATGTTGTAATTAGTACTAAATATTAATTCGTTATAATAATAATTTTGTTATGTTTGCATGCCCTAACAAAGTCAATATTGTTCTATATTTACCAACTATGATCATACTTTACTGTAAACATTATTAACAATAAATATTGAGTATTAAGTATAGTATAGTAACCTGTCTTCGTCCATATCATTTCACACTTCACTGATGCTCCATCAATGTACGCCATTAACACAAACTAGATCATCAGTCCATGACCACAAAACTATAAATTCCATTCCAAAAATAATACACACGAACCACTAGTAATCACTTTAGAACTTTATCATAATTACATTATTGACAACTTCAAAAATTTTTACATATTACCAACGAATTGTTACTGTGAAAAGGTTGATAATAATCGTATACACAAATTTCTATATAACAAAACAACCTATTACACTTGTAAATAATGTATGAATAAATTAAAATCTATATGCATTGAATATCAGTTATCAGATTCACTCACATTGGAAAATAGGGTGAGAATGACGTGCATACATTTAGGTAGTGTTTTTTTATTTTTATCGAAGCGTACTTGTAAGAATTTGACGAGATATCTATGCATTGTTGTGGAAACAATTGAGTAATAGATATAAACCTGTCAACAATATTGCGACTAAACAATATTTGAGTCATTATCAATGCAGTTGGCAAAATTCAGGTTAATTCCCAGTGACGAGTGTCATCATATTGGATCCGACCGTAAACAAAGAATATCTTGACGTGTGATGATCAAGACAGTGGAAGATAACCCACATTATATAGATTATACTAGTCGTCACCCGCGGCTTTGTATGCGTAATATACTTAACAGGGGCAGACTACCAAAGCACGTGACTACTAAGTACATACTACTAACTAACTAGGCAACCTATGCACGTGGCCATAATTTTTTGAGCCTGAAGATTACACTAGTCATCCACGGCTTTGCATGCATAGTGTAATTAAAAGGGGTGAACTAAAGCACGTGCCTAGGATGCCTAGCCTAGGTACGTGCCTACAGCCCGTAATTTTTGGGATATTAGCGCAAAGGTACAGTGCACCAATCCATTATCTTTCATTAAAAATAGTACCTAATTAGACGACGTGATAAACAAGGCGATGTAATCTAAATTTATATCTAATCTCACTATGAGCTTCGATTTTTCTCAATTGATTCAGTGTGATTCTAAGAATCTAAATGGACACAATATTTTCCTCTTTAATATTTTCCTGATCGGTGCATTACATTTCCAAGTACTAGATTTTTAATAATATTTATAATTAAGTATATTTCTCTAACGCAGCTGTTCATAAGCTTTATCTATGAACCCTCAGGAAAGTAAATTAAATTCTCTAGGACTACCTTAATGAAAAATATACTGTTCAGACTTGATATTATATTTTTATAGTTGCTAAATGATCCAGAAAAAATATATATAAATTCTTCTCTAATTCATATAGCAGCCGTTCAGAAACTTTTTCATATAACCTTAGTATATTAAATACAATTCTCTAGGACTACCTTAATAAAAAATATGTATTGTTTGGACTCTATATTATATCTCTCCCTTATATATATGTTCTTATATCAGGTGGTCTTCAGACCAGAGTTTAAGACCATTGATCTAACGCATCATGAAGTGTCAACATATTATTGCTGGTGAATGTACATACCATTCTGTTGTTCCTCTTGCTGAGCTTCGCCTGTGGGATCGGTGGTGGGGTGTGGTAGACCTTGCGCCGTCCCTGACGCTATCTGAATATTCTCCTCCTGTAAGTATATAATAAAATGCTGTAGAAATTTAACAAAAACTTAAATTTTTTTATATTGATTCAGTCGATTGATTAAAAAAGTGTACTTTAAGTAATACAATCGTTTGCGAATGATTTTCTTCTTTTAATTTGAATGGCTTCCACTAAATAAGGTTGGTAATTTTGTCAATGTCATGGTCAGAGAGATGAAATGATCTGATTTACACTGCAAGTTTTTTGTAGCTATATGTTAGTGTTAAGACTGTTTCATGCTTTTAATTGAACCAGCTCCGGAACAATATACTTTTCAAGCTATACAAGAATTCTTTAAATTGGTAAGTGGTATAAGGAAATACAGTCACTTAAATATGCACTAAAAGATTCTCTCTCTCTCTTACATAAATAGGTACATTCCTGGTATAAAAATCCGTTTTCTCTCTCTGTCCCATTCTCTTTATAACATTGCGATATCATTAATAACAGTGTTACCACAGACAAGCTGAATAGAAGTGAACAAGTGAATGCAAAACTCTTTACTGTTATTCTCACAGAAAATTCAGTCACATAAATAAATATACACAAAAAGAGAGAGAAGACCTCTCTTATACATAGACAGGTACATTCCTCATAAAGACATGCGCTCGTTTTCCATATAGTCCTTATGTACAAGTAGTAGAGTGTATATTCCTTACCAAATCCTGTTCGGATATGAATGCGTCGTCCTCGAGCCGCGCGACGAGCTTGTTCCCGCTGTCGTCCAGCTCGGGGTCGCAGAGCGCACCCGTGCCCGAACTGCGGCGCCGGTACCCGCCCACACCCACGCCCACGCCCACTCCCACGCCCACTACAGGTTGACTTGCCTGCAATAAACATTTATTTGATAATCCAGTGCCACTATGCCATGGATAAGATACCTTTGCATAATCGAGTATTTATCCTGTGGATAAAAGGGCACAGTAGATCATGTGGTAAGGATGCCATGGACGAGCTAGCGAAAAGATGATCCAGTATTGCGGTAGCGGGCTACTTCCCGATTTTAAAATTAAAATTCAAACCCACATACGAAAACAAACCACTGATTGTAAACTATCAAAAGTGGCAATTCCAGTGGTAAACCAAAAAATTAGCAAAACCCTTGCCACTTTTAATTGTACAGAATTACTATTAATACTATATAATCTAAAAGTCGTACTAACAACGCTAGTGGTGAGCGAGTTGAGCATCTCGAAGGTGTTGCTCTGCTGCGTGTGTATGATGGCCAGCGCGTTGTACGGCCGCGGGCCCAGCACCGGTGTTTTCATCACGCCTACTTCACCGCCCACCACCACCTGTCGACCAAATACATCACTTATATTAACATCAACTTCCAGGGGGGAAAGGGTTGGTTTTTTTAAGGGATGATAATGGAATGGTGCACCCGCCTGTTTTAACGGTTTGCGCTGGCTGGCCACTGGCCGGCTGGCTGGCTGGAGGATGATAAGATGAACATAAGGTCAGATCAGTTAGCCCATTGTGATAAATTCACCAGGAATTTATCACGATGGTTTCTACGTATTTTCCAGTAGGAAATAATCGTGATAAATTCCTGGTAAATTTGTCACAATGGGACAACTGACCTCCACTGGTGCCCTGCCAGCGTAAACGCGCAGGCGGGTGCACCATTCCTTAATCATTCATAAAAAATCATCGACTTACCATCAAATGGACCTTGTTTACCATATACACGTAATAATAAGCAATTTTTTACCGATACTAATATTATAACCGCCACTATACAATTATATGCCACTTATTATCTCATTACAGCATTGGTACCTGCAGAAATGGCTGGCTCATCCGTCACATTCATGACCGGGTGGGAAGTGGTCTGTTCGGGTTATAGACACTTATTAGACTATTTCCTATCGTCAAAATGGCAATAGCATAGTCTGGTGGAAGGTCTATTCTCCCAAATTTGAATTTAATAAATTAATATTTTTGTAAAACTTATCTCTTATCTCATCATAAATGAGTTTATCATGTACAAGTACAAGTGATGAGTTTCTTGTCAGTTCTTCTTAGCACTCCGAACTATGGTAGATTTGACATATCATAAGAGTCTGTAATAGACCTACATGAATATTATAATTTTGAGTTTCTACCTTGAATGTCTTCTCTTTCCCGTGTACAGTCTTCTCCTTGGGCGTCAGTACGTTCGAGTCGAGGTGGTGGGCGGGCTGCGAGATCTGATGGCCGTGCCCGTGGAGGCCTGATGTCATCTATAAATTGAGCAGTAACAAATTTAGACCTTGACAGTAAAGCAAACTATAATGGATATTCGTTTAAATAAAGTTGATAATTCTTTTTTGGATATGGGCATTACATTTTCAATTTGATACCAAAAGATATTTTGGATGTACTTTTTAATGAATTCAAGTATATCAAGGTAAGCTTATTGAATAAAATCTATTACTCCGTAAATTATTATTTGGGAGACGATCTTGTATGGCGTTAGTTGTTCAGACAAGGTATTCTATATGTTAGACATATACAGTTATATTTAAAGAAACTCGGATTTAACCATACAAACCATGTAGCGCGTTATATGGAACCGTCTACATAAGGAAATGATGAAAAAAATGAAACAAAAACTAAACTAAAAAACTGTTTTCCAACAAAAACAAAAGAAAGACTTTTGTAAAATGATGTAATCTTTCAACACTCATCCTCACTGTCAGATATGAGTCACCTAACTCGCCTTCTTTTAATGGGCAAAATATCTTATCTTCACATTGTGGAAACCGCGCTATAAGAGACTCGGAATAAGTACAAATCACATTTTATGGCATTATTTACGTATATTTAAATGCGATGTAATATTGAAACTGATTAAAAATGTAACAGTTGAGTTTCTTGCCAGTTCTTCAGAATTGATGTTCCAGTTAAACTGAACAGCAGGGAGTGTTAAAAAACACGCCGATATACAAGATACATACAGAAAGGTCCTATGTGAAAAAAAAAATTTTAATTTTTAACTTAATTTATTATATACAATGAATATAATTGGTAGAATTAGCGCTGGAGCAGTTTTTACTGTTTCTTTTAATAGATGTATATGGAACGGTGCACCCGCGTGCTCTATATAATACGCCTATATGGATATAATACGTAATGATGTCACTGACCCTTTCCTAATATTTGCCTATATGTAACAACCATCGCCAATAGACCTGAATTCCACCACGAACGCCACATAACGTTGTGACATTCGTGGTAAAGTTCACGTCAATACACCATTCCCAGATGTGGTAATCAGGGACAATGTCAATAGTCGACGTTGTAGACCTAACAATTGACATGCCCACATTGGTTTCTATATATTAAAAATTACTGTAGAGGTTAGACTGGATAACATTTTTAGTCTTTTATCAATGTTTCTCTTACCGGAATTTGAATTTGACTTTTTGAACAGTGTTATTACATTTTTTACTACTTTTAAAACGAATTTTTTGGTATCGTCCAGATTTGTACTCACGAACTTTTCCCGAGCCTGCGTCGCTCTGAACATCTCTACTACGCGGAAATTAAACTAACCGTTCGTAATTTTGTGCAACTTTGTTTCTCTATACACCATTTACTTGCAAATTCCACACTAAAGCAACACCAATAGTAGACAAATATAAAGCAAGAACAAACGTAAACAATGGAGTGATAAGCGGTCCATTCATGAAACCGTTGAGTACATTCCGGTAAATGTTACCGATAACCCGACGCTATACCTATGTGCCAAAGTACGCACTTACTTCCTAATTAATCACGACCAATTAGATTGTTGTGTGACCGAAAGACGCAATACTTAAGGTTTATTGAATTATGTTTCAGATTACAACTGAATTTCAAACGGTTTATTTCATTTATTTATTATAGAAGAATATAAAATCCTTTATTTAAATAAACTTAATTTAAGCACTTTTGTATAGTCATAACAAATAATCTACCGCTCATTCGAAACGCTGTCTCGTTACTAGAAGAACAAGCAATACGAATAAAACATTAACTTAAAAAGCAAAGTATACAAAACCGCAGTCCGCCTTCATATACGGAGCTGAATGGTGGCCTTCGAAAAGGGCCTATATCAATAAAATACAGACGACCGAGGTGAGAATGGCAGGAGAAGACACTTGCTAGACAGAGTGAAGAATGACTACATTCTCGGTAGCTTCAAAATCCGCCCTATCGAAGACAAACTCACCAAGACATGGTTGAGGTGGTATGGCTACGTAATGGGACAAGAAAGTCATGTCCAAAAAAGTTTTAAACCCTAACGCCGGCCCAAAGAAAAGAGGATGACCCCTACTGACTTGGCAGTCTGTTATCAATTGCCGAAATAAACGTCTCGATAACCCAGAAAGGATGGGGGGGAAGGGAATTGTTAGTAATGTGGATTGATAACCCCATTGCTAGCAATGTACCATGTCAGGTCGACCTCCACGCGGTTCCCCCTGGAAACCGTCGTGACAAATTTTTGGTGAGCTTGTCACGATGGGCTAACTGACCTGACTTCATGCTCATCTTATCATCTTCCATTGGTGCCCTGCCAGCGTAAACCGTTAGCGCAGGCGGGTGCACCATTCCATTATCATCAAAAAAAAAACCCAGAAAGGATGTGGCGAAGAATCTCTAGAGCCGACTCTAAACGAAATAGGAAGTCAGAGAGAGAGAATCTTAATAATATTATTAACGCGAAAATTTGTAAGTATGGATGTTTGTTACTCATTCACGCAAAAACTAATAAAACTTTACAGTAATATAGCTTATACATCAGAGTAACACATAGGTTATATTTTATATTGAAATTTAACGCTGATGAAACCGCGGGCACAGCTAGTATAATATAAACTAATCAATTGCCAACATTCAATTCGACTGTATATTTACCGCAGTATTATTTTATGTACTATATTTATACGCAGTAGCTTTGCACGAGTGCAATAAATTTAAGGAACTTTATATTAAATACCACTCGCTGACAATGTGGTATTCTATAGATGAATAATTAATTAATGATGAATTCAGTTTACCCATTGCAAACAGAAAACAAATATTTTCTGTGTATCACTTTAGAAGAGAGAAAAAGAAAATGAGAATCTTCTATATAGTAGTTAGTCTTAATATATTTTCAAAACGGTCGAGTCCTATTTTTTATAATTCACAATTCAATAGTATCTTCACGCCGGACTCTACGGGATAGGCAGAGATAAACGATATCTAAAAGGCAGGTAGAATATTTAATATGTGGAAAAAATATTAAAACATATAAAAGAAAAACTTACATCATTATGAAGGAAAAACTTGTACAATTATTATCAGATATATCCTGCAGGAAAAATAACACTTTTCAATTATCTATATTCAAAAACATTTATGTCCATGACAATAAATAATTATTCTAATTTCAAAGAATAATATGTGTAACAGAATATTGTTGCAGCAAATTTCATTTTCACTATTCATGACAATTTTCTTTCAATACGATATGGATATGTCAACAAGTTGTAACACAAATAACAAAATAAAACGTTCGCACTTTAACAATAACAATTCTAGTACCGCCATTTAATTTTATTGTATTGTTTAAAATAAACTGCTCGCGCGCATAACAATATAAAAGGGCCATATTAAACATTGTACTAGTTTATGAAACAAGTGATAAAAATCTGAATTACAAACAATTTCTAACGTATTCAGTATTTATAATATTATCTTTATGATCTTTAATAACCTATTTATTGATTAAATTAATTTATTCACCTTAAAATGTATAGAAAAAAAAAATAGTGAAATGCACGTGTCAGGGACAAGAAAAAAGACTGTCTTTTAAGTTTTAGAATGACCATCACAATTGTTTTAAAATTTGAAATATTTGTCAATGATTCAAAAATACTTGAAACATGTTAATCAAAAGTTTGACTTATAATCTATTGATTGATAATAAACGTCTCGAATAACCCATTTATTTTTTATTTAGGTGTTTCATAATTGGAAAAATTGATAAACAGACCATTTATGGAACAGTATATTCAGTGTTCCACATCCCCCTCACATTCGATTTTCTAAGTTGTCCGTAATTATGAAACAGCGTCGTGGACAAATTTAGTTAATTTCGTGTTAATAATTGTTAATTAATTATAACAAAGCAATTTACGTTAGAACAGTTTATATTTATAAAAATTTGCATTTAGATAAGTACATAGATTGTAAATTTCCATGAAAATAAAAAACTAACCGCAAAAATGAATAAGCGGGATGATAAATATTGTTTTATGTTAATTAAAACATATACTTAAAGGAAAACCTGCCGAAAAAATTAATAACACTTTATTTTATTCAAAATTTTTACGAAATACATATCAGAGAGAGATGTTTTTAAATTAATAATTTTTATAGGTAGATACATTTTTTTTATTGAATTTGATATCTTTATTCTATAGACTTGTTTTATATTGTTATTATTAATTTTGATTGTTTGGTATAATTTTTATAATTTGATATTGGTTGGTTTTCATGAAATAAATAAATAACTGTTAAATTTTATATTGAAATTTAATTTTGAGAAAGAACAGAACAGTAAGAATAATATAAATAATCAATTGATAAAATAATGATTACATGACACTTAACAATGATTGTCATTCTTCTAGTATTATTCTATGATAAATATATTACCCAGTCTCAACAAAGCGGCCATTCCTGAGGTAATTACTGTATGAAATTATAGTATAAAATGAACCTTTAGATATGGTTACTGAAGCTATTCTGGTATTAATGAATAATTAATTAATGATGAATTTAACTAATATTTTGTTAATATAAAACAAATATTTTGCGTAATGTTGGTGATGAATTAATAGAGAGAAGTCAAGAAAAAGAATGGATTATATAGTAGTTGAGTCAATATATTTTCAAAACGGTCGAGTCCTATTTTTTATAATTCATCAATTCAATATGACTCAAAAAAAGAAACTGATCGTAAAACTAAAGAAGAAAAGCTACATAAAAGAAAAAACAATTATTAAATGAGAAAAAATATTTAATGAACGGAAAAAATATTAGAGAACATTATAAAAGGATCAAAACTTAAGAAATGAAATAAAATTTTTGTTTAATTATTATATTTGGTATATCTTGTTTATTAATCAAGATTTGAAACTGTTCTTGTCATATTTACTTTGTAAATATTTATTTATTGCATAATTTTTAAATTATCTGTATTAATAAT